GTGAGTGTATGCCAGGGGTAGTATTCCATGAAGAAGCCAATGTGTGGCAGTGTTCCGTGCATGGCATATATCAGGATGCGTACAATTGAGTGGTACGACACTGGACGCACTTCAATATCCATAGTCATTTTCACACTATCTTCACATGGAGCATGAGCAAGGAGATGTGCTCCAGACACCATTGGTGTCCATAGTGCCGGACAATTCTTCATTGCGCGGGTGGCTGTCGGGGAGTGCGCTGGTGGACGGGTTCGAGGCAGGGAACAGGGAGTACGCAGAGGCGGTGGATCGGGACGGGTCGTTGAGGGAGGGGTATGTAGCGTGGGTGCGGGAATGGAGCGGGGTTGTGTCACGTGGTGGATCGATCGATCTGATCTGACTGCGGGCTAGTCTAAATGGGATGTAGTAGCACATGCATCTGCACATGGACGTGTCACGGCTGTCACACCTGTTCACTCGAAACGTGTCCTTGTTCTCTTATAGCCCCTTCCCACTCTCTCTTTTCTCGCCACCCGACGACGACGACGACGGGCCCGTCGTTCCTCTTCCACCCCGTGCATGTTCTGTCCCAATGTTGCAGTATTCCCTCCAGCCCCCAAATCTCTCTCTCTCCTCGCGTAAAGATACTCGCTCCTCTAATCTCTCCTCCTCTCGCATCTTCTCAAAACCCTGCACGACTCCCCTTCTCCCCCCCCTCCTCCACCCACACATAGACCATCACCTCCTCTCCATCGGCGACCTCGTCGGCCACGACCTCCTCCTCCAGGGCGAGCCCATCCGCCACGTCTCCTCCGTCGACTTTCATCACCCTGCCCTCCACTTCGAGGTCGTCCGTCCTCTCGGCACTGGCTCGTATGCTGTCGTCTATCTCGTACGCGAGGTCCTCTCCCGCGACATTCCCTCAGAGGACGGCCATCTTGGCTCCATGGACTTTGATGGCAAGCCCCTCCGTCCCACCGTCTCCTACGGTCGCGACTACGCCATAAAGTGTCTCTCAAAGGCAAATCTGGACACCGACGCTCTCGCAGCCCAGCTATCAGAAGTCACCATTCACCAGTCTCTCCCCTCTCACACAAACATCGTCACCTTGCATCGCACTTACGAAACCTCTTCCTTCTTGCTCCTCCTCCTCGAATACGTCCCGGGACAGGACCTTTTTTACTTTTTGGAGCAGGCTCGCGACCACTACGACTCTGACCCCATTCCCTCGTCTGACCCTTGCTCTCGCACTCCCCCCTCCCCCAGTCTTCTCGCCTCCCTTCACCCCACTCAGCTCCTATCCCAGACCCGTCTCCGTCTCATCGCCTCCATGTTTGCCCAGATGTGCGACGCCGTCGCCACCTGTCACGATCACCACATTTTTCACCGCGACATCAAGCCAGAGAACTTTATCGTCACCGACGGTTGGTCCACCCTCCACGACCGCAGAGAGCGCAAGGTCCTCGTCAAACTCACCGACTTTGGTCTCTCCACTACCGACCTCGAGAGCTCTGACATGGACTGCGGCAGTGCCCCTTACATGAGCTTTGGTATGTCCTCTGCTTTTTTTCTCAATGCTCGGCGCTCATGGCGGTGCAGAGTGCAGGAACAACGTCGCTCCCTTTTACAAACCCCGTGCCGCAGATGTCTGGTCTCTCGGAATCGTTCTCATCAACATGTCAGTGTTTTCTTTTGTCGCTATCCGTAGCTGACATCCCCTCTAGGTTGTACCACTATAACCCTTGGACAGACACCGCCGAGGGCGCCTGTTCGTCTTTTGATCTCTACCGCTCCCACCCCACCGCCTTTTTCATGCAGCGCTTCACCGGTATGACCCATGCCGTCGCCGACTTTCTCGCCAACAGGGTCTTTTGCATCCTTCCCTCTGACGACCCCTCCAACGACTCGGCTCGCGTCTCTGCCCGCGAGTTTGGAAAGTGGGCAAAGGATCTGCCCACACTCTTTGGCAGCGTCCGATCGGGCCACAAGCGTGTCATCAGCACAAGCTCGACCCAAGGCCATCCCCTCACCGCCTCCCGCCCTGCCAGCGCCGCCGGCGGAGTCCTCCGCACGCCCATCCTCCACTCCCGCGGTCTCTCCCGCGCGCCCAGTATCGTCTCCCACGCCTATGAGGAGATGGAGAAGAAGGGCGAGTTGGAGACCGTTATCGACCAGGAGGCTGATGAGCAAGATGGGTATCTCGATCAGGATCGCGATTTGGAGGAAGAGCCGAACTCGCGTGCGACGTCGACGACGAAGAGGAGGAAGAGGGGGGCGCGGAAGGGTCGTGGCGGCGTGTCGTCGCCGGTCGATGATACGCTCGCGACGCTCGCCGTCGCCTCTCAAAGTCTCGCACGGGAGATGAGCAAGGCATCCCGCTCGTCGTCCCTCGCACGCCCTCCCTCTGTCGACGTTCCCGTCACGCCCGTCGTCACCGTCCCGCCAAAGAAGAGTATATGGAAGCTCGGGTTTGGAGGGCACAGCAACAAGAGTGCCGCAGGTGGTGAAGAAGCTGTCGTGGTTGGGGATATGACAAACAGGGTCGGTTCTGGTACTGCAAACAATGTGACGAATCTGATTATGGGATTGAATGCGACGCCACAGCAGCCGGCTGCTTTGACGTCTCACCATGCGCCTGTGGTGCCGACGAGTGCGATTGCGACGGCAGGGACGGGGCAACAGGGACGACCGATACGGTCGGCGGCGGATCAGGCGTCAACGTGGACACGCGGGCGTCGTCCGCAGATGTCAGCTGCGTATGCCCACCCCGGCGCGCTGTGGGGCCCCGTCCCAGGTCAAATGGCCAACACGGCATTCGGCGCGTTCTCAACGTCGACCATCTACTCTTCGTCTTCGTCCACCTCGCTCGGTGGCAGCCGGTTCTCGGGCAGTCCGCCGAGGCATAGTCCTCCTCGAGGCGTTGCTGCCAGTGGTGCCAGGGCCAATGCGAGTGGGGCTGCGAGTTGGCGAAGTGGGGGGACGTTGACGACGATTAACTCTGGGGGGAGCTCCATGTCCGGTGCGAGCTCGATATCGAGTGTGTCGGGGGCGAGTGTGATGTCTGGGATGAGCAGTGCGACGACGACGTCGACGTCTTCGGGGGCGAGCACGATATCGTCGATGTCGAGCGGGAGTGCGAGTTCGAGTGCGTTTACGAGGTATAGCAATTCGAGCTTGAGGAGTGTGTCGACGATGGCGACGAGCGTGTCGAGTAACAGCTGGAGGGCGCAGAAGCCCCAGACGACGCCGCCTCAGCCGACTCCACCTCAGAAGTACCCGGCGACGATGATGAGTGTGGAGCCTGCTGCGATGGAGATTCCGAAGAATATCAAGAGTGCGTGGTGTTTTCTCTTTGGGGTTTATTTTTCTGACGGTTTGTGTGTGTGATTTGCAGTCATGTCAGGCGTCCCCTGGGAGCTTGACGAGCTTCCTCGTCAGCTGCACCCCAACCCTGTGGGCGACATCTTCGGCGCTCCTCCCATGCGCAAACAAAGGACGCGGAAAGGCAAGGATTCGACGCTGGATACGATATGTGAGCGGCCGACGAAGAATGCGGGCGTGCAGACGAGGGGAGGTGTCAACGCGATTGGCGGCAAGAGTGGCATCGGAGGGAACGGCGGCGTGGGCGGTGTGGGAAGTCATGGGAATGGAGGAGGGAAGGAAGGCTATCTGAGGAGAGACGCTGCGACGAGTACGACTGACCTTGATGGGAGGGAAAGAGAGGCGAGGGAAGGAGAGGAAGGGGAGGGTCCGAAGAAGGTGCAGAAGGGACAGATACATGCGTTGGCGAAGATGCTTTCTGCGCTGAGGCGGTGATGATCGCTGGGCGTGAGGAGGTGTGGGCGGTGTGGTGTTGTGAGTGGAAAAGGCAGAGACGAAGACAAGGGCAAAAGGGAGGTTGCAGGTCGAATTTCCGCCTCGAGTGGTTGTGTTTTTTTCTATATCTTCTTCCGAATCCGATTTATTTTATTTCTCTGATTAGAATGGGGGGTGTGTGGATGTGGATTTGGGGGAAGAGGTGTTTGCTGGGCAAGGCTTTTCTTTTTTGGTGGTGCGGATGAACGTGGAGTTTGGAGTTTGTGGAGGGTGGAGGAAGGCAGGAAGGAAGGAAGGAACGCAAGAAGTGGGGGATGAACCGGCAGTGGAGGAAACAGGCTGAAGCTGGTTTTTTTCGATGTATTGTTAGGGTAGCTAAGCTACGGTCTTTTTTATACTTGCGGTGCGGAAAATTTCAGCTCTGTTGTGTTTTTTGATGATTTGTGATGTGCTGAGACGACTCTTTGTTTTTCCCCTCCACTTGATGGTGTTTTGTGGTTTTAGGTGATTGCAGGAACGAGAGCGATGGCGAGGACGAGGAATAGACACCGGAAGGAGGACGAGGACGAGGACGAGAAACAGAAACAGAAACAGAAATTATGACACTCTTTTCGAATTCCCATTTTATTTTTTATCGCGGAAGGAGGACGACGTTTTGGCCTGGGGTTTTTGCGATGTTGTTCAAGTTGGGGGTCGATGTGCTTTGACGTTTGACGTTCGTTCGACGTCCCCATCCATCCTCACCACCATCCTCACCACCACCCTCTCAAACGCACTTGAACACACCCAACTCGAAAACTCGAAGCGTCGTCGCACACCAAACCCAACGTGCCCAAAAGTCGCGTTCGATCCGAACCCGGCCTTTGTCTTCTTTGTTATTTGTTATTTCTCTATCCATTGCCATTGCCATCGGGGGGCCCTACAGACGCTTTTGTACTTTTTTTTGTTTTTCCTTGGCCCCACCGTTTCAGCGCTTGTGCATTTGTGCATCCATTATAACGTATAACGCTCATTTGTTAACAATCCACTTTTTGTGTTTTTTTTTTGGTGCTTTACTGGTACCTTGTTTCTGAGGAGGGTGTCACGGTTTATCGACCGACCCCTTGCCCTCCCCTCCCCGAATCGCCTCGTCGCCTCGACTATACGTCAACGGACAATTTTTTTTACTCCTATTTCCAGCCCCCCCCCTGTCAACTAGTTTAGCAGTTTCTAGCAGTTTTTAGCCAGCCCGAAGTGCCTCGCAAGTTTGTCATACATATCCATATCATTTCGCTTGTTTGTCATTGGATCAAGTTGACCCGATCGAGTGTCAGTTTGTCAATTTCTCGTCATGGAAATGTAACCGCTATTATCGTTCCGAGCTGATCGAGTGCTAGGTGGGTTTCAAGTGCGGTGCGAGAGAAGGGAGATCGCACAGCTTTACAGGTTTTCGATATTTCCTGATGACAGGAAATAGAAACAGATGCTGTTGATAAATGTGTAACATCCCGATAGACCGAGCTGTGCGAGAAGGGTGGGGGTATGATGCTCACTTGCATACTCACTCGGACCGGTATTGAGTTGTCTTGGTGTCGGTTCAGGCATTGACGCGCTAGATATTGACGAATGAAGTTGGTTCGTCTGGAGCGACATGTTGGTGACATGGCGCTGCGATACGTGGATGCCGTATGAGAATGCTGCTACTAGTAGCCCCTGCACTATCACAGGTCTGAATTTTGAAAGTTGTGTGCACGCAGCATACATGGCTGCCTTGCTTTGGTCTTTTTCGTCGAGTTTTCCGTCGAGTTTTCAAACATGGGGGTAGCGTCTATGGGCTTGTTTTATATACGATAGCTGGACGCTGGACCGCTTAAGATGATAGCCTTGGCATACAAAAATGATGATATGGCGAGGACGCGACTGGTGTACTATTAATATTGTGTCGTTACATTCAGGCGCTGCTCAAATTATTGCACTCCGTTGAAGTCCACCCTTCCCTGCCAAGTTCAGCTGCAACGTCACTCCGATCTCGTACCATTTTCAGATCCCGCAAAGACCGTTCCGACTCCGTGCAGCGGTTTGAAGCGTAGAAGCACACAGAAATTCACACAAAACGAGAAAAAAAGCTGTGACGTCCAATCATCCAGTCTCTCGACGTCGCTCAATGGCAGAAAGGGGAGGAATGCACACGTTCGGTGCTCAATGAGGTCAAGCATGTGGTTATCAGTCCTCAGGCTCCATGTGGCGATTTACCGGCAAGGTGGTGGATTCTTTTTCCCTTTGAGGCTCTCTCAGGTGATTCAAGTTCGGGTCGTGACCGCATCATCACATCTTTTCGAGAGAAACGGAGTATACTCTCGTTGATGGGTTCAGGCTCTCGGACCTGACAAAATTCGAGCCTCACAATGAGTCACGTTGAAAATCTCACTTCCCCCAAATCCAAGCTATAAACATATCATAGCGCTTTTTCAGGTGGTAGAAATTATTGGGCAGAACAAATAGCCGACACGGTGAGTGGTACAGTTGATTTCCAGGTGGTCCGAACACCCAGAAAAGGACTGAAAACGATGGGACAGCGCCATGAAGGCCCCGACCGCGAAGGTATCGGTATATCATTCCCTTAACGGACAAGACCTATCACTCGCTGCAGCACTGCCTTGGTGCGGTGACACTATCCGGGTCTGAATGGGTGTATCGATCTGCATACGCGCCTATCGATGCTTTGGCATTCGAGTACATGCAAGTCACGGTATTGCCTGCAAAGGAAAAGAAGAAGGAAGGTGGTCCCATCAGCTGGCGAGGATGGCGAAAAAGCTTACAGGGGCGCTTCAAGATAACGGGAAGACAGATGTTTGGCTCTCGTGATAGTTTTTCAAGCGTCACAGAAACGACGACGACAATGGAGGTCAGTTTTTACCTTTTATCGTAGCATAGCCTCGGATTCAAACATCATGCAGATAGGCACGTCGCACTTCAAGTGCTTTCATGAACGTTGAGCGGGACGTGGTGCAACGCCTCATCCGATTTGCTGCAGTCAAACATACAACCAGATCCTATCAAGAAGTCATCGGTAAATCGCCTCGTGCTGGTTGCCAATGCAAAACAAGAATTTTCATTGACTTTCTGGGAAATGAAGTCGGTTGGAGTAACTAAACTGCCGCTTCTCAAGGTACCCGAAGCAAGCAGTGTTACAGATATGACCACAACGATAGTATTGGCTTGCCGTTTTTAGGAATCAGAGAGATACCGGTACACGATACTAACGCTGCGTCACTGTCCGAGGACGGCGTTTGGCAGTAAGGTTATCTGTCACATTGATGGCGAACCGAATATGCATCGAGGTCTTCATAAAATGAGGACTGGGCTAGGTGCAACGACTATGGGTTTGGCAATGAAGCATCTTTGTTTTCATCGCTATTCGACAAGGTATAATTGATTCTATAGGAAATAGTTAATCACATCGCTAAATCATACACAGATATGGATGTCCGAATATTGGTTCACGCCATTGAACTCTGCTATGAAAACACAACAGACGCCCACCGGTATGAAACCAAATGCTGTAGAAGTGAGATACATTCACTCACGTGTGGGCAATCTGGGTAATTCGGTGCGAGAAGGTACAGCCAAAATTTCCATTGCAGTATAAAATGAGGGATCCATGGCTGAACATCATATCTCTAACCCACCTCGACAACTCATCGACAAGATGCCTGCCACACACACCAACACCATCTCTCTTCACTCGTCCTGCACACAGGACTCTACTAGTTATATCCCTCGCCTTCGGCTCCTTCTCCACGAGATCGGGTACCGCTATGAAGCCCAGCGACCTCCAAACCCTGGTTTCCGTGAATCTTTTCACGAGTGGTTCCAAACCACGCTGGGTCCTGCTCTATCTTGGGACAGCAAAAGATTACACGGTCTTGAGCACGCCTCCTCTGGCATCGCTGAGAGAGCCTATCCTTATGCCAACACGGAGATGAATCTCTTAATGGGCAAGCTGACAGCGATAGCTATTGTTCTCGATGATTCCATCGAGGACGAGGAGATGTACGGCCATATGGCTAGGTTCACGCAGAGAGTGTACATTGGAAAGGCTCAGCCGCCAGGCGTACTTGCAATGTACCATGAGCTTGTAAAAGAGCTATCCACCGTGTACGAGGGGGATACGGTGTTGATGGGGTTGGCAGTCGTACCTTGGATCACCTATGTTGACGGCTGTCTGATGGAAAAGAGGTTACTGACTGTAGATCCTAGGGTGGGGGCCAGTACCTTGGACATGGGATATCAACGTTTGTTGGCGCAGCAACACCACTCCCAGATGTCACTTCCGTCCTCCAAAGGTGCTAGAATTAACCCTAAACGCGAAGAAAATAAGCAAGGGACGCTACCAGTTCCATTGAAAGGGGATGCCGTGAGCTTGTGCGTTATCTGTTTTGCTACTATCAGTGTATCGTAACCTGACCATTTATATTACAGTCCACGCTACCTCCGCCAGAAGACAGGAGTAAGCGAGCCATACGCTGCAGCGATATTTAAGGCCAACAGGGGCCAGCAGCTACCGTTAACGAGATTTATTCACGTTTTACCTGACCTCACGTATCATATCGTGAGTCTTTCAAACTGGGTCAAATTGGACAATATGACTAACCTATTATTTTCAACCCTTCTTTGTTGATGTGTACTGCCTAATCTGAATTCGTATGCATTCAGGAAGTGATGAACGACCTTCTCTCGTTTCACAAGGAAGAAATGGAGGGTGAATCATTCAACATGATTCACCTCCGGACTCAGGCCCTACGATCTGCTTCGAGAAAGGGTAGCCAGGGTGGGTGGACGCTGATGGACACGTTCAATCTGCTTTGTGATGAAGTGAGAGAAGCGACGTTTAGGATCGATGCAATGTTGCGGTTGGGTGAAGTTGAAAAAAGGCTTGCAAGCGGAGAGCGTCAACGTCACGGCGAAGAGGGTGTTTGTATGACGGTGGACGAGGCGATAGCGAAGCAGTGGAGGGGATTCAGAGACGGGTATATTTCGTGGCACCTTGAGTCGAGGAGATACAAGTTGGATTTCTTGAAGGCCGAATACTGTTGAATGCATGTGACTACTCTGTGGCAAAAATATGAGGGATAAAATTTCAACCATGTATATCACGCTAATTACCATTGAATAAATATAATTTGCATATCTTATGTATGTCAAGAGATTCGTTTTTTTGAACCTCTCTGAACTTGACATGGCTATAAATGAACTTTGTCGGCTCGGCTCGGAGTGTCTATAAACATAGAGCTAAAAATGGCTCACGGGGCTCTACCTGATCCAAAAGGCGCCTTCGTCATCGCTCAAGCTCTGACGTCGACAGTGGCTGACTAGCGCTGACTATCAGAATGTACAAAAATATAGCAAGTATCCATAATGGTGGGGCCAGCGAGAAAGCTGTCTCGTCCGACCTTATAACTCAAGTTTTAACTGCATTCTAGTTCAAAGCCAGACATGCATATGGGCCTCAGACATCGCAAGCAGCCTCAGAACGGAGACGTGGAGAAGGGCGATCCGGACTCTGAACCTGCCTCTTCAGAGGGAAATACGAAGGAGGAGGATCGTGAGTAGTTTTCAGTGTTTTGGTGTATCACTCGTCGGCTGACTGTTTTGTCGGAAATGGTTGCAGGCTACCAGGGTGACGAGTACGAGGCTTTGCTTAGATACGCCCAGGATGAGGCAGCTAAACTCGACCGTGGAGAGGACGACGAAGAAGCAGAAGAAGAGGGAAAGACCAAGCGCATTTGGTATGCTCCTTGGAAGAAAGTTACACAGGGAGGGAAAAAGGAGAAAAAGGTTTGCTTTCTGAATGGCGATGCTGTATTGGCTTAAGGTTATTAACGGTATCATAATCCTCTACTCGCTATAGGTGCCTCCAGAATGGCTCCGGACTGACCTGACCAAAGGTATTTCAGCATCTGAAGTAGAAAAGCGTCGTCAAGGCTTTGGATACAATGAGCTACAAAGGTAAGCCATATGTCACAAAATGGTCGTTATTGTTCGTAATTAAATTCTTGCATTATCTAGCGCTCACGAGAATCAGCTCTTGAAATTCATTTCTTACTTCAGAGGACCTATTCTGTACGTTATGGAGATCGCGGTCATCTTATCTGCTGGGTTACGGGATTGGATAGATTTCGGTGTCATTGTGAGTCTACTGTTCCGAGAGGAGTAGCACTTGGATGATTAACTGTAGATATCTTTTGACATAGATCGGTATCCTGTTCCTTAACGCCGGTGTTGGTTGGTACCAGGAAAAGTAAATAGCGTTCATTTCGTCAGATGCCTACAAAGCCTAAATTTGGGATCTTAGGCAAGCAGGCGATATTGTCGCTCAGTTGAAAGCTGGAATCGCCATGAAAGCATTGATTGTCCGGGACGGGCGAGAGCAAGAAATTGAAGCACGCGAACTTGTTCTAGGAGATATTGTAAGGATGGTTCCATTCATCTCTTTATATTGCTTCAATTCTTTCAATAGATCATATTGGAGGAGGGAGGTACTATCCCCGCCGATGCTAAGGTATAGTGTATTGTTATTTATCATTGATCATGGTTACCTCATATCTCGTAGATTTTGGCCAACTACGATGATAAAGATGGCTCAAAAGTGAGAACATAAATATTGTCATTTGACCATACTGACCCAAATCTGCGTAGTCGAAAGAACTTCTTGAGAAGAACGAGAAGAACGCTCAATCTAAGCAACAAAATGGGGATAAAGAAGAAGATAACGATGATGACAAAGATAACAAAGGCCCTTCTGTCTGTTCAGTAGACCAAAGTGCTATTACAGGCGAATCACTAGCTGTGGATAAGTTCATTGGTGACATTGCTTATTACACCTGTGGTGTTAAAAGAGGCAAGGTGGGTCGTGCTTACCTAGAATGTGAACATTTGACTTCAATCTCGGCACCATAGGTGTTCGCCGTTGTGACATCTACAGCAAAAAACTCTTTTGTCGGACGTACAGCTGCACTCGTCACTGGTACGTATGCCAACATATCCGCATCAACCCACTCATCTTAATTTACTTCTCTCAAGGTTCACATGAGAAGGGTCACTTCCAAATTGTTCTCGGTGGCATTGGGACAATCTTACTTATAATGGTCATCGCTTTCATATTTATCGTATGGATAGGAGGTTTCTTCAGGTAGAGAAATCGATCATCTCTCTTTGTGATGTCATTGACAGGTGAAAAAGGGGTCTCAAAATTGCAACGCCTTCTGAGAATAACTTACTCGTGTATGCCCTTATCTTTCTGGTAAGTCTCATCTTTTTGTCTATATTTGTTTATGAATTCTTATCCCGCATCGTATCACAGATCATCGGAGTACGTTACTGATTATAGTATCACCAGAATCTTGTTTATTGAATGGTCATACTCATAGGTACCAGTCGGTTTACCATGTGTCACAACCACTACAATGGTATTATAGTTATGCTTTTTTATCAGGTATTGCAGCTGAATCTTCTCCAGGCAGTAGGAGCCGCATACTTAGCCAGGAGAAAAGCTATTGTCCAAAAGCTTACAGCAATAGAATCGCTTGCTGGTTCGCTCTCCGTTCATAATGTTAACAAGCCCTTCTCACACTTTTAGCTAATTTTAGGTGTCGATATGTTATGTTCTGACAAGACAGGGACTCTTACTGCCAACAAATTGTCTTTAAATGAGCCTTACATCGCCCCCGGCGTAGACCCTGCATGGTTCATGACTGTCCGCGTTCTTAACTGTATTTCAAATAGCCAAAGCTAAATGAGGTATTTTAGGTCGCAGTTCTTGCATCGTCGCACAACATTAAATCCCTAGATCCGATTGACAAGGTCACTATTGTCGGTCTCAAGGTAATATCCCAACGCACTTGACCGAGAGTCATCATCGCTCACTAGTTTTCCTGTAGGACTACCCGAAAGCGCAGGAGAACCTTCGTGGAGGCTGGGTCACCCACAAGTTTACTCCTTTCGACCCTGTATCGAAAAGGATTACTTCCGAAGTGGAAAAGGACGGAAAGAAGTATACGTGTGCGAAAGGTGCACCCAATGCGTATGGTGTTCATGCATTCGAAATGATTTCCTCACTGATGAAATTGGTGTAAAAGAATCTTGAAATTGGAGGAATTTAACCCTGATACCGTCAACCAGTATCGCTTAACGTCAGCTGAGTTCGCTCAGCGGGGTTTTAGAAGTTTAGGTGTCGCTTGCAAGGAAGAAGGGCAAAAATGGCAGGTTCTCGGTGTGATGTGTATGTTCGACCCTCCTCGCGCAGACACCGCTTCTGTACGTGTGGTGAAATCTTCGTTGTCGCTTTCAAATGACAAAAGTTGTAGACCATCCGCGAAGCTGTTGCTCTTGGTATTCATATCAAGATGCTTACAGGTGACGCTGTTGCCATTGCGAAGGAAACTTGCAAGACACTATCTCTGGGAACCAACGTTTTTGACAGCGAAAAGCTTATGGGAGGTGGAATGACAGGAACAGAGGTCCATGATTTTGTTGAGGCGGCGGATGGGTTTGCGGAAGTCTTTCCAGAACACAAGTTCCAGGTGTGTATTACTACAATGACTTATAATTCTCAAGTTTTTATCTTTTCATAATAGGTTGTGGCCATGCTTCAAGAACGAGGCCATTTGACTGCTATGACTGGCGACGTATGCTTTATTATTTTATTATTTTACCCTATTACTGATCGACTACTGGTTTAATTATTTTCAGGGCGTTAGTGAGTGTGCCTTTTGATTAACTGGTCCATTACCTAGATGTAACTATCGTTCTTTTTTTATTTACATAGATGACGCTCCCTCTTTGAAAAAGGCCGACTGTGGTATGGAAATGTGACGATGATTTCTTTTTGTTACTAAGTCTTATTTTATCTTCAGGTATTGCAGTTCAAGGTGCATCGGATGCGGCTCGCACGGCAGCTGACGTTGTCTTCCTCGACGAGTTCGTCGCTATTTCCTCATATCTGATGATGGGTCTAACCGTGGAGCGTTGTATAGAGGGCTTAGTACTATCGTTACGAGTATCAAAGTGGCTCGACAAATCTTCCACCGTAAGCAGTTTTTGTATGTCCTTTCCATTCATTGTATGATATGATAAAGGCTGTCGCAGGAATGAAAGCTTATATTGTTTACCGCATTGCGCTTTGCATTCATCTTGAAGTCTATCTTGTTAGTAATATTACCCACTTTCATGTCCTACAATTAATCCATCATTGATGCAGATGTTATCAATGCTGATCTTGAATGAAACCATTCGAGTCGACCTCATAGTATTCCTTGCCATATTTGCAGAGTGAGTTAATCTCCTCAAGTCGGCTTGAGTTAGTTTCTAATCCTCAACGTCACAGTGTTGCTACTATTGCAATCGCTTACGATAATGCGCCCTACGCTCTAAAGCCGGTTGATTGGCAACTCCCCAAAGTTTGGATCATCTCTACTATCATGGGTTTGTTGCTCGCTGCGGGCACATGGATTATTCGTGGAACCTTGTTCCTCGAAAATGGAGACAAAGGTGGTATCGTTCAAAACTTTGGGAGGTTTGGCATATTAGATTATTCTTAGGCCTGTATGCTCAATGTATCCGTTTTAGCGTCCAGGAAGTCCTCTTTCTAGAGGTTGCATTGACAGAATCCTGGATTATATTCATCACGCGCTTGAGCCAAGGACCAGATACTGGTTCGTATACTTTACGTTTCTACACAGCAGTTATATGCTGAAGCCTTCATGTATAGGTAAATTTGAATGGCCGTCATTTCAACTTCTAGCTGCTGTACTTGGCGTCGATATTTTGGCCACAATTTTTGCTCTATTTGGGTGGATTTCAGGGGCAGCCCCACACGGAGGGTTAGTCGTAACTTTTTGCAGCTCACTAGCCCCGTTTTGACTGAAACCCATTCTGGCCGCTAGATGGACTGACATTGTCACAGTCGTTCGGATATGGTTATATTCATTCGGTGTGATCGTCGTGATTGCCATTGTCTATATGATCCTTAATGGCTTCTCATGGCTTGACCGTATTGGACGCCCATCTGTGAGTATTGTATTTGCCTGATTTCCGGACCATTGGCAAGCAATCTAATCGCGTTTGGTTTAACAGCGAAGTCGCAAGAACGAGAAACTGGAGAACTTCATGTTGGAGCTGCAGCGAATGACACTTGTGCATGAACGTGATGACGATTCTTATCACTTCGCCGCTGTTTCGACCAAGAAAGGTCCTAGTGGTGACGATGGCAAAGCCAAGAATGGCAAGAAAGAAGCGCCTAAGGAAGCAGCGAAGGAGGATAAGCCTTCTCACCAACAGGGCGATGGCAATAATACGGATGCCAACGTCACAGGAGGTGAAAAAACTGATACTCAAGTTGGCGGGCCCGATGACAATGCTACAACGACAGAGAAGGTGGCTGACGCCGAGAAAGCACGACCAGCTGGTGATAATGCGGACAATCAGCAAGGAGATGCTAAAGTTGCTGGGGAGAACACCGAGGAGCCTGCGGGTGACTCTTCTGCCAATCCGACTAGGGGTAGTAAGGACCTCACAAATTCCAAGCAATCTTAATCTTCTGTGCATTCCCTCGCGTTTAACGTAAATTCTGTATATCTAGATATCCGATCTTTTAAATTTGAGCTGTACGTGCATATATGATTTCCTCACATCTGACAATTTGTAGAATAATTTTGAACATGCTGTAGACAGTACTGCCGGATTGTTTGTGACATTAATTTCCCCCTTACTTACCAGTAGGATAAATTGGATTCTACATAATGGTATATAACAATTTGATAACAATCATCATTGTTACCCTGATGACCATTCTTCCAAGGCATCCCGCTTTTAAATAACACGTCACGAATATCATAGATATAAGGTTGTCCAGTTTGTCCTTCATTCTAGAATTTAATATTACTGACAGATGATGAAATCAGAAACATAGGACCAAAAAAAATCACGGTGAAAGCTAGTTATTGATTTCCACGTTGTCTTGGAGCCTTCTCCAAGGACTGCTGCAAAGCTGCAAATGCCATATTCTGCTCGATGGTAGGACCTTGGGAGGCTTGTGGAGACAAGGTTGCGGTGTCGATGAGAATAGTGGAAGTTTGCCGGTGAGACGTTTGGGTTTCGACAACCATCGGTGATGCTGGACGTGAAGCTCCACTATCAACGTCGCTATCCGACGAGATGCTACTGGAGGAGTGCGCATCGACAATTACAAAATTGCCTGTACTGTGCGTCCGTACGAGATTGATATAGTATTCCTGCAGAACCTCGCATGTGCACTGGAAAAACAGAGCGAAGCAAAAATAAGGAGGAGAGAACCATTAAGACCACGTTATAGTTTCCATTTGTGCGACTAGGATGCGGCGGGGGGCCGAAAAATGGGGGATGTTGAAATGAAAGAAGAAGAAAATGCTAACCGTTAATCGCCATTCTATGGCGTGAAGAAATTCTCGCTCGAGAACGTTGAGTTCGGCTAATGATATGCCGCCAACACGAGCGTAGTGGCTGTTGGTGCAGAATACGTCACAAAAGCCTTTGCTGGATACGGCGATGGATGCGATGATAAATCGATGGCAGGTGAGAGAGGAAAGTGTGAAGAGAGGCATACGGGCGCATATTTGATCGACATAGTGGAGTGTAAGTAGTAGGCATATTTTCTGCAGCAGTGCTTTGTTGAGGTAACCTGACACTCAAACAAATAAAATATGATATACCTCCACTTTAGCGAACCTGACAATACGCCTGAGGTAGTCCAATACGCTGATGGATGGAGCTGCTCTCGAGTGGAACCGTGTGAGACTCTCTCTGGGGATATAGGTATGAAAATGTCAGATAATTCTTGGTGAATTTACATACGGAAGTAAAGGTATTCGGTCATTATGAGCGATCAGTCGTTCAAGCATATCAGCTGGAAAACATCACATTAGAAACCGCGACACCGGAGATGTGAGAAACACACCTATCAGCAAAGCAATGTTATCTATGTCCGCGTCTTCAAATGCAGCGGGTAATTCGACCCTTCCCGAGGAGTCCATACACCCATTGCACTCGATGCCTTTTTGGCCTTGCGCAACACTTTGTCACTAAGTAACCTGAGCTGCTACACCGAAGAAGAAGATGAAGATCGATCAAGCTGATGGCAAACAGAACCAAATACAAATCCTGACGTCTGGGAACGATTGTGTCTGTACAGTACTAGGGCTGAGTTCAAACCCTATTTTTCCCCGCCACCGTGCAACCTTGGTGATTTCTAGTCATTCGATTCCTTCGGCAACACTCACTCCCACCTTTCCGTCAAGATGGCCCCAAAATTGGTGAGCAGGGAGGTTTGAAGGTTGTAACAGGGATAAATGCTGAACCTCGCTTATAATAGGACCCTAATGAAATCAAAATCATCTACCTGCGAGCAACAGGTGGTGAAGTCGGTGCTTCCTCTGCACTTGCACCAAAAATCGGTCCCCTCGGTTTGGTAAGCATGAGCACACAAGTTATTAAACATGTATTGAATTTCTAACTCATTATCACAACAGTCCCCCAAGAAGGTCGGAGAAGATATCGCCAAAGCCACCTCCGCATGGAAAGGTCTACGAGTAACGGTCCAACTTACGATTCAGAACCGTCAGGCAGCTGTCGCTGTCGTACCTTCTGCCTCCTCTCTCGTCATCCGTGCGCTCAAAGGTTGGTAACTTGCACCAATATAATTAGCGGCGCTGACATGCAATCCACATAGAGCCCCCACGTGACCGTAAGAAGGAGAAAAACATTAAACACTCTGGCAACATCACTTTGGATGAAGTTTTTGAGATTGCCCGGACGATGAAGTCGAAGTCTTTGGCAAAGAACTTGGCTGGTGGGGCGAAGGAGATTCTTGGCACAGCTCAAAGTGTCGGATGTACAGTTGATGGGCAGCCTCCTCATGATGTCATTGATGGTATTAACTCTGGAGAGATCGAAGTGCCAGATGAGTAAAGGATGGTTGCATGTATTTTCTATCTCGCATTATCATCATTTATTTTCCGGCATCGTGGTTCTCTTGAGTGGATGGTGCTAGACAAGCAATGTATCACGGTTTTTTTTTGGTTTACATTGCTCTCCGGTATAAGACTAAGTTCTTAAAGTTATTTTACAGCAGAACCAATGTTGCAAGTAATTCAGATTTCGCTCTGACCGATGAAAGGACCCGCTAGAGTTTCGGCATTTGTTTTCATTGCTTCATCACTGGGACCTCCCTTGATCACGTCATTCCGGGCTTTGCATGCTTCTATCCCCTCGACTACGCGAACCTCGCCTTGTTTCCTAGCACCTTTAACTAAAGCTGCAGAACGAGGAATACGAATGCTTTCGTATTCCGAGAATATTTTGGTCAACAACTCAGTATCTGGTTGGCTCGCGTCTGGGTTATATTTGACGATAAACCGCATAAGATGATAAACGTCTTCAAATGCCTGGTTGGCTCCTTGACCGAGATGCTGTAACACGAGCGTGAATTCTGGAATTCACTAACTAAGTGTTCTAAGCGAGTACTCACAGGGCTGGTTGGGTGCGCTGCATCTCCCAACAGTACGATTCTTCCCTTATGCCATGTTTTCAGCTCTGGTCGATCATATAAACCGTACTAAAAGACGAGGTGAGTGACATGCTTTTTTTTAGAGTACTTGAACAATATCACCTTTGCGATTTTCTCGCCCGTTTTCACGAGCTCCCCTGCACCGAAAGCCCACTGTGATAAGGGGCCTTTTTTTACTTCATCCTGCTTTTGTGAGTCCATTGACCGCCAGTCCTCTTTTGCTTCAGGTTCTCGGACGGTCACTCTGTCACATCACGATCAGCTAAACAATCAAAGAATAGATACAATAACCTACGCCCAAGAGTACTGGTTTTCTGAAACGGGGTAAGTTACCATATGTTTCCCATTGCCGAAGTTATTGACTAGTGCGTATTTATTCTGTAATGCAGGTGGAGTTGGAGACACACCGCCCATCTGGAAGCCAATGGTGAGTTACTCTTCATTATCCCAGATGATCATCAGTCTCATACCTGTATTAGACCTGTAAAATCAACCTCTTCGTGTCCGAACAAGGCAAGGCGTGTATTGCTATGCAGACCGTCACATCCGACGACGAAGCTTCCAGTGGTGGTTTCTCCATTCTCGAACGTCACTGACACATCGTTATCGTTTTGTTCAAATTTGACCGCTTGATGGCCCCATTTGATCTCGATGCCGTGTTTCTGGGCAGTTTCAATGATCAGTTTGTGGAATGCAGTTCGTCTGACGCCGATCATAGGGAAGCCGAATTCTTTTTCTATGACGGTTGAAGGTAGATCGTTATCGACGAGTACTTCTTCGTTATCTTCAAGAGACGAGAAGCTGATGAACCTCTTTATGGGACACCCTGGTATGTTCTCGACTATTTCTGGGATCAAGGAGAGAACACGGAGACCATTGGGCTGCATCCTGAAAGAAATAAAGTTGGACATGGTTGTCACGATAACTTTGAACAAGAACGTGCATTAGACTGATACCAGCTTGAGTTGGAGCCATAGATCGTTCATATATGACTGGGGTGTAACCCTTCATCTTTAGAAAGATGGCAAGGACGGGGCCTGCTATGCCCCCTCCAACGATAATTACCTTGGTGGACATGGTGAAAAAGAGCAGAATGAGCTCATAACTGGACTCTGGTGCTGCCTTTTAAAGCACATCGGATGCGGCAGAATTACTTGATTTGACTCATTTGAGCTACAGCGGCACCGACCAGCCTCGACTAGCACGGTGACTATAGAGCTGCAGTGTAGAGTTACATCTGGTCAGATGTTGTAGCGTTGGACTGGCCCCGCTACGATTCCATATAAGGCAAGTAAGATCATCCAGTGCTTGTGTGGTGACCCGTGTATGAATTTCTTATCAGCGTTCGTTTGGCGTTATACGCGGCTTATTCCGAGGCTCGAGAGTATCGTGTCTTTAACGCGCGCCTTTGCGCGGCCATTAAAGGGGTGTTCTTGCTTCGTCCATGAGGTAAATTGTGTCAACAAGTGTGTGAACCAACCGCTTTCAACGTGTTTTTCTCTCTTTACAGGGTACAAAAACCCCACTGGTTTCTGTCGCAGCATCCTACATACCTGTCCTACACTCCCTCCTATATTCCTCATGAACAAACTAGGGGAAACGCATAACCATGCAACTGGTGCACAGACGACCAACTTCCAAATAAAGATCGTTGATGCTCATCCAGCCAGCACTCAGGGTGCGGTGATATACAGTCAAACTTCCACTATGGGATGGCGCTTCGGTTATTATTACTCCAAGAAGTCCAAAAGTGCTGGTTTTTACTTCGATCCTGCGAAGACCAACAACGCAGTAAAAGCGGTGACAGTCAAGGTTTCGTTCGCCTCACCGAACCTGGTCGCTTCGAGTGCATCACCGGCGATTAACATTAACTTGCCATCATCCTCGAGCCAGATCCTACTGGCCCCCCGATCTCGAGAACAGGTTGTAGCATATTCCATAGTTTTCTTTGAAGTCATTCCGCAGTTCAAGGACTCGACCCCCGATATCAAAGAACTGTCGACCAATCAGTTGGCGTCAACGCCAGAGCTTGAAGCATATGCTCCTACCACTGTAGAGCCTGTCACAGCTGACACTGTCAGTGATCCGTTAGATATCCCTGTCCCTGCCCCTACAGTGGAGAACTTTGCAACACCTATCACCAGCGCCCTCCCATCATCGCAGTCTGAACCTGATTTGGAGAAAATAGAGAAAAGGGAAGCAGAGTCGGTCGAAGAATTCAAAGAGTTGGATCGTTTACCGTCGGAGAAAAGGGAAGCAGAGTCAGTCGAAGAGCTTAAAGAGTGGGACTGTTCGCCATCAAAGGCAGAAAGATCATCATCATCAAGCGGGTCCGAGTCCTCGATAGGATCAACCGAAAATTGGGTGAAGCAGCTGCCAGTGGAGGAACCAGCTGACCCGTTGGAGCAGGTGGCGGTGGAAACTCGCGAAGAGGTAGTGAGTGCGCTCTATAAAATGTCTGAACGTGTAATGTCTAATCGTGTTGGACTATATAGAAACCAGGAGAATTTTCAGACGAGTATCACCAAAAATCAAACATGTCGCCTTCTGAAGCACTAGCGGAATCATTGCGAAGTGGAGTCTTCATTGACACAAAGTTTTATGTATATTCCCAACGCGGTCGCAAAGGGGGAGCTAAAATGCCAGTATCAATTTTTGCAAACAGTAGCATCTTGCGGGCAAGTTCAGTGCTTTTGAGATATGGTACGTATTTTATCTCCGCTCTTACGATCCTAGTTTTACAACTTTTCGAGCTAGAGCTTGAACACACTCGAGCCTTCCACTCCTGCATTGCCGAATTAGACGATGATTCCGTCATGAGAAGTAAGGATGACGCAGAGTACAGCTATGAGAACGATAGTGACTTGGATGACACCGAGAACCACGCAGATTTATCAGGTAAGTACATGTATATCAAAGCATGGCTAGTACAAATCAAACTATAAAAACTTGTCGTTTTCAGATCTTGATGATAAATCCTCTTCCAGGTGCGCACGTATTAAGTCCTATCTTTAGCTTTCCGACGTATTAATTCGTTCACATAGCGTCAAGACATTTGGGAGTGATGAATTGACCCTAATCCCTCCTGCGCGTCCTGTTCCAACCTTTCGGATATCAGGCAGGACGCTGCTCGTAAAAGATTACGCCTTTAAGACGTGAGGTCTTTACTAATACGTCGATAACTTTTAATTAATGTCTTACCTTACAGATGGCAAGCACTTATATTCTATCTCTATACGGGGGCCATAGCCTTTTCCAATCTCAAGTCCGAGGAAACGACAAATATGGCAGATACATGCACCCCATTCCCTTGCTCACCCAAGTCTATGTATCGTCTCGCTGACAAGGCAAGCCGGAATTGGGAGTGTTGTTCTGGTGGTATCATGCTCATGACAACTTACCTAGTTCGGCCTCGAGGACCTTAAAGAACTTGCGTTTCGATCGATATGCACAAAGGTAACAAAGTGCAACATCGTTGATGAAGTATTCTCCAAGTTTACATCTCAGTCCGTAATTCAATGTTGGCATGGTCTCTCGAGTACTAGTGGCTGACTTGTCTGCCAGGTATCCTGCTGTTCAAGCCAAGGAACTGGAATTGCTAGTCCAACACATGAATTCGCCAGAGGTTATCTCAGCATTACCTCGCAAATTTCACAGTATCGCGAGAGGTGATCTTCCGCACTGTGCGGATGTATTAACGAATGTCTTCCTCGAACTGGCCGATGGGGGGGCTCCCCAAGTCTGATCGGCTTTTATACTCTTTGTATCTTGAATGTAGCCATAGTTCGCTCACATTGTGTACTATCAACTGTAATATTTTAACTAGCATTGCATTTACTCCGCGGCGCTAAACGCCGCGCCAGTTACTTATCTTCTTATGTCCGGGAACTCCGTCTTGCCAATGCCATCGACAGACCAATTTTATCATTGATATTCGTGGAATAGCAGGACTACTCGTAGTAAACTGAGCCAACGCTACTTGGGAACCATTCAGACTTGGTCGTTGGATAGAGCCAGGGCTTTGTTTATTCCATGCGTGGTGGCAAGGTGGGGATGGGACACTCATCAACGTTTTTAGACTATGAGTTGGGGCCACCCGACCTGCATCATGATTATGAATATCAATGACTAGGTAAGTAACTGGACGAGCATGGATTGTATGCATTGCTTTCATCCTGTCTATATTGTATAACCGTGCTTCTGTATGCATTACGATGGAACAGCGACATGATATTGCATGTTGATGGTGGACCTAAAGGTGCGTTGTCGGAAAAATCCACTTTCCATGGTTAGGCCGAGTGTGGTCTGATAAGATTGGCAGAAAACGGAGCATCAGATTAGATACAAAAGATTGCGAACAGGTCAGACCAGGTTTTATTCAGAATAATTGTTGCGATAGCCCTGAGATGTCCGAGTACACATGGCATTATGATGTGGCCGATTTGTCTGAAGACCCTGATCGTGATGATCGCTCCAGCCAAGGTGATAGGCCTTACCAGAATGGTCTTGCCGTTCGAGCTGAGGATTCCGATGGCGCTATATTGGTACCAGTAACAGTAGTCATATCTGAACAGACAGAACATGCCTGATTGTCCTGGTCCAAAGCCTTATTGTAGGTATGGCCTATATTATCTTTTCGAACCTTATAAGATAAATGCACGAAAAAAGTAGAGCTAGTTGATTGCACATGTGATATTCGAGCAATGAAGTATACAGAGTAAACTACCAAACTACACTGGCATTTCTATTAGGAAAATATAGCCTCGACCTTCAACAGATTATTCAGTGTGATGTATACTACTAGTAGAGCAGCTCACTCACTTGGTAGACATGTTCAGTAGAAATCACACCGGATTGATTGATCATTTATTGCCAAAGCTTGTCAACATAAGCAAGGAAGGACATCAGTGAGTACGAATAGAAATATTAGTGTTGGAAAAACATACCTCAGATTTGGTGGCTACAAAAGGTTGTTGAATATATCAGCCTTGGTCATACCCGCAGTCCAATGATCTGCATCAGTCAGAACGAAGAATATATCTGGACTATGCTGAGGAAGTACTGTTGGAAGAATGCATTGCTGACCGCTGGTTCGGCACTGGCGAAGTTGTTCACGACTTTGAGGCATACTGTTTGGAACAACAATTATTAAGACATATATATATTCAACAGCTGTCATGAGCGTATTCAAACCCGTGTCTAAGAAAATACCAGGAATTGATGTGAATCCTTTGATTAGTCGGCTTCCAGTTGTTAATTCTGCTTTGAAAGGATAAGTATAAGTATCGTGAGACATGCCAAAACGCACCTGCATTAGTAGTGATGTCATTTGCAACTCGGGATTGGTGGTGTTGGACAGGTTGGGTTTACTTAGGAAGTTTGCATGCAGTGATTTATATACTTTCTGTGGGTTGGTGGAGCCTCAGATGTCATGATTAGTAATTATAATGAAAATAGTGGATGAATCCACTCACCTTAGATTGAACTGAAAAACAGTCAGTTGTCGCCACCACTATGCCATTGAACGGCAAAAAACGACGACGTGATTCTACACCCATTGTTGAAGAGACTTCGTCGTCCGAGAATAGCTCAAAACCTTCTTCATACAACAACGCTGCACCCACGGTCCTCGCACATGCAGCCAAGGGTCCCAGTGACCTTGAGAAGCATTGGTTAGCACTTCATGGAGACACAGAAGCAGTGAAGCGAAAAGAAATAGCTGCAAAGCCTGTAGCTGCAGGGACTCACCTGTCCCAAGCACCACCACTTCGCACCCCTTCACCAGTCATGCCAACCACGCCAACCAAATGTACTCCAGTGCTGAGATATGGATCAACAAGTACCCATACATCTGATGGAGTGCTCTCGTACCTCAGTGGTGGAGGATTCGGCCAGGGATGTCCTGTGGACAGAAAGGGACGTTATAAGTATAATAAGCGATATAAATACAACGAACCTTTCACATTTGCAAGCCCCACTAAAATCGCTGGAGACAACTCTGAATCAGATGGGAACTTGGAGGGGGTTCAAAGGGAAGAAAACAAAGAGGTAAGGCATTGAAATATAGTGCAACTATTTAAGACTCACTTTTCTCTTGCTGAAAGAGTCTGGGCCGCAGAACGACTAGTCCTAGTAGTGTGATTGTCAGTGGCTTAACAGGAAAGGACAATAGCGGAGAACCACTGGCAACTGCGGCACCGAGCAAGTCCAAGCACCCTCTGGATGGGGATAATAGTATTGCTGAGCACTGGTGGCAGCTTGAGGTGCGTTGACCAGTGATAATGGTGGAAAGAGAGATCAGTTTACCTACTAGGTCTTTGAATGTCAGGATATCATTGATAATCGTCCAACAACACCTGCGTCCAGTCACAAATCCCGCCAGCTTCTCATTCTCCAATCTGAGCTTTCACCGCCAAACCAGAAGAGAAGAAAGATTATGATGGCATCGGAATCAGAGAATCAGGCCCCCCAGCGCCTAGAAGAGACACTGCAACATGTTGGGAGGAGTCTCGACGAAGTAAAAGGTGTTTTGAAACATGATATTGTGGGAGCTATTCGTGAAGAGACGCAGGTCTTGAAGGATATTCTTTGCGAGCAAGTGTCAAAGCAACACCAGTAGTAAGCGTTTGACAATGTAATATCATAACCAGCCTGTACCATTGTATTTTTTGACTCAATCTTTATGTTGTTTTTGCTCTACGTTGATGTCCCGAGTCTGGATAAGTAATAATGGGCCATTGGCAGGCCAATTGCCATCTTATCATGATCTATTTACAAGTACTATCTATTAGCGATCATGCATTGATCATGCTTGATCATGATAGGCTCATGTGGTCAATTAGATATCTGATCGGTCAAGTCTGAGTCCGAGTCCATGTGCTTGCTCAACCTCTTCAAGATTGTTGCTTTTTTCTCCATCACTATCCCCTTTGTCCTCGTGAGCACTCTCTCCAGCCCCACCATGCTCCTCGGCAAGCTCATCCTCGTCCTCATCGAGCGCTGCCATCACACTCTGCATCAGTTGATCTCTACCTGTGTTAGTCAACTGGCCAGCAAGCCCGTGTTCAGTGTTGGGGAAAAGAGCCATATCCCACTGCCGAAAAATATGCAGTACACTCCGTTTTTGCTTTTTCAGGCCGCTTAAGAGGAATTGCAGGTAGTTATCGAAGTCTTCATGCCAATGAATACCTGACTCGGCCCCTCTCTCCTTGAAATAGTCATCTGGAGATAAAGTCCAGCGAGCCTGGAGAAACGGCCATGTGTGAGTCAATTATATTTGTGTTTAGCTCAAGGATTATTTACCAGAACAGCAGAGGCCGCAATCATGCCTGGTGTAGTATGGTCTAACCCCCATTTCAGGTCCATTGTTTCGTTGTTTCTGGTAGCACGAGATGGCTCCCCTTCGTTCATCAAGATCACAGATGCGGGCCCTCGTATTATGCAGCTAATTGTCTGCCGGGTAAAATTTGTTGGTCAGCATTCACCACTGAATACAAGTTCTGACGCACTTTCTGAAGAATAGGGTTCAAAAATACACTTTTCACGTCAAACTTGCCTGCATAGTTGCTGTGAAGGATCTCAGCATTCCATGGATGGTATATCAAACTACCATCTGGACCCTCCGCTCGCCCTATCCTCTCCCCAAATTTTTCCCGCCTTACATGTGATACTCGTAAGTCTCCTTCAGTACATTGAAATATAGCTGCGCCTCGAGCTCGAAGACGACTAGCCATATTTGACCTTTGTTCTTGCATTCCATCACGGAACTGTCAGGCCATTAATTACAGTAGTAGGTGTCGATCACATAAAACACTTACTGCACGAACTAACCAACGTTTTTGAAGATCATCATGGTATTTGACAGGGAGTACATCCATGATATCCCGAAGCTGACCTTGTAATTTAGATCCTATGGTGTCAAATCGGTCGAGTGGATCATATTCATTATCCAAGCTTGTTTGGAAAGTCCTAGTTGGCTCGTGCAGCCAAAGAGCATGTGTCACTTCAAACTTTTGCCCGAGTCCTTTGACCATTTGCTCATGTTCCACCACATTATCTCGTAGGTCCACTCTCTCTTGCCTCTTTTTAGCCTCTTCCCCTTGTTGTCCCCCCACTGAATCTTCGTTTTCTCCATTCATAGCATCATTGTATTTACAACGCATGGCCCTTGCGTCCTCTTTTGCAGTGTTGGCTTCAATCTGAGCCTTCCGTGCAACCTATAGGTATGTTGTTAATATACCTTTGGGTGGGACACTGACTAAACTATACCTTGTACAATGAACCAGGTGACATTTGACGGCTAATGTGGCTTATATCTGTGTCCTCCGATTCCATAGTACCAGAGTCAGATCTCTGCTCGGAACTCAGTTCATTGTCGTCCTCTTGTGAGTCCATTCTCTCTCTTTCAGGCTCTTCTGATCCGCTATCATTTGGACTTTGTGCCCTGTTAGGCAATCTCCTTTGCACAAAGGTCTTGTGCCTTGCGTGGGACGCTCTACTTTCCGCAGTTTGGGCGACTCGTCGCGTCTTTGAAGCACCCAAAGCTTGTCTTGCATCTTTGGTGTGTTTCTGTTGTTTTGCCATTGTGTTCCGTGTGGGTTCAAGTTGGAGGTGAGCTGACTAGCGCTCCACACTTGACCCTGACTGATGTTAGGTCCTGTTACGTTAATCTCAGTCCACCACATCCCAACCACCGTTAAAGTGTGAATTGGTGAGCTCCTCCGTTGTCAAATATTGCAGCTCAAGCATCCACATTCCTTATCCACAGCAACCAACGCAAAATCATGTCTCATCTTCCAAGAACAAGCAGGATTGAACAGGGACCGTGGTGCCAATACTGCCAGCAACATCGTAATGCGCGCCGGTTTGACAAGCATATTGAGTCCTGCAAAATAAAACATCAGGAACACTTAGAGCTTGCATCAAGAGCCAAGGACTCTTTGGATCAAGAGTGCACAGTAAATTTGCCCGATCCACCAAGAAAAAGGCGTAAAGAATTAGTACGTGTACAATTTCTCTCAATATTTCATATTTTACTCCTTTGAACTTCTTTATTCAGGTTAACGATATCACCCAAGCTGACAATGATGAGCTCGGATTGGGTCTTTCTATCAATGGTGCGTATATTACTGAAAACTAGTTTATATCTAATAATCACATATGAAATGCTATTAGGGTGTGAGGAGCCAAGTATTGTGACGAACGAGCCCAGCATACCACAACTGTCCAATTTGACTTCAACCTTTATACAGATCATCTACCATCCTCACAGTGGGTTGACCAAACCAAAGAAAATCCCACTTGACAATGTAGCCCCCCCTTTGACACATCAAGATGACCATGAAACTGGAGTTGGACGAACGGCGGATATCAAACCATGGGCTCCTTTTCATACACGCGCTGACTTTGAGTATGCAGAATCGGCAGTTACAGGGCTTCTTAGTAGAAGTATTGTTGACGCTCAGCTTCATGGGATACACAATGGATGGGCAGAAAACACTAATATATCATTTCAGAGTTATACACAAATGGAGAACACGCTGCGCATTGCACGCGCACATTATGTCCAGGTGAGCCAAGTAATGTCTCAAATATCTTTGTCTAACATAATCATCAGTTTCAAGAAGGTGCCGTATCTGCTGATTATCTAGGGAAAACGTACACATTCAAGTTCAAATATTGTGATCCCTGGAAAATTTATTCCAATTGGATAATGGACAAAACGCTGGCACCGCTAATTTGTTGGTATCCAACTCAGAAGTTCCTGTGTCAGCAGAATGGCAGGATAATTTTAAAAGAGCGAATATATGATGAGTTTAGCACGGGTAATAAATGGTGGAATATACAGGTAACAAAACCATATACTTTATTCTCTATTCTACATGACCTTTGATCCGATTTACAGAATTCACTTCCAGATAACGAGGATATCCCACATTGTTTCCTCCCTGTCTCCCTCTGGCTAGACAAGGGAAACATCACAAAGCGTGTTAAGAAGCATCCCATCATCATTCGCCCAGTTTTTCTTCCGCGTCAAGTCAGGAACGCATCAGGCAACGGAGGGGGTGTTCTTGTAGGCTATATGCCAATTGTAAGTATTTTCCCCCTCATTATATGCTATCTACTCTATTATTTTTACAGCCTCGAGATCCGGCCGACCCATCAGACCGAAATGCCCCCGAAACAATCCAGTGGCAATGTTTCAAGCGGGAGGTCTACCACAAAGTTGCCGAGGTAATATTTGGCTCACTCAGGAGCCCTGCGCTCTTCGGGGAAGCGATGACTTGCGGTGACAAAATAAATAGGATTGTGCACCCTGGGATACCAATCAAGTCCGTTGATGGGGAGGAAAGCTGCGCGCTGACAGCTACCAGAGCAGCTTTAGCCAATTTCCCATGTCCGAAGTGCTTAGTCCATCACGACTATTTGCACTGTCTCCTCAAAAACTTCGAAAATCGGACAACAAACACAATGCAGCAAGTTTACAAAAATTCTATTGAGGCACCAAACAAAACTGAAGCAGAGCGAATTTTACAAAGTTATGGATTACATGCAACGGAGGTTTGTACTTTTTCTCCTTTTTCTCTTTGCTTTATATACTAATAACTGTCACGATAGAACTTCTTTTGGACATTGGAACATTCAGATCCCTACCTCGCTATCTCATACGACAAACTTCACTCGGACGACCTAGGCAAATGGGGAAAACACATATGGCCCCTCCTGCTCAATGTGTTGGCTGAAGATGGGAATAAAGGCTGTATGGCTAGGAAGTAAGTTTCTTGCATCTTGAACTCGAAACTCATTATAATCAAGCTCACGGATAATATGCAGTATGCGGCATGTTTGTAGATGGGCCGGGCTCAAACATTTTTTGAATGTCACTACAGTCGAATATGCGGATGGCCAAGTGTTTGTAGATATATTAAAGGTATGTATTACATGATAAACATCTTTGTGAACTATGCTAACAGCCTTTAGTGTATTCTCCCATGTATCACTCAACTCCTCCCCAAAAACTCATCGCTCGTACATGGTATCCGGGCTTATGGGAGATACCGAACCATGATAGGCCTCAATTGTCTAACTCAAGGGCGGCTACATCGGCTGAAACAATATATCAAGGACTATGAAAAATGCTGCGAGGTGAATCAGAAGTCTATATATATAAGCTTTTATCTAATGGCTAATATACTTTACAGCACATTTCAAATGACTATGGAAAAAACTTCGACTTCATCAAGCAGCATGGTGTCAGTCATGTCGTCGAAGATATCATGCTGAAGGGTGCAACAGACAACTACGACACGCGGGTTAGTGAGGGTTTCCATCAAGAAGTGCAGGAAGCATACGAGCAGACAAACCGAAAGGATACTGATGGTCAAGTAAGTTTTCTCTTCCTAGGTAATGGATACCACAATCTCAGCATCGTCTTTGTAGATGGCTCGTATTGATGAAAATCAAGAAGCGGTTGCTCACATACGAATGACCATCGACAACTACGACAAAACCCGCCATGAACACACCAAGGCCAGCAACCTGGAGGACGAACACTTACTTCCCCCACATGACTTGAATTCCAACGAGGGCCAGCCTAGGCCCAATGGAAACCATTGGTCACTAGGCTCACCCATGAATCTTACAACGTCGCGAGTGATGGAGCATTATGATGGTCTCCGAGGGTTCCACAAATATTTGCAAAGGTTCCTGGCTGCCAACTGTGATGTAGCAAATGCTGAAGATCCCATTACTGTAAGCTCATTAATATATGCTCCCATATTTCTAGTCATAAGCTTCTAACGCTGTTCCTCACTTTACAGATTAGAAATTATCAGTGCATATACATTAAATATCAATCCATGGAAGATTGGAACGAAGGATGCGATATTCTCCGATGTAACCCCAGCTTCAATCAAGAACCACGTTTTGACTTCGTTCTTGTCAACACGGACACCCCAGAGCCAACCCCTGCTCGACTCAAAAAGCTGATCAGAATATTTACTCAACATTCTTCATTTGACATTGCAGTGGTCAAGGTGCTCAAGCTTTCGGCTGGAAACCCAAGGACTAGGTGGACGGGCGCTCGGCTGTATGATGAAGCCAGAGATTTTGAGCTAGTAAAAGCAGAGTACTTGGTTCGGGGAGTTCATATGATCAATGCGTTTGATCTCAAGGAGGGGAGCTTTTATTTAAACGATTTAATTGACGGCGACATGTTTTTACGTTTTGGGAATTGATATTAATACTTTTACATTTTATCTATCAACTAATGACTCTGAGTCCGCTAAGTGTCTGAAGGAATCTGGTATGGCCCGCTCGTATTTTCCAATGTCGTGACAATGCCTGGTGAGAGGTAATCTGCGGTCCCGATTTTGACACTTTCGCTGATTGGCCTGATCGTTTCATCTCTCATACCTGATTAGCGCTCGATCAGCGTCTGATCATGAACGCAACAGATTGACAGACATAACAGGATTATCTCAGATACTCACAGTGTCTGATCTGCTAAAATGGATTTTTCCGACAGTGGCTCGATGCCTTCCCACGCATCACCTACTCAAAATTATCCAGACATTATGAGGAGTTCCAGGCGCCTTATCCCGTGCTCCACCAGAATGTCGGGGTCCAGACTACAGATGCAAGCCCTGTCTGAAGTGAGCCAAAAAGGAAAGAGATTCGAGAGAATGTGAGAATAAGAAGGAGACATGCTAAAGTTATAAGTGAGATAGCTGCGGTCTTGGTGCGTTATCTCTCCGAACATCTTTCTTACGCGGTATAAGCTCCAGCACACTGAAGAATTTCTTTGGCCGGTTTTGTCAACTTGTTACACGGCGTTTCTCTTCATCTTCCACATGAACCAACCCGCAGGAATACACGATCCCGTAACTGGGGGAGTGACGACTACTTTTCTGGTGAAATCGGAAGGTAGCCACCTGGCGGTTACAAAAGGGTTATCATATGGCAACCCATGTACCTTGGGATGGCGTTGCGGATATTCCTCTACAACAAAAAAAGCTAGCTTTTATGTTGATCTTTCCGTGATCAGCAAATCAGTGAAGTCGATGACGGTGGTGCTTTCGTTCATATCGAAATCAGGTGCTGTCCAGCCTTCAGTGGTATCGAAGTTTAACCTATCCAAGGAAAAGAAAAAGACAGTTGTATTATTGACCTCTCGATCTGCTGCGAAGGTTTTAAAATATCCCACAGTTTCTTTTAAGGTCACTCCTCAGATTGAAGAGTTGTCCGATCAGTTAACTCCAACGCCAGAAACACGGATTTCGACTACTGAGATACCTACTACGACTATCACTGATAGCGACCCATTGAATTGTCAGGAGAGTGCTCCACAGCCGGTAGATGAAAATGGAAAGGAAGTGATCGACGAGTCTAAGGGGCGTATTCTCGTGGATGACACCCCTGAGAAAGAGGAGGGGCCATCTTCAGACCAATCCACATCTTTCCCAATACAGCGAAACTGTTTATCGGAGGAAATGATGCAAGATTTCGAACAGACGGTGAGCCATATTCTTGGAGAAGTTGTTACATGGAATAACGAACAATATGTAGAAACCAGAAGCATGTTCTCCGGAGCATGTCCATAAAGGAAACATAGCACTGTCCACATCACTGGCAGAATCCTTACGTACCGGAATTTTTATCGACACCAAGCTTTACGCATATTCTCAGCGCGGCCGTAAAGGGAGAGCTAAGCTACCTTTACCCATTTTTGCGAGTAGTGACGTCCTGCGTAAAAGCTCGTCGCTTTTGAGAAACAGTACGTTATGTATTCCTCTATCAATCACACCTATAGCCTAATCATCCATGCCAGAATTAGAAAATATTCGCACTTCTCATACCTGCATTACCGAGGTAGCCGATAATTCCGTTCCAGCTGAAGCAGAGTATAGTTACGAGTGCGATAGTGATTTAGATGAAGACGAAGCAGACGAAGCAGAGAACAATAGAAAAGACGATACAGATTTGTCGAGTATATCAGATGGTATGGGTATGACACTTTACAATCAATATGATCAAGCTGACCTTTGTATTGCCGATCCAGATGAAATTTCTCATATAGAGAGCAAGAGTGGAACTGAGTGCAGTTATGATAGTGAGTCAAAATAGCCTATATATCAGGTATACCACGGTGCATCCCCAACACGATCTGACCCACGTTGATTTTCAGGCTGGGGTGATATAGTCTCATCGAGGTGAATATACTGATGTCTGGCTTCGCAGCTATTATCAATCTGTTAATCTACTTCTACAGCGCCGCCAAGACTTCCACCAGCAAAGACTCGATTCTACTCTCAAATGCAAGCAGCAGCTTTCAGATGTTGGGCCAAACGCTACTCGTAAAAGATTACGCTTTTAAGACGTGAAGTTTGCGCTGGGGTCTATCTTCTTGCTATTAACGTGATACTTTTCAGGTGGCAAGCACTCATCTATTACCTCTACACAGGGGACATAGCCTTCTCGAACCTCGGGTCTGAGAACTTGAAACTGGCGCATTTAAAAGATGTCAACAGCCCATTTCCGTGCTCACCAAAGTCCATGTATCGTCTAGCTTGCAAGGTAAGCGGGGGAAAGCTGTCCTGTGGATACCACGTTCATAGTACTCTGTAGCTCGGCCTTGATGACCTCAAAGACCACGCGTCTAAATCGATATGCTCAAAGGTCACGAAGTACAACGTTGTTGAGGAAGTGTTTTCCATGTTCACATCCCGGTTCGTGATTCAAGCTAGTATGGCCTATGCATTTCGCTAATTGGTCTGCTAGATATCCTGCTATACGAGCCATGGAGCTACGCATTTTAATCGAAAATGTGAACTCTCCAGAAGTTACATCGGCGTTACTTCCTAAATTCAGTAGTATCGCGAGAGGCGATCTTCCTCACTGCGCGGAAGTATTGACAAGAATCGTCTTGGAACTGGCTGATGAAAAAGCCTCTGAAGTCTGAAGTTGGAAATTACTATCTTTTATTTTGAGAATGTAACTTGGGTTTGCACCATATCTTGAAAATACACATCTTGCAATATCGTAGCCCCTTTCCACTCCGTTGCCGAACTTGCTTACATGCCATGTTTTTGACCACCATAATATATCATCACACATATCGTGTGTTCTTAGGTTCGCAAGCTCTTCACTCACCACGTCTCCACACTCTTCCTGGTAGTCCAAACAAACCCCCACGTCGACACACCTCCTCCATCGTTCCCACATCCACATCAGCACCCAAAGCGCCATTAAGCTCAATTTTGACGCCTTGCGGTCGACTGGTATCGAATGTAACGCGAAGCTCAACCATGCCGGTGATCGGTGCGCGCTCAGGCGAAGTGATCACGATTGACGGTGGCGGCTCAAGTCGAGGAGGTGTGGGCATAGGAAGATGGGCAGATAATGGATCCGGAAGGGAATCGGATAGACCGGGAATCGACATGTCCCCCGTAGTGGGTGAGTCAAAAAGGCTGTCGTGCGCTGAGTCGGGAGGAGGACCGGCGACGGAGCTACTCGACGAGTAAGGAACGGCTAGAGAAGGGATGTAAACGGTAACAGGGATGAACCGTGGCCGGAAGGTACCAGACAACAGTGCCTGGAGAGTAGCTTCGGTTGCTTCCCCCTCATCTTCATACTCTACCTTGGCCTTAAAGTTGTCGCTTTCCTGCTTTGTGAACCGTGACGTCGTATCTGTCTGATTGCCATTCACGTAATTGTAATACGGCGGACTGTCAGGGGCCCACTGCACTGTAGTTAGCATTGCGTTTAGCCAACACTGTTCTTTCACAATCTTCCAGACGCCAACATCAGACCAATTGCCATGATAACCATAAATATACATACTTCGAGTATGGCCCATACTTCTTTCATATTGCGCACTGGAACGCGATCAAGGTAAAATCCAGGCTCCTGTGGCGCCAAAAGATGCAGCTCAAGAGGCGGATGTGCGTTGCTCGGTGAACGCTACGACACGCGACTAGGGTAAGGGATGTGGCATATTCAAAACATCAAAAAGGTTACGCACATACATCGTTTTGTAGCGTTCGTAGGACACCGCTTCGCTTCCTGTGAACTAACAAAGCGTCAACTAATGGAACAGTAAGAGAATTAGACGAAGAGGAACAATGTATGAAAAAGGCTAGGAACACGAAATTAAAGTGTAGAATGGTAATTTGTGACAAAGACTAGTTAAAGTCCTCAGTAATTGACAAAATGGTCCTCCACGACCAGAAAGCAAATCTACGATGCAAGGTGACAGAAGAACTTACTAGCATATCAAGCCAACTCCCCGACCAAATTGCCCCACCGTCCATTTCAGGGCTCATAGAAGAGCCACCCATGTGAGTACCACTTATCCCAAAGTTGACATTCCCCATGGTACCCAAACCCATGGATCCCATATCCATATTAGCCATACCTCCAACTCCCAGACCTTCAAGACCAGAACAGCTGTTATCACCCTCCGTTTGGCCCCGAAGCGCACGCAAGGTGCTTTCTATCGCAAACATCCTACCCTGGCTCATTACAACACCAGGTAGTCGACCACTAGAAGTGAAGTCGAGGAACCACGAATGATGTATCTGAGACGAACTTCCAGGATGACCGGAAGTGGAGCTGTAATTGAGGGTTGTTGATACAGAGGAGGGGAAATGCGGGAATACGTGGTTCACATCTGAGCTTCCTGGGTGCAAGGGAAAATTCGGTCTCAGAGCTTTGGCCGCTCTCTTTCCAGTATCCTGCTCTGGACCACCTAAAATCGGTGCCTTTTCGAGTGGGATGAGCACCAGATTCGCCATAGTAACCCCTGGTAGACGAGGGTGGGTCGTCAAGAAGCTCCGCAGGTCGACCATAGGTATGTCAATTTTAAGTGAACTCTTTGGAATTGTGCGGGGTCTAGCAGCAGCAACCGAGCGAGAGAAGGAAAGATAGACGAGAGGCGAGACGTGCACGAGAAATGATAAAACAGGTGCTACAAGATACGGTAATGGGAGTGCGTGGGCACGCAAGAGGAAAATGTCCAACGGAGCGGCAGGCGCGGTCAGAGCACTAGATATATTTCGCACGTATAAGAAAAAATGATGGCATAAAGCTGTGAGCAAGTTTACAAAAGGGAAATTAGGATGAACAACATACGAAGCGACATTCCCAGCTTCTTGCATCGCTACACGCTCCAAAGTCGCGTTGAGCTGATCAGTATCGATAAACCATCGAACACCACCGTAGTTCCCGCCAGTAGCAGCAAGCTTGTCCAGCATCATCAGGTAACCGAGATGCGTTTGCATGTCATAACCAAGACGCGCTGCGTGTATCGAGACATCATCCTGGGTATTCTCGGTTTCCATGCCTGTATCACTCGTGGATTCAGCATCCACTGAACCTTTTCTGACAGTATCTAAAAAGTCGCTCAAAGAGTTGTTGAGAAAAGCATCGAGACCGTCGGTTTTGTTCCCGCTTCCATTCACTGTGGTACCGTCAAGGGCGAAAGAAGTTTTGAAAGAAACGACCTTGACACCTGGTAATTTCGAAGACAAATCTTTGCTATCCGTAGTGGTCGCATTTTGGGAACCACCAGCAAAGTCAACACCAAGGTCCAAATCCACATCAATTACCAGGACTTTGCCTCCAAGGACTACGGTAGCGCGCGAACTAGATGATGGATTATAGTCGTTGAAGGTTTCCATACTTGCAGTCGCACCCCATGTTTCAATACGGGAGAGACACCACTCTGCTAAGGCGCGTGGTTCAGGGAAAACAGGGATATCCTCGCCGTAGAGTGGGCGCGAAGAGAGACGATTGCGGAATGATGAGACTGTTCTATGAACATTTTGATCTGCCTATCTGCAAGTGAGTTACACGGTGATGATCGCGAGATGGTTGAACAAGAAGAGCAGGATTATCAGAGGTATATGAGAGCGATAAAAAGTACGAGATTGAAGGCATACTGACGAGATGGAGGGTGTGTTCAATTGACGCCTGTTGTCTCAGCAGCGATAATAACTTTGGATCTTGAATTGCCAGAGATGCTGGATTATCAAGGGAATGTGCAAGCTGGTTTGTTATACCGATCAAATCACGCAAGGAGGCCACATGTGTCTCGGACGAGACAGAGAAGGGATGAGGGGGGGAAAGTCGGGACTGTGAGGAAGAAAGAGATTTTGAGAAAAAAAGGTCGTTGTGTAGACTATGGTTTTGGAGGGTGGAGAGAAGAGTAGGGGGAGTGTCGGAAATACTCGCTTGATTCGACAGCGACATTCATGGACAAATGCAAGTGGTTAATGACTTGACAGCCACCGCGCACACACTGGCACCACGACCACTGAATCGTACCAATCTAAGTCAAATTATGATTTTCTATTATATTCTCTAATACAATCTCCTTCGATAATGATATAGGCATCTATGCTTCCAGAAAGCAATGTTTCAAAACACCTGCTAGTGTTTGTTCAACTCCTGCTGCGTCTCCCCTTTGTCATGCCTGGCATTTCCTGTGATGCAATGCAGATATCGTCATACCGAAATTTGATGCGTCGGCCAAGGTCCTAGCGACTCACCTTCAGCTTGCTGCTGCTTGTCGCCAGTGAACGCACCAGCGACCGTGTCCTTCTTCCCTACTATTCGATCGGTGGTACCTTCGACGTATCCTTTACCTTTGGCGGCATTGTACTCGGACTCGCCCTTGGCGTGTTCATCCTTTCCAGACTGCTGCCACGAGGTCGCTCCAGTAAGGCTGCCAATCTGTTGGAATGTGAGTGTTAAAAAACTGGTTGATCATAAAACACGTTAAACATACAGTCTCATTCACCGTACCCTTGGCCGAGTGAAATTGCCCTGAAGTTTTGCTGCGACACCCAAGTCATTAAGCCTGCTCATGTCGAACGACACGGGTACCAACCTTGGGTCTTGGTAGGACATGTTATATCTGTACGAGTACACTGGTAGGATGTGTATTTCGTGTGGTTGATAGTTGCGTTCAACTTCCTCGCCTCGCTTTTGATTATATATTCGGTCAAACGGCTTCACTACGTCATTTCCACTCATTGGACGTCCGACGTCATCTCAAGATTCATGTCGTTTGACGCGGCTGCTTTCGACGAGCAGTGGCTGACACTGTTACATAGTAGTTTTCCTTAATTCAGACCAAGCCAGAGCATTACCGAGGGCAAAAAAGGCGTAAATGAGTTGGTGGTTCTTGGTATAATGCAATGTGCTACGTTACAACAAACATGAAACAATCCTAGCTGATAGTCTTTGGAATAAATACAACATCTACAACGCCCAGAGTGACATCAACATCATACCGCATATCAAGTTTCATGTGCTCATGTGGGACATAACTCTCTATGACCTGCTTTCCCCCACGTCTTCCAAACTTCGTTCTCTGACCTTCCCACTGCTCTCGCGACCACTCTACTGGCAACTCCCCACCCTTCCGTTTTAAGAGCCTCGAAGAAGCCTTCAACCGACCAAGGATGGGAACTGAAGACGGCTGATGAACGAGATTTGTAGTGGTCGTATAGTTCAGGGTACCAGGGGTCGTAGTAATCCGTATAAAACAATCTATGGGCTTCCCTATTTGCAAATCTATGTTCAAGAGACAAAGTCAACGCAAGGAAACTATCAATGAAAGACTAACAACGTACCGGAACATCCACAGCGCGATGATGATCTGGAAAACCACAAAGACAAAGATCATCGTCCTAATTGGTAATCGCCGTTCACTGATCGCAGTCGGTTGTATCTAAGTCGCTTTCGTTATTGTCGTCAAATTTTGGGGTAGACATCTAACTCACTATACGTTTACTTCTACTTTCCCTCATTGAAGCGTACTTCGTGCTCAAATCTGGTTCATTCTCCTTTACGTTCCTAAGGTCGCACGTCAGCTGGCCGCGTACACCCCGCGCAGTTAGCGACACGCCATCAAGATTTTGGAGATGTAAAACGTGAAGTGCCTCATCACCAGATCTGCACAGACAAAAAAAGTGCTTAGTGAAATCCCGAAGAATTGATTGTAAAAATAATACAGACCTTTCAACATCACTGCTTACTTCTTGGAATTCACGAAGCGTTGCCTTCACATATGCTAGTGCTTCATCGCGCCCCATGACGATGTCATCTATGACAGAAATATCACCATTTTCTTCACATTCTTTCAAGCTAGGATCCAAGTTCTCTTCGACCTCTCGACCCATGGCATCTACAATGCGTACTGCGCTCCTACTATTGTTGCGAGACGTAGCAGGTACATGCGGCGCTGTAGTCGATTCCTGCTCGTCCTTGGTCTCTTTTCGGTTTTTTGCACCACTATTCTTCTTACTGCTCTCCTGTCCGGCATTTGTGTCTTTATCCGCATCACCGTTCTCTTCTAGCCTTTCCCTACCAAACGCATCAACAACTCGTACACTTGGAGACTTCCTCAGAGGTCGAGGAACTGGCACAATAGGGGTCGAAGGAACTACTGGAGGGGGTGTTTTGGACCGTTCTTGTGATCTAAGGTCAGCGTTGGAGTCTGCGCTACCGTTGGCAGCAGTAGCAGCAGTAGTATTCTGGGTTGAACCAACCACTTGATCTGGTTGTATGACAGCTTCCTGTGGACTTTCAACGGCTGGCTTGCCAATAGTCGGAACTGTAACTTCCGTCATCGAGAATGACGTATCTGACTCGCCAGGCTCAACGTCAAAACGAACCTTCAATATGCTCCTCCTTCGTCCCAGCGACCCGAACTGAGATTGTGACTGGGTCAGAGAACTTGATTGTGTGGTAGGTTGGTTGGGTGTCGCCAGCCATGCTCCTGGTGGAGCAGGCGTTCGTAAGGGAAGGGAAGCAGCGCGTGACCGTGATTGTACAGGAGTAACAGGATCGTCACCAGCGAGCTGCTGGTCTTGTCCAGGAGACGGGTCGGGGAGGGACTGAGACTTAGGAAGAGAAGAAGAAGCTATGGTAGGATGTTGCTGAACCGGTGATGATGGGAAAGCGGGGGGGACATATTTCGGTTGAACAGGAGTCGCGGCCCAAGCACCAGGAGGTCGGGGAGTCTGCATAGCTGAGAATGTAGTGTCCATTCGCGCACCTCCATTATACTCATGTTTTTGGCCAGGCTGCGGCTCCGTTTCTTCCTCAGAGGAGGAAGGTGGACCCGGAAGTTCGGGTAGGTCATGTGGCGGTGAAGGCGTTCGAAATTCTAGCTTGTGGAGTGAAGACCGACGAGGTGGGGTGGCAAGCGAGAAAAGAGGTTGAACAGCTTTCTCGTCTTTAGTATCAATCTGTCGGGAGAGCTGAGGTGGTGATTCAATAGGGGGAGGTAAGCCTATTTCGGTGGCGGAAGGAGAGTGTGGCGCTGGGGACTGTGGTGGTATAGGTGGTGTTGTAGAGCGTGGAGAGGGCGAAGGGACTCGTGTTTTTATGGGAGGTGAAGGGACACGGGAAGCTAAAGCTTTCTGAAGGCGATTCTCATGGTCTAATGCTGCAGATGGAGAAGGGGGACGATGAGGTTTTGGGGATGATGGAGCTGATTCTAGGACTTCGGTTTCTGCATCTGACTCTACCCTCGAGGACTGAATCGACGGGACAGTGAAATGTACATTAGCTGGGGATAAATGATGATCAACAATCATGCAACGACAATAATATAAAATCGAGGTCTATCACGCACCGGTTGCTAGATCCTGACGTCTAAACCCATCAGATCTGAGGTGAGGTGGGATTCGTCCCGCAGACTCGCTCAGTTCTGTCAGAGTCCTCCTGTGTCCTTTGCTGTACGTAGCGTCTTCCCCAACCTCCCCATCGTTACGTTCACTAGAACCAACTTTACTCTTCCTTGAGGGTGATAACACAGGAATTAAACTGGGTTTCATCACCCCAGACATCCTGCTGGACGGCCTGGAGCTTGGAGACGGAGTAGACTGGCGAAGATCATGCATTGAATCCATCTGACCAACTGGAACCTCAGCGGACTTTTGTATTTCATTAGCCGAAGTCGAGGAATGACTACGAGGAAAATGCCATCCAAATCGTGATCCGAGAGCAGGCGTTCTGGGTGCTTTGGCGCTAGCATCGGTAAAGTCTGACTGATGATCATCCTCCGTATGGACCGAAGAAGGGGGCCGGGGAGAGAATGATGAGCGCTGATTATGTACAGAAGACCTGAAGGACTTTGTAGTAGAGTGAGGATCAGAGGATAGTACTTTTGATCCCGACGGTATTGGCTTTCGATGAGACACGTCCGTAGGGACCGAAGAAAGACTTGATGCCGACCGCAGGGATTGACGCATACCCCGATTCTCACTTAGCCGTCCATTGACTTGACCGGTAGGTAATGGTGAAGCTGGCTTCGTACTTCCTTCGCTATCGCGCCTTGACCTTGTTGAATGCCATTTGGGATGGGGGGAATTCCAATTACGCTCACGTTCGTGGTCAAACTCTTCCTCTGGTTCACGTTCCTTAAGTGATCCCCGACTTCCAACAGAACCACTCGGAGAACTAGCTCGAGAAGACAATGAAAGTGATGAATGTGACGTTTGACGCTGAAGAGAAGAATGTGTGGGGGTGAGGTAAGGCGTAGCAGATGGTGGGCGAGGTGCATGCGAGTAAATATGCGAATGTGAAGTAGGTGAATGAGTGCTCAGACTGGAAGACGGACGGCTATTGGGAAGATGTCGCTTATTCCACTCCCGCTCCCGTTCTTTATTTCGCTCTTGGTCCATTTCTGCTATGCGTTCGCGATCTACTCAAAACATTTTCGAAATCAATGATCTCAAAATAAGGCCTGGTAGAACAAATATCCAGGACTCACAGTCGGCGTGGGAGCCCATTGAGCTTGGCCTTGAGCTCTTGTCATCATCAAAACTTCGCAGAGATGCACTACTACCTCTCCTATGCAAACTCCCACCATTGCCATTCGCCATTGGTGAACCATTCCGCGAGAATGACTCTTGGGACAACGACTTCATGTGTGATTGGGAATGACGATGGTGCAATTCGGGGGTGCCCGATCTAGAGAGCGGCTGTTTGGGGTGCGGTCGGTTCCACTCCCGCTCTCTCTCCCGATTACGCTCTTCTTCGACAGCGTGTCGAGGGTCTTTAGCTAGATATAATGATGATATAAACTAACCTTGGAGAGCAAATTAAGTGAGAATCACGTACTGTCATTAGTGCTCATGGATGAGCTAGCCCGCGACGCTGATTTTGCAAAGGAAAAATAATTAAATGACGTAGCCAATGCAAAACTAATTTGAGATAGACGAACATGAAGCACTAAAATCGCCGCTTGCACGTCTCGAAACCAATGTATGACCATTTTCTCCACCGCCATTCGAGTGAATACTATCGCGCGAACCCGATTTGACATGAAACGAGGCAGAGGAACGAGGGCGAAGAGGTGTCTTTGAGGGATGCATGGGGGTTGATATTCGCTTTGGTAATAATGAAACTAAAAAAATGTGAATCAGGGAAAATATAATAATGATTCATGATCACCTTCGCCCTCCGAGACGTCAAATTCTTTCATGACTTTTTGCATCTCAGAGTCCTGGTCCATAAGGTCTGCATAGCACCGACAAAATGGGATTTTACATCATCAGAGAAGTAATAAGAAAGACTGACTGGATCCATATGCCAATTGAGATGGCATTTGAAAAGAATTCTGAAAGGAATGCTGAGGCGTGCTAGTTGCCACAGGAGGCGTTGCAGGAGAAGAAGTCGATTGTCCGAAAAACCTAGCACTGGATTTACTGTCGGCATTTGCACTCTCAACAGTAAACTTATCCACGAGAGAGGACGAAGTAGAATCAACCGCTACTTGAAAAAAATGACATGCAGGAGAGTATGCAGACTTAGACATGAACAATACTGACGAGCAAAGCGCATACCATCGAATAGAGCTGATGGCGTCTGTTGGTCCATAAGTTGGGTTTGAGACGACATCAGACGCGCATTTAGGGTATCGAAGGTTGCTGCATGTGATGATCTGAATGAGGGATCTGATACTAAACATGACTCTTGGGTCACGGATAAAAATGTGATACAAAATACTACGCACTTGATGGCCTATCAACTTCTTCATCACTCAGACTGAGTCTATTTCCTTTATTACTAGCTCTCTCCTTTTTTAATGTAGCGTTTGTTTCCACATCACTGACATCAACACTATTTCTCCGTGGCCTCGACTTCAGTGGCGTACCTCCAGGCTCTCGAAGAGCATGGGAGAACAGATCTCGAATGCTTTCAGTGGCAATGCTGGATGTTTTGGAGTCAAAATGTGGGGTATCTATGTCTGAATCTATATCTGAGGGAGTCGCACGTCCGTGCAGGGAAGTTTGAGCAGGCGGTGAAGAGTGGGTAAGAGCAAGAACAGCACGCAAACGGCTGGCTGTGGTGTCTGTTGGTGTCGCAGATAAGGGCGAGACACCAGAACCATAATGTGTCGTAGATGGAGATATAGCTTTAGTCGGCATTCGCGGGGTTGACTCCTGGTCTTCATCGTCACTGTTGCTGTGAGGAAGCTCCAAACGGGCTGACGAAGATCCTGCAAGTGGTGTACGATCCATATTGCCATTCTGGAAACGCGGGCTGGGGCTACGGCGAATAAGTCTCAAGCGGGGAATATGAATGTTGGTGGAAGTGGGTGTCTCCATGGTCTCCTCGTCGTGCTCGACGACGAGCAGCCTATGTGCAGCGTGCTCGCGTCCAGCAATTGTGGTGCAATATATTAGGAAATGGAGGGAAGCTTATGATAAACAACACCAAATACTGTTTCACTCTTGTACGCTCCAAATTCGGAATCGGCCTTGTCTTTATCTTCCTCAATGGTCAACCACACAAATGTTAATGTAAACCTTCCATATCTTGACAACGAATAAAAGCTTGTTACTATATCTCATTATTAATTCCCTTTCTTTGTTATTCTGTCCCCTAGGCCTTTTGCTGGGAGGAACTCAGTTGTTGTAAAACCACTTGAAGGTTGCAATTGCAATGAGTATCTGATCCATACACAATATCCAACAGTGTGGTATGTCTGCAATCGACTATTAGACTGAGGCCACTTTTTTCTATTTGACAGTTATTCATAGCCGCTAGCTTTATATGTCCACTCCGAGTGAGGTGATAGTCCAAGTCCGTCGGAGAACTAGTGGCCGTACCAAGACCAAGTTGCGCTAGCACAAATCTGGACCCACAGCTAAAGAATAGCTCCGCCAACGATGTTGAATACCCAAGTTAAAACATCGAAAATTTCTTTTACGTTGGTGAGAACACTCGGTTGCATCGGTCACATTCGCTGTATCCTCTACAGAAATGCCTTCACGCCATTCTTTACAGCAGGCTGCCATCGCCATAAGTGTAGTGAGTGTCATTTATAATATAGCGGAAGGTATCGTCTCCGTTGTTTTTGGTTTGGAGTCGTCCTCTCGATCCCTTGTCTTCTTTGGCATCCAGTCAGCCATCGAGGTAGCTTCTTCGGCTTTTGTCGTGTGGAGATTTTGTCATGTGCGGAGACCTGGCGACGAAACAGGCAATGACCTTGAAGAACGTGCTGATACGAGGTGAGATTTACCATTGTGTATTCTAGTGTCATTACTGATTCTGTCCATTCAAAAGATTCGAAAGAATATCTACCATCGGCATCGGTATGCTACTCATCATGCTCGCCGTAGCTGCAATCGTTAGCTCTATCGTTGCCCTGACACAGCACGAACACCCCAGTCCGTCTAATGCAACGCTCATCGTATCTGCTAGCACCATGTTCATCACATTCGTTCTCTGGATACCCAAGCGTTACTTGTCACGTGCTCTCAATTCAAGTACTATGCAAGGTGAAGCGCTTTGCGCTCTTTCCTGTATCCAATTCAGTGCAGTGCTTTGCATCGGCTCTTTGATATACCGGTTGTGGCGCGGTGGGTGGTGGGTGGACTCTGCGACGGCTATCTTGATTGCTCTGTTGTTTGGTTGGGAAGGCCAGAAGATGGTTAAATGGGCAAGAGACGCAGCATTTGATGGGGGATGTTGTGGGCACTGCAAGACGGTTCCAGGAAGCCGATCTACTGTAACTGGTGATAGTAAGGACAGCGAGGTTGCCATATCCGACTCGCACGAAGTTATATCAGCCACATCACCCGTCAGTGAGCGCTGCACAGGGAATGATAGTTGCGGTATTTCAGATACATCTCACGTTCATGCGAGCGAAGTCGCGAAGTAACCGTAGTTCCAGGGCATTTCTTCGGAGAGAAATGCACAGGGGATCTTGAAGATCGTGTTAACATTTACCTAGAAAACTACAATAATAAATGCTATGTTATGCTCTGCAGTGTCACGATGTGATTTGATATCCGGATTAATTTTGTTCCTTCTCTGATATCGTGTTGTTCAATGTTCAACAGTTCATTTACAGCTACGACGATACATGATTATACAAGGTATGATTCACAAAGCAGATAAGCATTTCTAGAATTTGCCAAGACTTCCTTCCCCCCCAAGAACACACTGGCAAAGAACTTAAACATAACAAAGAACGGCATATTCCTGATCATGAAAAGATGAATGCGATGCTTTGCAAAAGTCGAATCATGTCTTACCTTGATTTTCTTCTCAGTATTGTCATACGGAATATAAGCCCCTGTCGCAGAGATAATATTTAGTAATGCATGATAAGCATGTTTATTACACGACTCACCATCCCCATAAACCTCACTTGCCTTTCCGGGATGGACCGCGTCGTGGTATGGCGCCTTTGCAATGTACTGCTTATCACCTGACGGTTCAGAACCTCCCTCGACAGGCACGTAGCCAAGATGTTCCACTTTCAGCGTACCCGAAACGCTCACCCATCGCACAGCTCTCGGATTCCCGACGAGGATTTCGTACTGGTCAAGCTATACGGTGAACACGATCAGCTTTGTGAAGATAACGCAGCTCTGAACGATAACACACGTGGATTTCTTCTTTCTTGTATCCGATAACGGCACCTTTCTTAAATACGGACGACGCTTTGCCAATCACTAACATCACGATGTTTTATCAGCTCTCCATACTGGAAAACTGTAGGGTAACTAGATACGTACTCAAGCCACCCTTAAGAAAGAAAATGGGAGATATCGTTAGCATATACAAGCAAACCGCCTTGTTGAAGAAACTTACATCCTGGTATGCACGGCAAATATACAGCGGCTCACCACGCTCATACCCTCCTTCAATTGCATCAGTCGGGATATTCTTACCCTGGGTGAGTACCCAGGCTACGGGGCTAGGGTAGTTTCCATTTCGGTACTGGTACGTTCGTGACTGTGCCTCGGTAATCCAGTTGTTCAACGACCAAAGGTGCGCTTTTTTCTATCACAATAGCGCTCTTTAGAAAAGGCTCGCTAAAAACAACAACGCACAAACTTACCTCCTCGGCGGATTTCTCGTGTGACTTGTACGCCTGGTAGCCAGCACCCAAAAGGGCAACACCAGCAAGAATCCCGCCTCCGACCTTGAAAAGAGATCAGCCATAAAACTTTGAACATCTAATACATCACAGTACCTCGAGCTCCTTCTTGCGATGATCGTCCAAGTCGTACCAGTGTTTCTTGCGCTCTTCGTGGGTGGGCTCAGCTTGGGGTTGAGGTTGCTGCGGTTGTTGATACAATGGAGCCTGAGGCTGTTCTCCGTAGGTTGGAGCAGGAGGCTGAGGTTTACAATCCTCTCCCCATTGCTGAGAGCTTTGGTGATGGCCGTGGTGCTCCTGCATACGCCCCCAGAGTGCGGGGGTTGCAGGAGGAGTCCAGTCCGACTACCCACATGACGACGAACGTATGTTATTACGAAAGGATGTGGATGTAACATAGACAGACGTACCTGAGATCTGTGGGGTTGAATGATCTTGTACTTAACATCTGGGTACATCTAGTTAAGCATGTGATGGTGACAGGCCATTTCTCATAACCAACCGTCGAAGATCACAACAGATCCGTAGTCGTATTGAGTGCCAGGTTCCCAGTATTCAACCATTCTGACGTTTTTCGCTGTGTGGGTGGTTGTGGTAGTAAATAGGTGAAAGCGAGTAGCTACTCTGTGGGTGCTTTCCACAACACCCTCCCTTTATATACAACATTTGCCCCACACCCGTGGTTATCACCGAAAGCTAGCAATGGAAGAAAACCTTGGATGGCCGGACCAAAGACTAAAACGGGGTAAACCCCCAAACTGATGAACCACTGAGTCAGGTAGGCAGATCGGCTAGATTTAGTCTACCGCGACGTAGGGGAAGAAGTGTGACCTAAGAGAAGAACGACAGAGAATTCACATCTGATGGTTATCTGATTCCTCGCTGCGGAAAACGTGTACGGATGAATTCATCATAGTGATGCAAAAGAAGACAAACTGACAGTTCAATGTTCGGATGAAGGGTCTTGAGCATAATCATTAGGTAAACTGGTAGCTACATTGGATGTGGAGTCTTGTGGAGGTACCTGGATTCTTCCATTCCAACCGTTGTGATACCAATCAGCAGTTCATCATCATAGCCAAAAGGGTCTGACGAACCGATATTTTGAACAACTCAAGGAATCAACTAGCTTCATCTATATCTAACCCAGCTAAGCCCGGTCCTGAATAAAACCATGTGAATTCTGGAGTACATTAGCCAAGGTCAAAGTTATACTTGGGTGAATGGACGGCTTCACTCAGGGGCTAACCTATTTCCATCAAGTTATAGTAATCGGTAGGAAGTGACATGATATTGTAATAGCTGGGTTACACTTACTCAGCCTGGCCAAGTCTATGCCTCATGAAATGCACATTCGTCGGACCGATTACGAGCAGTGCGGGGTCCGGAGGTAGTCAACGTTTCTGACAGCTCATCAAGGAACATAGCTGGCATATAAGCCGGCTTGAGCAGGGCGAAGGTTAGACCTCCTGCCACTATTGGAGCCTGGATATCCAATGTAATAGCCAAGACTGCCTGCACGTCAGTACAACTTGTGAAACAACTTGATATCAGTTGCTACATAACGAGGTGGAACTATGCACACTCATCGCTTTCAGACGCAACCGAACTAAATAGGATGTACTACACCTCAGCGTTACAAAGAAGCGCGTAGATGCCTTGCACCATGATTTCTCTTAGTTTTATCAGGTAAAGGAGGGACAAGCATGTTTCCATAAAACACGTAATATAAGATAGATGCATCCGAACTACGCTTCCAAGTATTATAGATAATCGATAATCAGCTGATGAGCTCGCAACGAGCAAAGGTGAGCTTACAGCTATATGTCCATCTCATCGCCCAAAGATAGTGGAAATTAGACTAGGTTTCAAAGTGTACAATATATAATGCCTTATCCTGTTTCTTCATTGTAGCGGTCTTATCCAAATCCATTGCCCACAGAATAGGTTGTTGCTGGTCATATCAATCCGCCGACTCTGTCTTCCACGATCTTCGCAACAGTTGGGCCGTACACTGGTATTTGCTCGCCTTGGAAACCTTCGGGGTATGCAACGCGAGGGGTATCGCCCTTGGTATAGTAACTACAGAACAATTCAAAGAAAATATTAGCCCTTCGAATTCTATAGAACGCCAGCGAGCATAGTTGATCACTAACGTATCGTTCCAAACAGCGAAATGCTGCATCCCAAGTGCGCCGGTAGTCCATTCATAATCATGTGCAAACCCACCCGGGAAGAACATCTCGATGACTGTTGATATAGGTGTGCGCGGCATCAGAATCAAATGGGAGAGACCATTCCCATGCACGCCAAGTAATACCTGCAAAAAGCGTCAGATAAAAAAATGGAGCCATATATAAGGACAATTGCTTACAGTGGTTCTCGCAGCAATACGAACTTGTTCATCTTTGCTGAGTTTTTCTGCCTGTATTATATTCAGCTCCCATGGTCTCGGACGCTCGGTTCCCTCATATGCGCTTCTCTCTGCATTTTTCCGCTCAACGAGTTCTTCTAGTGCGATCACAAGACCGTCGTGATCCTCTTCAATTAGATGCCGACGTCCAGATTGCCGTGATATGTAGGTAACAACCACTGTATCTTGCTGCTCAAATTCGCCTGACGTGGAATCCATAATACTTTCATCCACACCAGCAAATCGCCATAAAGCATTTCGCACATTATGCCACCAGAGGCCACCATGGCTAAGTCTTCCACGAGCGATAAGGCCATCAACTGCCTCGCTGGCTGTCCTTTGATTTTCCGACCCACAGAACTTACCACGGAATGCTGCGGATCGATCCGAAAGTAGAAGCAAGGGGAAGTGCCAGGCCCTTCCTTCATATTTGGCCTCGAGGGAAGATGCATGGACACGGTCTGCCCAGTCTTCATCGACTTCAACTGTGATAGAGGGGAATGCGGCACGAAAGAAGTAGGCATTGAACCCAGGGTGGTCACGCCACCCCGCACCGGATGAGTGTGGGAATATAGCACGGTGAATGGGCGGTGGAGGATTCGACTGATCCGTCATTGCGCCCGTCCAGAACGCCCAGGCGCCAAATAATAACTCTGCGCAAAAGTGGTAATAATGGCCAAGGACTGCGAAGATAAAAAGTTGAGTAGCGCTACGAAGTTGAAAGGCCAAGATACGTACATTGAGAAGGGTCGTTGAAAAGGAACTTGATATATGCAAACATGAGGATCCATTGAGGAATCGGATGAATGTTTTAGGCAGAGAAGTACTCACAGTGTTACCCTCGACGGTCCATACTCTCCTTGTTGCGGCCTCTTTCCCCCATCGTTTTTCCGCCTCCTCAGGGCTAATAAGTTGCATATTATCCGGAGTAGGCTCTCGCAGAGCTATATTCTCGGGTGTGTTTTCTGCTCGCAGGCCAGTAGAGGTCATAAAGCGGATGTCGGGGAAGTTTAACGGGGAGGAAGTGACGATGAAAAGAGTTCCATTTGACATGTAAAGATCACGAAAAACGGTCCAACCGGGAACATGTTCAACGATCGTTGTATGAGGGAGAGTAAGCGAATGTGTGTGTAGTGAGCTGTCTTGCAGAGGAATAGGGGTGTGATTAGGTTCCACATCATGACTAGAACTTGATTCGACAGGGGGGTGTGAATCATTGAAGTCCTGATCTGGGCTGACATGAAAGTTTTCCTCGCGATCATGCACTGTGTCTTGCATCAGCTGGTGATGTGTGTTGATGACTATGGAGGAATGGGAGCCAAAAAGAGCGATTGCGGAGAAGAAGTGCATGGAGAGGGCACCGAGGAGGATGAGGATGGCATCACGTCTGGAGAGGGTACGGAGGAGGGGCGCCATGGGGGGGATCAGCTTACCTGGAGATGAAAAAGCCAAGAGGAGTGGAGCACGGAGAATGAGTTGGAGCGCCTATGTAAACGACATATCACGGATAATAACGACAAACACCGAGAGAACGAGAGAGACGGTCTGGAATGCACGGTTCTCAGCGTCTCTGCTGACGGAAGACTCATGGCCCTGCATGATCAACTGTCATTCAAAAACAGCCAATGACCCACTAACGTTAGTTAGAAGCGGTCAGTCAATACCGTCAGTCCTGTCTGTGCCTCAAAGTCACGTGCTACACTTCACCTGTCACACCCCTCCCTTGTCACACGTGCACCGCTCGACCACCATGTTCTCATTCGCCGTCGTCCTCTTCACGGTTCTCTCTACCCTTGGCCATCATGCCTTTTGTGCTGCGGTAAGAGACATAAAGCCCCTCGTTATCTGGCATGGCCTTGGGGACTCCCATTCCTCTCCTGGAATGCTGCAATTCCAGAGTGAAGTCAAGAAGATGCATCCAGGCATATTCGTACATTCCATCTACATTGAGGAGGATCTCAAAGCAGACCAGCGAGCAGGCTTCGTACGTAATTTGCCTCCCCTACATAGCAATCACTCTCAACTTCTTTCTTTCCATAGTATGGAAACGTAAATGACCAAATAGCTCTTGTAGCCTCGCAACTGGCATCTGTTCCAGAGCTCAGTCGTGGTTTCGATGCCATAGGTTTTTCGCAGGGCGGCCAGTTCCTCCGCGCATACACAGAGCGATACAACGACCCTCCCATCCATAACCTCGTCACATTTGGCGCACAACACATGGGGATATCAGATCTGCCCCTCTGCAGCGCCTTCGACCTCATCTGCCAAATTGCGCGTCGCGCAGCAAGAAGTGGTGTCTATGGCGAATGGGCGCAGCAGAACCTCATTCAGGTACGTTTCTTCATCGTTCGTCCCCTGGTACAAACCAACCATTCATACCGTCCACACAATGTGATTGATCTTGTAGGCTCAATACTACCGCGATCCTGACCAACTACCCCTTTATCTCACCGCCAATCATTTCCTGACTGATATCAACAACGAATATGCCCCCCCCACGGATGAGCGCAACGCCACTTATGCCGAGAACCTGGCCTCTTTGCAACACCTTGTGCTTGTATTGTTCAAGGAGGATACAACTGTAGTACCAAAGGAAAGTGCATGGTTTGGTTCAGAAGCACCACCGGACAGCGGCCTCAAGGACCAGTCGTCCTCCCTTCAGGCCGTCCTCGATTCGAACGGGATGCCCTTTGTTTCAGGTAACAAACCAGTGCAACAAAATAGAACAATGATCCCTATGCAAATGCAGCCCCTCTATATTGAAGACTGGATTGGTCTACGAACCCTCGATGAGCGAGGAGGATTAACGTTTGCCACCTGCCCTGGCCAACATATGCAACTGACAGGCTGTTGGGAGGACTTGGTTGGTAAATGGATTGGAGGAGAATATCTGTAAAGGTCAGATGTGGACACGATGTACCATAATACACCCTTGTGAATCATTCATGTTTGTACACAACTATTAATTTCTAGTTCTCGTTGGATAGAATGCAGTAACTTACTTCCACGGCTTTTAAGACGAATGCGTAGCCTATGCGAATACATGCTAGAGCAGATTCAAAAGACTTTGCAAAGCATATGTTATATTCGTGCCACTTACCATTCCTAAGAGCCATGCAGACAGTAGTGGGTAAAGCACTTACCATTGACATAGAACACCGACATATGGACCTGGTGACCCAATAGGATGACCCCGACAGGCACCTACTGGTTTACTCGCGACGGCTGTGCTTGTATGCAGCCTTCCCAACATGATTTTGGGATAATATCAGCGAACTGGCATGGCTCCAGGTATAGTCCAGACAGATTACTGCGCTCCACTTTGAAAAGGTCTGTCGAGTCAGAATAGATAAGGCAGCAATGTCGCCTACTAGTACTTCAGGTTGCTTCCTCGACTCGGAACGGCCGTGGAGGATCGCCACAGTCATGCTCTCCCATCAAAAATTCTGTTTCCTGTGAGATGACCTATGGGTAGAAATAAAAGAAACTGCCCAACGCACCATAGATATATACTCTTCAATCTCCTCAGTCTAGGTAAAAACCGATAGGTACAGGTTAGAACTTGACCTGGCCTCCAACTTCGAGCAACTTGTTTCACTTTATCGTAGAGTGGATCAAGTCAGTCACACTGTGTCACGAGCCGAAAGCCCGAAAAGGTGAGCCTGAGAGTGTCCACATTTTCTGATTAATATCCCTCCTACTCACACGTCGTCGAGCTCAAATCCTCCCCACTCAGTAAAAAATGTCAGGCGCAGCAGCATCAGCGGTTCCCTCCAAGTTCTCCTCTTTCTTTAATCACCCGGCTGGTGTGTGGTGCTTTTCTTACAGGTGTCGTAAAAACTAGCTCTGACGGATCATGCTGAATGGCCATTTTCCCTCACTGTCTCATACTGTCATGCCGACGTCGATGTCCCTACGGTGTATTTGCGCTATTCCCACTTTCTTGCGGCCCTTGGTGTAGGCCCGAAAACGGTCTTTTTCTGGGCTCCGATGATGAAGTGGTGTCTCGTCGCTGCTGGTTTGAAAGACATTAGCCGACCTGCAGACAAACTCAGCGTTTCACAAAACATCGGTACGCATCACTGTACACAACCTGTTTTTCTCCCGACCGTGGTACTGATTATGGTCCATACTTTCCTCTTTCGTACTTTAGCTCTGACTTGTACTGGCTTCATCTGGGTCCGTTACTCTCTTGTCATAACGCCTGTCAACTACAGTCTGGCAGCAGTAAGTATATCTTCATTCCCGCGTTCATTCAAAGCCTGATATAACCATCCCACTAGGTTAACTTCTTTGTTGGGTCAACTGGTTTATATGCTCTTGCACGGATTGGCAAGTAAGTACCGCACAGTGATTTATGTTTCTGTGTTTCTGCTTACTCTTTTAAAGTTACCACTACAACACACCACAACCGAAGGAGACTGCGCCTGTTGCTGCACAGAAGTAGGAGGGGAGAGGTCTTAGAGGTCACCAAACGTTTTGCTTTTGCAGCTTTGTATTTTCTTATTCGTCTATGCATAATGGATATTCTCCTGGATACTGTTATGCCAATCTGAGATTGTGTAAAGAAGTGCTTCGAATGTGCTCCCACTGACTTGAAATATAGTAATAGATGTGGGGGTATGCCTACTCCGTTCATTGTCACCTGCTTCGGGAATCCTTCTTACGACGACCGCTCCGAGTCGTATCGGCATTTTCTTCTGTGGCACTACCTGTACCAAATGCAGCTTTTGCGGTGTCCCACCAGCCTCCTTCCCCCATTATGTGATTCACAGAATCCACTATATCCGACATGATCTTCCCAGCCTCTTCACCTCCACTGTGATCCTCATCGTTGGCTTTGTATTGCCACTCTTCGTGTTTTTCAAATGACTCCCATGGTTTGGGACGTTTCTGCCCGTCTGATCGTGTTCGAGAAGAACGTGATGTCGAAGATTTGTACCGAGGCTGAGAATACGCAGCATCGTTTCGACCTTGGTTATTGAGTATGCCCAAAACAATGCTACCTAAAGTGCTTGCGACTCCTCCCCCTCCGCCACCCTGGTTACCCAGGTACCAGCCTGTCCCGGCGGCGAGAGCGCCAATGATGGAGCCCCATTTGATGAACCAGAGGGCAGTCCTGAACATCCAGGTTGTTGTCCTGTACAAGCTGATAAGCGCAAGGTATGCGGCAAGGACGGTGATGAGTGGCGGTATTATTGTCTGAGCGTCCCATTCCCATGGTTTGGATGCAACGAGGGATAGGACGAGTGAGACGAGCGCGCTGACGAGAGCAAGAGCATGTGAGATAAAGGAGAGGAGAAAGTCGTAGGCTGGGGGAGAAAGCTTCTCGGATAGAAAGTCAAGAATGGGGTCTAATATTCGTGGTAATGGGATATCTGCGGGATCAAACATTGTTTCAGTTGACGCTAAGGACGATGAGCAGCCACGTAACGTTTGTTGAATACGGATGGTCTCAGGGGGTCCAGGCCGGCGTGACAGGAACCTCGTATATCTCAGATTTAACTAAATATGTGTGACAGCTACGTCAGCAATTCTTTTTAGGAAAAGCAGAAATTCGGGCGGAGTATATAAAACAGGGGTTCAATGTCATCAGCCAATCGGATCTCACCGGCAGTCTAAATTCAGCGATCATTTCCAGGCTACATCCGCGAAATGCGATGAGTCTCCGGCGCTCTGACGGCAATTTCGCTAAAAGCCCCGCTTTTCTGTTTTTTACCAAGTTTACCACTCCGCGACCATGGACAAATATTGGTAAATATCCAAGCTTATAAGTTCGAGAGTAGGTTGGATATGTCTCCTTTTCCCAAGATCTACCTGTCTGTCTCACAGCCATATCCTCCTCGAAACAGATATCCCCCCTTGCTTTTACACTATGGCCATGAAGCGTAAATTCGAATTCGAGTCTGACGACACTTGCTATCAAGTAAGACGTTCCCCTCCTTCACTCTGTGTCTGTGCTCAACTGTGTCCAAGTTGACGAAGCAGCTAAAAATGGTCCCCTTCCCTAACTATGAGCCTGATGTCGACGTCGCAATGTCAGATTCTTCCTCTTCTGACGTCGAGGCTTACTCCCCCGAGACCCATCACACCCGCCTCGCATCGACCACTAGCACTTCGTCTGGCTCTTCCGACATAGACTACAGCTCGCGTATGTATGCGCGCTTATTTCTGTTGGCATTTCTAAAATTCGCCGAATAGCTCTTTATCCTAGATTCCAACTGTACCGACCTGTCCTCGAAACCGGATCTCTCCTAGATTCCGCCAAAACCGTCGGCTTACTTCAACCTGCAAGCTCTTTTTCGCATCATGGGTACGCTCCGTTTATCAGACATTATTAATCATACAACTAATTGCTTATCATTTGTTCTTGTGATTTAATGCACCTTAGCTCAAGCTGCTCTCAAATACCCAAGCTTCGTGTTGCCTGCTCTGCCGGTCCCGACGGTCAAAGAACTATGTGGAGCTTCTGTGAACAATGCGGTGCGATATCCATGGTCGATTCCGACTAAATTTCGACATTCGATCGCTTCCTCGACAACCCACGACATGGGCCCGGTGCTAACTGTTAACGCGACTTCCCCTTTTTTTTATTATCCTTTTTTATTGTGCTAATGTTCTATGAACTTTCGTGTTTCCGCGACGTATGGCAGCCACCGTATCCCGTTTCATCCATCCACCTCCACGTCTTCGAAAGGTCGACTCACCTGATATATCCTCTCCCATAAATCTCCAAAATCACCTGCCGACTTCATTCTCGACATCTTGGCTCTTCCACTCAGCGACACCTCCCGACCTATCGAAACTCTCATGCCACTGCCTGCCTGCTGCTACTATATATGCATCGTTCCGTCACGACCTGTGCTCTCCCTGTACATATTACCAGTGCTCATTTGTATATTACACGCGGCAACTGCTATCCGCTTGCTTTTTTCTTTGTGCATATTAAAGTGAAGCACTCGTCGACGTGCAATGAAGAAATGTAAGGTTGAAGTGAAGTATTAGTTCTATTGTACATGTCGACTGCGGAGTGTATAACCGCTATAAGTTTAGCGCCCATTTTGTATGGTGAACGCGAGTAGAGTTCTGTTCGCCAGCGCCACATGTACAGCTTACTAGTATTCCTTCAACTTCTCTCATGACTCAAACGACCTTGCTTCAGTATGAAGCACCATGTAAGCTCATGAATTCAATCTGACTATGATCTGTTGGAGCTAAGTCTGCCGCTGTAAAGGGCCCGTGCACGCTCTAGACTGGTGCAAGTCGACAACACCAGGACAGCAGCTACGCCCACGATCCGCTTTCCGTCTAGGTATCGCTTCATTCACTGAAGACTATCGAAATCGCATTGCTGTTGTTGGATTGCAGGACGAGCGTGTACTTGTAGAGGATGATTACACGGATTACCCAGATTTTGTGACTCTTGTTGAAGCAAACCATGGCTATCCCGCGACAGCCATACAATGGCAGCCAGCTAGTGCAGGCGGCTATGCATGGACTGGAAAAGCCCCAGCAGCAGAGCTGCTGGCGACGACGGGTGATGCCTTGAGAGTATGGGAGTATTTTGGTGATGCACCACCCGCAGCGTCGGGGTATGTGGGAAGGCAGCCGAGTGGGGGCGGGCATCGACTTACGCTGAAAACTGCGTTGTCTGGGGTGCGTACCCTATTCATACATTCATCCACTGTCTATCTTGACCTTTTTGCTTTATCTCAGCAATCAAAAGTACAGAGTCAAACAACAGGTGCTCCCTTGACGAGCTTTTCGTGGAATGAGAAGGCTCCTAGTCTTGTCGTAACATCATCGATCGACACAACATGCACGGTATGGAATATTGACACGGCGACGGCAATTACTCAGCTCATCGCTCATGATCGTGAAGTATACGACGTCGCATGGTTGCCAGGGTCGACGGACATATTCGTATCTGTTGGGGCGGATGGCAGCTTGCGTGCATTTGACTTGCGCAGTCTTGAGCACTCCACAATTCTATACGAGACACCCGCTCCTAAATCAGGGCCACCTCCTACAACGACATCCTCGTCTACTCGCCTGCCTACCTCGCCACTACTAAGGATCGCGTTCAACCCTTCTGACTCCAACTATATGTCCACGTTTCATATGGATGGCTCAGATGTACAGATATTGGATATGCGCAGTCCCGGACAACCTGTGATGGAGCTAAGAGCTCATCGTGCCCAAGTTAATGCGTTAGGATGGAGCACTACAGACACCCCCCTCTTAGCTACTGCTGGTGAGTCTGCTACTAAACTGACGTGCTAAAGCCCTCCTATATATTAACTTCCCGCAGGTGACGATTGCCAGGTCCTACTATGGGATCTTTCCAGTTATACCCAGGCAGCATCGTCTCCTCGGACTGCAGGTTCGCGACTTAACTCGCCACGGCCGGACGTGAAGAAGCGAGTCGTTAGCGAACCGATTATGGCGTATTCTGCTACCAGTGAAGTGACGAATCTTGCATGGTCACCACAAATTGCAGGGATGACGATGAACACCGGTCACTCAACGGCACCCGGAGAATGGCTAGCGATTGCGAGCGGAAAATCGATAAAGGCGCTAAAGGTATAGTAGGATGGAGAAGTGTATGTCAGTGGATATTATCATGTTACGTGACAGAGGAACGTACTGACAAGCCTTGTATTCTAGAAATTCTCGATTCTGTATCACATTTCTGCCCGGTACTCCTTTTAGGATGGGTATCTTTATCTGTGTCCAGCCCTTCCGTCGTATGTGTGCGAGGTGTTCAAAATTAGAGAGATTTCCAAGTTAAGCTCCAGCAACGTCAAATGCTGATGTCTTGTGCATCACAACACTCAATCACGACTGGCTAGCTTGCCTTGATGGGATATTTGTCTGTATTAGCGAAGGCTCAAGCGCTCAAGTCCGATAACGGTGAGGTGCAGTTGGTTGTGATGCTCTGTTCTAGCCAGTCGTACTTTCCATGAAGAGTCCATACATTAGCAAACCATTGAGTTAAAGCGATAAGCAATGCATTTTCCCCTAAAATATGGTAGTGACCTGATAAACGTAAATAACTTTCCTGTCGGGTGATCCAGTACTCCGAGCCTTATCTTGCTCCAGGCACGAGACCATTTTTTGATGAAACCATATGGACGGGAGCTTCCATGTTATACCATTACAATGGTCTTTTTAAAGGGCCTGCTGTAAGTTCCGTATCCTTGAGTCCTGCTCCTCTACTCTGAGTTATTGACCTTTGCTGCCTTAACATCATGGACTCATATGTAGCATCGGCAGTCTCTAAAGAAGACGACCATGTCTTGCAGAGAAAGAGCATTGGGTCGTCTGATAAAGAGAAGGAAGATGTGCAGGAGCAGGCTCTCGTTCTTGACGACGCCGAGGTTGAAGCCAAGTCTAGAAAGGAATTCTCCAAGAAAAAGCTCCGTGTCTTTGCGCTCGTTGCCTTGGCTGGCCTTATCCTTGGATGGTGGATCTCTGCTACGGTACTTAAGGCAACTCGAGGCAGATGGTACTTGTGCTCATCTCGTTCAGTTTTACGTCTGCTCATATTGTCTTTTCTCGAAGGGTTGTTCAAACCGTCCTAGCATGGTTTTTCCTCTTGTACGTTCAGCCTATCTGGTTCTATATGCATTGTGGTCTGATTATTGATTCATTCACCCTAGAATCATCGCGTTCCGCTTCATTCCCAACTCGATTGTCTCAAGGCCTGTCTCTGCGGTTTGGATACCGTACATACAGGAACCATGGTATAGACTCCCTAGGTATATCAGGTTGACAGTTGGGTGGTTGTGCCTTCTTGGCATTGTGTTCGGATCGGCTTTTGGGTTCCCTCTTACCGGTGTATGCGCTCTACCGAATCTGCAGAATATCGAATAACACTGTATCCTCGTAGAACACTAACTATGGCGACCGTGCTATCTCGGTCCTCGGTCTTCTTATCTTTCAGACTTGTTTCTGGTTGACCTCCACCAATAGGGGTGCTATTCCTTGGTCTGTTCCTGTTATTCCCTCTCGCGTGTACATGCACTGACGTCGACATTCGCATAGGCCCACTGTTATCGTGGGACTGTTTCTTCAACAAGCTGTCGCGTTGTTTGTGCTCAAGACAAATGCCGGCTTCTCCATATTCAAATGGATTGCGGACCTTGCGTCCTCCTTCCTGACAGAAGCTTACGTTGGTGCGGCGTTCTTCTTTTCAGACGCTGTAGTAGCGAATGGGTATTTCTTTGTTAATACCGTATGTGCCTTGTTTGCTCAAATTCTGATTACATTACCTAACACTGCGTGGTCCTGGCTAGCTCTCAGCCATCATATTTTTCATTGCAACTGTACAAATGCTGTATTATGTGCGTGGTCCGCTATTTTTTTAAAATAATTCACGGGACACGGACTCATGAAATGCAAAGCTCGGGGTCATGCAATGGATCATTAAAGGATTGTGAGCATGCATTTTTCCTCGTTGTGAATATCTTGTTAAATATCGTAAAGCGCGTGGTTCTTCTTCAAGTTGATGAATGTTTCTGGTGCTGAAGCTGTTGTCGCTGCTGCATCACCGTGGGTTGGACAGGGTGAATCTGCATGTCTCGTCAAGCCATATGTCGACACAATGACTACATCCGAATTGCACCTTACTATGACTTCCGGTTCGCTCATATCATTACTAATGTTGTCCGATAACTTAACCCATATTTCTGATTTTGGAAGGTTTTTCAACGATTGCTGGTTCGGTTCTTACTGCATATATTGGTCTCGGTGTACCGCCGCAAAACCTTGTCACATCTTCAGTGATGAGTATCCCTGCATCCATTGCAATCAGCAAAATGCGATACCCTGAGGTCGACGAGCCTGTCACACGCGGCCGGGTTGTGGTTGACCGTGGTGAGGATGCTGACAAGGACAGACCCGTAAATGCACTACACGCATTCTCTCAGGGTGGCTGGTTTGGACTGAAAGTCGCTGGGCAAATTCTGTGAGGCTAAACCAACTGCCACTATTTTCATGGTACTGATGTTATGTTAACTTGCGTTCAGAACGAATGTGCTCATCATCCTTTCGCTTGTGTCAACCGTAAACGGTCTTCTTACTTGGATTGGTAGAGGATTTGGTATCCATCACCTCACTCTGCAGCTCATTCTCGGCTATATCGCGTACCCCGTCACGTTCTTCTTAGGTTTGCTAGCCTTATATGCATCTCCGGCATCATAGCTGAGAGAACTTGTATAATTGCAGGTGTACCACGCCCAGAAATTCTTCGTGTTGCGCAGCTTCTCGCAACTAAGCTGATAGAGAATGAATTCGCTGCTTATTTAGGTGTGTGTAGTTGTCGTTGTCTTCCCAAACACTTCCCTGACTGACCGAACCTAAACCATAGAATTGCAAGCTATTCAAAACAGCTCAGATCCACTGTCACCTCGCGCATTCACGATCGCATCATACTCCCTATGTGGTTTTGCCAACCTGAGTTCTCTGGGTATTCAGATTGGCGTGCTTAGCGCCCTCGCTCCAACTCAAGCCAAAACTATTGCACGCATCTCAACTTCAGCGATGATATGTGGATTTATCTCGTTAGTAACTTCTATCACTAACTATGCACCACCTAACCTGACCCTTCATTTCACAGAACACTTCAAACCGCTGGTATCGCGTAAGTCATGCTTACTTTCCACTGACTAATCTTGGGATTATTTACTGACCCTTCCTGCTTTGAAGGGGAATGCTTATTTGACGTGCTGAAATGACACTGCACTCACGAATATGCATGACAAATACAAAGTTGTTATGCCTAGAATGAATGTGACATATCTTGAGAGTAAAGCTATAATAATAATACAGGCTACAGCTGATGATACTACTTATACAGTCGAGCGGCTGCTGCATGGCGCTATTTTTTGTTATACAATGAATTGACTAGAGTTCCGCAAACTGGAATTTTGACAACAATATGAAAGTAAGCTGCGAGACTTGCTAGACTTCCTAGGCAAGGGAATTAATTCAACTTGAAGAGTTGAATGATTTCATTAATGTTTATCTCATACTTAAATGTGATGTTGACAGCAGCACGGAAGTTTCGAAAACCGTATCACGACGTTGTCTTAAATGACACCTCAATTGCGAGCGAGCGAGGGTACGCATGTATTAGGAGAGTGTTTCCTCTATACAAGTAAACTAGCTTCAACGCGAGTGATAGCAGTGCGATATAAACTGCAGCCTGAGGGGGAAAGACCAACTTGACGATAGTCGATACGTTTCAGGAAGAGCGAACGTTCATTTTCATCGAAAGCAGGTGGGAGAAGCAAATAGTAACAGGGAGCTGACTATTGTCCTATACTTTGACGTTGTTGTTCAATGACTTTGACCATGAACAGGCTGGTGTCCAAAAACCTCTCCACGCAATTTGCCAAGCAGCTTTCCTCGCCTCGTGCAAAATAGTTGCCGGGTGTGCTAGTTATGCACCTTTAAAGCGAGTCAATATCCAATATCCCATGAGTACAGATGTGACGCACTTGTCCCAGCACATGCTTGTGAGATTGTGGATGGAAGAATGAAGACGAGCCTGAGCCTGCTCCCTGTCTAAGAAGGTTTGCAGCTCTTTCTGGAGTGTCATCGATATATGAACTATTTAGTACTGAGTGCTGGACATCTTGGTACACTCACTTGTGTGGACTCGTCAAACTTCGTGTTGTCCATTTTTTCTAAGAAATAGTAAAAACTAGAAACAGCAAGGAAACCGAGCCCGCGTAGCCTAGGGCGCTTCTATCCGTGCTCACTTATTCACACGCATGGACTTGCAGAGAACGCGCCTGCACTTGAAAGCAACCAGGAGGTCAAGCATGGAGTACCATGCATCTACTCTCAACAATATCTGCGAGCAAAATTTGACAGGTTCCAATGGCGAGCCATGTCAACTTCGTCCATGTCAGCCGCCAAAACATGTGCTTGACCTGTCATCCACCTGGACCTATCTCCTCTCAAGACAGGCCAAGTTGCAGTATCGTCTTTTTTTCTTATTACCAACAAGCACCCTAACAAAATCATCTATTCCTCATGGCTCCCGCACCGAATTCCACACGTCGCAAGGACATCCATGCCAAACTCGACAAGTTACGTTCTGTCACCGATGCGCCTGAGCAATGGTTTCCCATGACAGCCTCGACGTCTGCAGCGACGACCTCGTCACAGCCCATTTCTTCTGCTGCAACCACCCCTCCTGTCATGTTCAGTCCTAGTCCGGCTCATGGCTCCAGAGGAAATTTGAAGATCGCAGCTGTCGTTGGTACCGTCCTGGTCGTTAGCTTGATTATTCTTGTATTTGGCGGCGAGCTATTGAGACGAAGGGCAAAGGATAAACGCGCTCGCCCACACATCAGTACACCTGCAAGTACGCGACCCGACCCACTCATCACTCAAACTATTGAAGAATCACACGAAAAGCCTGACGACGTTGGATATGACGAGAGAGCCTGGAACTCCCCAAAGGAAACTTATCAACCTGCTGTCGAGCCTTTGGGTTCACGGATTAGGCAGCATATAACTCGACCATTCAAGATATTAATTTCGCCCTTCGCTCATAGCCAGCATCCCCGCAAAGAAAAAAAATCAACCTACTCACAGGATATGGTTCAGTCACCGGATTCACAGGGAGAATCACAATCAACGTTCAATTCGACATTCGATTGGGACGAATGCCACGACACCCAGTTAGGTCGTTTGACATACCCACGACTCGGACTACATAGCATACCTGAAGAATCTGAAGTGGAGGAATACTACCACGACAGCGTTAGCGACGTAGCGCTTGCTCTAGGCCTCGCGATACAGAGACCTCTTACCCTTGTCTCCACTTCTATGGATTTACCTATGAGCCCAAATTTCATTACAAGATCCTACTTCAGCATGTACTCGGACCCAGATAGCACTCTAGCTGTGGAAGCCTGCTTGCAGAACTCTTTAGCGGACGACAGCCTCGATGAATTACGCGATGAGCATGATAATTCAATGTCTACTGGGACCACGACGTACGAAGTACAAGACAGTAGGATGTCTCTGGACGACTCGATAAGGTCATCTATGACGTCTTTGGATACCGAGACAGATTGCGATGCCGATTGCCCGCCTGAGGAAGTCTTTGAGTTGAGGAGGGTGCAGACGAGAAGCATGCAGATGAACAAGGCAACCCTGATTTCTCTCGAAATACATGGTAACCCCAGAGATAGGCGGAGTCTCCATGGAATTCTCGGCTCTCTCAGCTCTAATCCTCATCTGCACTCTTTCACGGATCAGTATTCAGACCCAAAGCTTACGAAGAGTGTTTCCGAACGTAGCTCCTTGGACTCGAAGACGAAACGGCATATTGAGGAGGAATTTGGGTTGGGTGTAGCAAGGAGTTTCAGTGATGCTTCTGTTAGTCTCGACAGTTTCCCTTCTCCCCCGGGCCATATTCCCAGGTTTCCGAGTTTTTTGTAGTTTGATGACATAAAGTGAGCCATGTCTATGACTGATATACATTTAATTCTACAAAACGGTCACAGTGCTACGATGCGAATATAAAAGTGCTTCGGTTCACAATACCCACACAAATCAGGTTTGCTTTTTTTAGCATTGAAACTGAAATTGAAAGGATATACTAGTACTGTACATGATACTTGCATAGCGAATATAGCGAATACATTGTACGATTATTAGAATACAACTTGGTTTTGGGTCCAAAGGGTCATACCATGTTTAGTCCATCTCTTCTACATCAATAATGTCGTCAATATCATCTTCCCAGTCCACGTCCATCTCCTCATTACCAGTTGCCTCGTGGTTCGGCACAATATGCAGCCTATTACGAGGCCCATCGAAGTGTACATTGACTGTCTCGCCATCACGCACACGATCCGACAATAACAAGATTGACAGCGGGTTTAAAAGCTCACTCTGGATAGCACGGTTCAGCGGGCGAGCACCATACGTTGTCGAGTAACCAATAGACATCAGATACTGCTTGGCCTCGTTGTCGATTTCTAACTTCATCTTCCGATCAGCAAGCCGTTCCTGGACTTCTTTGAGCCGAAGGTCGACGATCTTGAGTACATTCTTCCTCGAAAGTGTACGCTTTAAAGAGGAAACGTCAGTTTTCTAGTTTGCACATGTAAAGTCATGAACACTCACGAAAATAACAACCTCGTCTATTCGGTTAATGAACTCGGGTGGGAAGTGTGCTTGAATGGAACTCATGACGAGCTCTTTCGTTGTTGCATTGACAGGGCCCTCACCCATGTCATTCAGGTACATTGCGCCCAGATTCGAAGTCATGATGATGACAGTATTTCTAAAGTCCACCACGCGACCCTGACCATCAGTCAACCGCCCGTCGTCGAGGACTTGCAGGAAGAGTGTCACGAATTCGCGTGAAGCCTTTTCAATCTCGTCAATCAGGATGATACAATATGGCTTGCGCCTGACGTATTCAGTAAGTTGTCCACCTGAGTCGTGCCCCACGTAACCTGGAGGTGCTCCAATGAGACGTGCAATAGAATGTTTCTCAGAGTACTCCGAGCCGTCTACACGGATCATAGCATCTGGAGAGTCAAAAAGTAAGGTAGCAAGCTACAAACATCAAGTGAGTATTCGTACTTTAGTAAATTATGTTCAATGATAAACTTACCGTCTTGCTTAGCAACGTTTTCCCGGTACCCGATGGACCCGCCATTAAAAAGCTGGCAATAGGCCTCTGGGAGTTAGAAAGCCCACTCCTCGACAGTCTTATTGCGTTGGCAACGGCTTTGACAGCTTCTGGCTGCCCGACCACACTCCCAGCGAGAATTCGCTCCATACGCAAAAGCTTCTCCTTTTCGGTGGACATAAGGCGAGTGACAGGTATTGATGTCCAGCGTCCTACGATCTCCGCGATCTGCTCGGGCGTGACAGTGTCGGTACCTCCTCCCATAGTCTCATCTTCTTCGGCTTTCTTAGCTTGCAACTGCTGCAAACGTGACTGAAGATCCGGGAGAGCGTAGTAACGCAGATCAGAGGCAGTGGCTAAATCATACCTGAAAAGTCATTGTCAGCAATCACGTCGTTGTACACCAATGAGAAAAACAACTCACCTTCTCTCTGCTTCGTCAGCTTTTGCTTTCAACTCATCGATCTTCCTCCGTACTTCATTAACCTCGTCACCTCTCTTTTTCTCTATCTCATACGCTGCTTTTAGTGGTTGCAATTGTTCATCGACGTCTGCAATCGCCTTTCGAGCTGTGACAAGTCTATCTTTGCTTGCCTGATCTTTTTCTCGCTCTAGAGCATGAATTTCCACCTCTAGTTCAAGTTTGCGCCTATCAAGTTTGTCGATGGCTTCGGGAGCTGTTTCTCTGGTCACACGAACACTGTGCACCAAGTTAAAACATGACTGAAAAATGGCATATAATGGGAAAAACATACCTTGCGCAAGCTTCATCAACCAGATCAATAGCAGCATCAGGTAAACGTCGCGAAGTAAGGTAGCGGTGCGCTAAAGTCGCTGCAGATATCAATGCTCCGTCCAAAATTCTAACACCATGATGAACCTCGTATTTCTCCCTGATGCCTCGCAGAATGCTGATCGTCTCTGGCACTGAAGGTTCGTTCACCAGAACCTGAGCAAACCTGCGTTCAAGTGCAGCATCCGTTTCGATGTATTTCCTGTACTCCGCCAGCGTCGTTGCGCCAATGCATCTCAACTTTCCTCTGGCCAAGAGGGGCTTAAAAAGGTTTGCAGCGTCCATGCCGCCACCTTCAGATCCGCGTCCGGCCATGATCAGGTGAAGTTCGTCGATGAAAAGTATGACCCCAACACCTTCTTCTGTGGACTTTTCAACTTCGTTGAGAACACTCTTGATGCGCTCTTCGTATTCACCCTTATATTTTGCGCCAGCCATAAGTGCACCCATGTCCAAGGAGTAAAGACGGCTGAGGAGACTTGCGGGCACATCACGATTTACGATACGTTGTGCTAAGCCTTCGGCTATGGACGTTTTGCCTACTCCAGGTTCACCGATGAGAACAGGGTTGTTTTTCGTTCTACAAATTAGGTCAGATAAAGCCAAAACATAAAAAGAGCCAGGTCAAGACCAACCTTCTGCAAAGAATTCGAATGACTCTGCGAATCTCTGAATCTCTGCCAATTACCGGATCGATTTTGCCCTCCTCTGCAAGCGCTGTTAGATCAATGGCGTACTTCTGCAACGCGTCGAAACCAGCCTCAGCGCTTTTACTCTCCACGCGTCTGTTACCTCTTGTTTGTTGAATTGCAGTCTTTAGTGACGCCTCCGTGAGACTAGCCTCTTTAAGTACGGCTGCGATGGTAGAATCTTTGACGAGAGCTAGAAGTATGTGGTCTTGGGCGATATAAGAATCGTGCATCGTCTGTTGGAGGGACTGAGCCTCTCGTAGTACTTTGATTGCACCAGCACTGAGAGTGACTTCGTCAGGAGGCGGGTTTTGTGCCGGCAGACGGACGATTATTTTCTGTAAACCTCGTTTGATGATAGCCTGGATAAATCATTAAGATGGGTCAAGTAAACAAATGAAATGTAATTACATACCGGATCTCCGCCTGCTTTTTGAATCACAGAAGAGAACAAAGAGGCCCCAGAGTTACCACCGGACAATCCTCCTGGCATGGAAGGTTCCCCTGCACCCTCATTGAGCAGGGCGGACGCAATATGAGCGGGATGAACTAGAAGCCAATATGTGGTCAATTCCTTTTTTTTAAAGACTGTATGAGAGACAATGCCATACCTTGAGCGTTTGCATAATCCTTTGCTAGCTGATGTGCAGCAGCAATGGAGGACGATGTTTTATCTGTAAATTCGAAACTCATTTTGGTTGTTCCTGAGGGAGTGTGAGTGTTGTCTGCGCCCTTTTATGGTCGCTGTTCAGTGTGGTGGGCGCAAGGATGGCCTGGAACGGTGTCGAGTGTTCGCAATGTCTCCATCGCTGTCTGGAAAAACGAAGAATATACGAGCATGACCTCACATGATGTAAGCGGTGTATCTGTATGCTGACTAAGCGCACGCGTTCAGGATATGAATGAAATCGAATACATTCCCAGTGATCCAAGCTATAGGAGTGATTGAACAACTTGCTTCATGACGACAATAATGACGGCAGTAAGAAAGGGGACATCCAAGGAATTCATAAGAAAGCACTCATCAGACATGTTTACCTTTTCACGCCCTCAAATAACTATCATCTAGCCCAACATGACTCGCTCACTGTGTGTCACCTCTGCAGACGGTCAAACAGGCCGTCTCGTTGTAGAGTTGTTGCTTACCGATGAAACGTTCTCAAACAAGCTTGACAAGGTCTGTTGTCTTACTCTGCACCCTAGCAAGTGCGAGGACCTCAAGGAGCTTGGGGCTGAAATCATTCCCCACAATCCTGGTGATCATGAAGGTCTTGTCACTGCCCTCAAAAATACCGGAGCAGATACAATCTTCCTCATTCCACCTGCTCACAAGCATAAAGTGAAGCTCGCTGAAGAGATGCTCCATGCCACGCATCAGGCTCAAATCAAAAACACCATTTTATTGAGTGCTGCAGCATGCGAATTTGCGGACGCTAAAAAACAACCGCATCTACATGATTTCATCAAAATAGAGGGCAACACACTAGCAATGAGATACTTGCCTGATACAGAGGCTGGATTATCACAATGTGTTATTCGGTGAGATTCATTAACGATTATCGTCCGATTCGCGGTGACACTCACGCATTGCCTGAAGTGCGGGATTTTACACTGAGAATCTTCTCTTATACAACAAAGATGCCCAAAAGAATGGAAAGCTTCGATTGCCTATTGGTGAAACCCATTCGTTCGCTCCTGTCGCATTAGGAGATATTGCCCAAGTCGCAGCCCATATTGTCACTAGCGAAGGACCCCAAGGTCTTGATGACAGATATCGGGGTCAACTAGTGGTTGTGACTGGTCCAATGTGCATATGTTTTGGCCGTTTGCGATTAATGTGCGCTGACATCTCCATCGTATGCTAGGATGGTTAATGGCCCGGAATTGGCGGAATCTGCTACTGAAGCGGGACTGAACCTCCAGTTTGCAGACATTTCTGAGTAAGTCATCTCTGCTGCAGCGTTCCCAAGTGTTTCATAACCTATTGTATCGTATCCAGACATGAAGCGAAGCAGCTGTTGGACGCTGATACTGATGTGGACGACTCCGAAAAGCAATACTTGCTTGAATATTATTCCTTGGTACGCGAAGGCAAGACAAACTATGTCAGTACTCTCGCGTTCAATGCCATTACTGGTGGGCCGCCGATTTTGCCCATTGAGTTTTTCAAAACGTACGATGCAGAATTCAAGTCCAAGAAGTGAGTGGTATTTTTCTTTCTTTAACCGCACGTGAACATGTTTTGCTTTAGGCGAAAAATGCGGAAATAAAGAAGAGTAGTGTCAAAAAGCATGATGGGAGAATCTCACACCACAAATTTCGCATTTCTGATTAGCCTATAATTATTTGTTGATAACTTTCGTGTTTGATATGTCAAATTGAGATGATAATCGTCGTCGTAGTGGTTTCAATGCCAGGCCGCGGAGCCGAAAGACGTCACAATAGAACGGCGTGACAAAGAGCTAACTGTGACGACGTGACAGGAGATGTTATTGTCTTCTCGAACCATGAGACAATTACGAACATGCGTGTTCTGGCTGGTTTCTCGAAACGCCAACTAACGTGTATTTCAACCACCAATGGTGTATCCAACAGTGTATTTGTTTTCTAGCTTTATTCTTGCGTCGTTGATCTTTGTCGCGGGTTATGTGGTGTACCAAGTATTCGTCGCGCCGCGGTTCAATCCACTTCAAAAGTTGGCTGGTCCACCTGTGAAGGGTTTGCTTGGAAACCATATGTCAATGGTTTTAGAGTGAGTTTATCGTTAAATGTGAACTTGACCCTGTATGTAAACTGTCTTCCAACTTCAGTCCTTTCCGTTCACCAAAGGCTCATGCAGCTTATGTCGAGAAGTATGGACGTACTGTGAGAATCAGAGGCATAGGTCCAGTGAGTTTCCCTAAGCTGATCCTCCTGCATGGAAGTTGTTTAATTCTGCTTCTTAATTGTGAAGTGGGATGAACGTCTTTTGCCACTAGACCCGGTGTCGGTCTCGTACGTGTTGAAAAACTGCACTATATATGAGAAGCCGTGGCAGTCTCGCAGACTTATCACAGGTCTCATTGGTTGTGGAATGCTCGCTGCTGAAGGCCATGTGCATAAACGCCAGCGTCGCGTCGCCACTCCAGCATTCTCAATACAGAATATGAGAGCGCTCGTCCCTCTTGTCTTCAGTAAAGGCAACGAACTGAAGGACCGATGGCTGGAGATGATCACTGAGTCGGGTCAGACAATATCTCTCGAAAGCGAGCCAAAGCGTAGTATCGAGCTGCAAATTGACGTGTGTCATTGGATAAGTCGCGCAACTTTCGACGTGATTGGACTCGCAGGTGACTTGGTTTGCTTGTGTATTTTACCATAAATCTTTATCTCTGTTTGCAGGGTTTGATTACCATTTCAACGCCATTCAAAATGAGTCGGATGAACTGTTCACTGCCTACAAAGAAATGTTTGAAATAGCAGTATCTCAAGGACAAGGATTTCGGACAATACTAGCTATCTATTTTCCCATCATAAATAGACTATTTGTTAGCAAATTCCATGCGACAACACAAGCCTAAACTAATATTTTCTGTATACAGCCGGACCACCGCGCGCGGACTGTTCATAGGTGCCAAGAAGTTATCCGTAGAGTCGCAGGTCGCCTTGTTCAGCAGAAAAAAGCAAAAATCTCGGAAGGCGACAAGGGTGGATCTACTTATGCTGGGAAAGACCTCCTCAGCCTATTATGTGAGTCTCTTCACGGGATATTTTTGCATCTAATAAAATGAACATTTTTGCCGGTGGTTCAGTAAAATCAAACATCGCTACAGACCTCCCACCTGATCAGCGCATCTCGGACGAAGACATTTTGCACAATATCAACACCTTCATGTTCGCCGGTTCCGACACGACCTCACTCGCACTAACTTGGACGTTGTATTTGCTTTCGCGATACCCTGCAGTACAAAACCGACTGCGTTCTGAGCTGATTGCTATCGCACCTTCAACACCCGAATCACGACTGACGCCAGATGAAATAGAGTCATTGCATAATACGCTTTCGGGGCTGCCGTATCTTCATAATGTCACGAGAGAAGTCCTCCGGCTGATTCCACCTGTGCACTCTTCGCTGCGTGTTGCAACGCAGGACGACGAAGTACCTACTTCATATCCTGTCCGCTTAAGTGATGGCACGATATCTGAGCAGAAGTCTGTACGAGTGCCTAAAGGGAGTTTCGTACACGTTCCCGTAGAGGCGATGAATCTGGATAAGGGAATATGGGGCGAGGATTCCTGGAATTTTGAGTAGGTTTTCTCACGTAAAGCTATTGGAGGAGTGATATTTATGTACTTTCTGCAGCCCAGATCGCTGGGATAACTTGCCAGATGGCGTGTCCTCGTTACCAGGTCTCTTCCCAAGCCTTTTGACATTCTCAGCAGGGCCCAGAGTAATTATGATTTCCCTTCATTATTTTTTTGCCATGCTTAATATTCTTTTTAGTCTTGCATAGGGATGCGATTCTCGATGATAGAGATGAAAACTTTCCTGTACATCCTCCTCACCAATTTCGTCTTCAGCGAGACAGGACAGAAGATCTACAAAGCCAACGTGTAAGTTGTTTACATATGTTTGTTTTAGTTCAGAAGACTGACGGTTCATTGATATCAAGTGTCCTGACGCGGCCATATGTCTCGGGTCAATTTAAGATGGGTAGTCAGTGTCCTTTGCTGGTTAAAAGATACGAAAAAAGAGCGCCTTGTGTGAGTCCTTGGTCGAACCGGTAGCTCGATTATTTCGTCTTCGGGTTTGTAGTTCTCTCTCTATCTCACCTATGATTGGGATGTCGTATACCCTTTGCTGTATCCTTGTGTTTGTTTGAAAAACTGGAGCATATCCTTCTTGAAGTGACATCATGATGACGCTGAGCTCCCTATGACCCAACTATAAGAACCTCAAGGTTGTTCCCTGCATGGTAGATTTTTCCCGTTCTGTGGATTAAAACCGAGGCTAAAATGGTGCGAATCATTGTCTGCATATTTACATTTATTCTAGGATCTGACGAAAAGACGCCATAGGGATCTATATTTTCTGCTATAGGCTCTGGCATAAATGCAGTGATATCTGCTATTGCTTCCGTGGTAATGGCCATTGTAGGAGGTATCACCACTGTAAGCTTCCGCTCATTGTGTCTCGAAACTGCTTACTTACCCATTTTATGATACAGGTCCTTGCAACCATTTTCCGAGTAATTGGTGACGTTTTGTGCTGCCGATGTGGTTCACGTAGCGGTGGCAGAGGAGGGCTTGCAGGCGGAGGGACTTATTGATCATGGTCACCGCAAGCTTGTAGCGGATGCACTACCCCCTCACGATCATGATCACGAGCATGAAGACATTTATTACTAATATCTTGGCTTTCTTCGCGGTTCGTTTAAACACGACGTCGTCATTTGTACCTACAGTATGTATTTAGTACCCTCGACTTGTTGGAATGGAAGCTGTATGCGCAGATTCAAGGTGAAAAAATACACAGCGAGTGAACAGTACGCTAGACTGTAGTAACAAATACCGATATCAGAGATAGTAGTAGTACACGACGAGAACTCAACCTGTTGAAATCAATCTATAAATAGAAAATAAAGACAGCTTCTTACAACAAATCACTCTTCTCCTTCTTCAGGCCCGCCAGATTTCTACCCCATTCGACGACGCTGTGGCTTGTTCGTACTGCAGCTCTGGCTAAACGCTTCACTTTCTCAACATTCATCGTTGGACGCAAAGAAGATCGGTGAGTAGCTGGCCGCTGTCCTGGAGCCACGCCCATATCGATGAAAGACCTCAGGTGTGTTTTATTCGTATCGTTGGTCCGAGCCTGTTGATATCGTGGCATTGGACTGTGACTCCTCGTACCTCGCAATGGGGGTCTTTCGAGACGGCTGGGACCACCAGGGTAGGGTTCTGCCTCGTGAATGGGAGTAGTAGAGGTTCCTGAAAGTGGTTTTGATAAATGACGGATAGGATTGGAAAAACGGCGAAAACGGGATGAGCCTGGTGGCCTGGGAATACCGGTAGAATCATTTAACTTGGGCACAGTTTCAATGACAGGAAAAGGAACTTTCATGGCTGGAGTAGAATTTTGTTTAGTCAAAATTCCACGGCGATAGTTCGTTGGATTTTCGCCTGCTATCATGGACGAGCGTGGCCCACTTTGGAGAGAAATATGGCCATTCCAATCCTTCATCTTTGATTCCAGTCTCTCCAAGGCCGACGAGCGGTCCAAGGGAGGGGCCTTCGGAAGATAGCTAGTTCCGCTTAGATTTGACTGAGAAGTGCTTGCGCCGTTGGAACTAATGAGCTGGCCCCAGCGTTTAGATGTCGTACGGCTCTCTCGCGAAAAGCTACTGGCTTGCTGTAGCTTTGAGGTGGACGTATATTCCGAACGACGAGCTCGTTCTTCCACGGTACCAGGTCCAAAACAAACACTGGGTCTTTTTCCAAGTTTCCCGCTGGAGACTACATCGTCATATGCATTACGGGCACCCAAACCGCGGTGAAATATTTGTGATTGTTCCTCGGCACAGATATTCTTCGCTCTGTTGACCTTGGTGATGTTGCTTCTCGCAATATCACGCTGCTCGATGCCGTGTTCTGATAAAGGGGCGGACGTCTGAAGGGGTTCGAGCTCCGATCGATCCTCCGTGTGGAAATTCGTAAGAAGCTCGGTTGAGCTGATTGGAGAATCTAGGCTATGAGGCGATGGAGGCTCGTCGTATCTCAGGCCGACCATCATGCTAACTTCTTCCAGCAATTTGCTACACCTCACTGAAGAGTCGCGACTCCTCCGATCAACTTCGCCTGTCATCTTTTTAACCTGTTCTTCGACCTCCCATGAATAATCATCAATCTTTTGCACGCCCCATTCCTTTATTCCCTCGGTATTTTGGCCGCTAATGAGGGAAGGTGGAACAATGCTCAGCCGTCCTTCTGACTCGGAAGCCGTCCTCCGCCGGACATGAGATCCCCATACCCGCAGGAATTCGCGGACTTCCTTGGTTTCTTCTTCAGTAAAAAGGCTACCAGTGTCCAAATTTGTTGATGGTGGTCGAGGGAACTTTAGTCCCATCGGAAACAAGGAAGAACAAGATGACGATGTTCTGGACGAGGAATTCATTTCATCCTCTTCATTACCAATGCGACGACGGAAGGAGGGTAGGCATGCTTCTGATTGAATCTTGGACAGACGATATCCGTTGAGTCGTCTTTTATCCTTCCTTTGTTCGCGAAGATTGCAACCAGATGGTCTGGGTCGACAAGTTTCATGCGAATAAGGGCGACTTTCCGCACCATTGCTTGAAAAGGGTTTCTCCAAAGCTCTAGTAGACCGCAACTTTTGGGAGAAGTTCGTAACTGATAACATAATTGTGTGAGTTCCGTGCTCACCATTGCATATCTTCTTTCATCTTCATCATCTACAGACGCAATTAGCAATGTACTCGCTATGGTGGAGGCAGGTACAGCTTACCTTTGTCAACACAGCCGTGATCAAAAGACATTTTGTTGCCGTCTTTCTCTTTATTTCTGTCGAGATCAGCCATAAACGAACGGAAATTTTTCCCGCAGTCTACATCCTGAAAATAAGATGAGATTGTGGTCCCAGGACTATCCGAAGGACAAGTGATCGCTGTTGGTGGCGAATACGCGGAGTGTGGAGTTATTGGTGACAGCGGCTGAGGGGAATTCAGGCTCCCTGAAGACGTAGAACGAGTAGGTGAACTAGTTTGAGCGCAAATCAGCGTCCTGGCCTTGTATGATAACAGAAAACAAACTTGTGATAAATCGCAGGGGATAGAGGTGGGATCAAAGCCCTGTCCCTTTGAGGGGAAATACTATGACCAGGGCTCGTGTCCCTCACCGCGAGAACACGAGAGTTGGTAGATGGAGAAAATCGAGAGACGAGACGCGCGCATTTTCCTTCATTTCGAGGAAGCGGTGAAAAGGGAATCTGCGTGTGGGGGTTGCCGCGATCCATAACGATATATGTACAGGATGCCACTGGTTCTGTCAAGACGCAGAATGTCCGACAGCTCCGAGAGATTGGCTGTTAAAGTTGCGCGCGTATAGAACAGATGTTATGAAATATGATATCACGGGGTAAAAATTCAAACGAGATGTAAGGCCTTTTCTGCTCTGAAAACACAATAGTTGTTTCTGTAGTTTGTAGCCTATGTTAAAAATGGGCGACATCAATTTCACAACGAATGAACCATTACTCACAGTAATGGGCTGTTACCGAAACCGCACCAACGCAGACTATGACTGAACGGTCTGTTGGACAGTAAGGATGAGCTCTAGGAAGAAAACGAGGACGGCAAAGCAGCAATGGGCGGGGAAGGACAAGCTGGTGTACTCCAAACGCTTCAATTCCCCAAACAACGCGAAGGTCAAAAACAAACCGAAACAAGAGAAAATATGCTATGACCGGCGGACTACAATGATCTGAGCTACAGATCTTTTAAGTGTCCCGATAATCATTTGAAAAGCTATAGTCAGCCATTACAATATGATACATCCCGTCACTTTTGGGAGTTTGAAATATTGAGAATTTGGGCGATGATGCCGTTACTGAAACGCCTATCCTTGAACCACGTTTACCGGATTAGGATATGCCGACAAGTTAGGAGTTTTTTTTTTGTTTCATGGACTTGGATCAGATTGGATCCTTCGCATTAACCTTCGAAAAATTTTCGACACAGATCACATTGGATCCGCATCACGAGGACGATCGTGAAAAGTTCACTGAATATGTATAGAGCGTTAGTGACCAGGGGTAAACACAATGTGCAGTATGGGCAGCGCCTAGCCTTGCTATCAGACAGAGAATTTGTGTACAAAGTTCAAATGCGGCAAAGATGCATAAATGACAATCCTAACCTCACCTAGACATGATTCATATGATGTCAGACGTGTCGTAAATCTTAGATGGTGAAATACGAAATGAGATAAAGCATGCCTGCAAAGTTTTCACGAAAGTACATGCATAACAGTCGTAATGACAACGCCCTAGTACCTAATACGCTTTCTTGCCCGCCGAAAGCTGCAAGTGAGCACTGTGCTCGTCGTATGGCACTTTCGAAACAGGGATCTCGCGCCATAGATCGGGTGTAAGGAACGAGTAAGTTTTGGTGATCTGTAAGAGACTGTGAGCTGGGCAAAAAAAGAAAGTCTGCTACGGATAAACTGACAGCAGCAAAGGTGGCTTTGAGGAAGTTACCCATCGTTGCAGTAGAACCCTTTGATTGCGTATAGCAATCCTCCACACCAGCAAGTTGTAGCAATCGTTTCGAAGCAGGTGCAGCCACAATACCGGTACCCCGTGGTGCGGGGATGAGACGACACATGACTGATCCGACCTTCCCGCTAACTTTTGATGGCACGGTGTGTGGCTCACCAAGAGCTGCACCCCAGTAACCTCTCCGTACGGGGATGACGGAAAGTTTGGCCAGAATGATAGCACCACGAATAGCAGTGGCAACTTCCTTCGCACATTTGACACCCAACCCAACATGTCCGTCGAAATCACCGATAGCAACGAAAGCCTTGAAACGGGTACGCTGACCGGCCCGAGTTTGCTTTTGTACAGGCATGATTTTCATGACCTCGTCCTTGAGTTTTGGTAGGAAGAAGTCGACGATCTGGAATTCTTTAACAGGAAGAGAGAAGAGATAAATTTCTTCCATCGATTTGATTTTGCCATCCTTAACGAGACGACCCAACTTGGTGACGGGGACCCTATACATGATACTTAGAATGTGGAGGTGAATGGTAGTGGCCTTGAGTACATACCATTCCTTTTCTTCATCCTTGCGGCCACCCCTGCGAGGTCCACGGCGACCTCTACCCCGATCACCACGTCCACGTCCAAATCCACCACGTCCTCGTGCAGCGTCAGCCATTTGTGCTGAAAGATACTAGAAAGAAAGATTAGACAAACAATTGGTGAAAACACTAAGAACAAAGAAAGTAGAATGTGCGATTGAGACCTGCTATAATTTAAGTGTACATCCAACGATATGTGTGTCCATCCATCTCCTGATGTAAATCCATCCAGCTGATGAAATCCTTGACAGAATCATAGTGGCTCGCAGCAAACGTTCTAGTGACTGAATGATACTCACGTCTTGAGGTTTTGTGTTGCCGAGCTCGTCGTTGAGAGATTCTCTATCGAGCCTATGCCTTACAGTGAGCCCGAAGCGTGCGCACGTGGGATGACAGTCAGCCGGCCCTTAACAAGGTGGTAGGGCTTCTGACACCGTGAGCTCCCCGAATATTACTCAGCGCTTGCAATTTGAAATGTAGTGAAACCGAGTCTTTTGGACCAGGTGAAGGCTTTGTTGACATGAACAACAAAGCAGTCAAAGCCTTTTAAGAATTCTATAGTGAATGTACTTTTCTTTATTCTGCACAAAAGCCAATGCATCTCTGAAAGATGAAAGAAGGGTGTTTCAGTCTGGATGTCTTACGGCATCATCAGGCACAGGTATAGTGGTGTCCGGGGTACTCTTGGCTTCACGGAACATATATGGCCTTTCGGCCTTTGGCCAGAATTGAAACGCCACCCCAGCGGTAACCTCCTCTTTGCGCTATAACGCTCAATTCAGTCTTCAAGTCAGTCTTTTTCTGTGCTTTAACCGACCTGGTATTGAACTAATGTTGCTGGCATTTTACAGTTCACTCCCAAAGAACAATATCATCTACCAAGTTGGCAAAACATGTCAAATTCCAATATGTCAAATATAATGAAACAGACATTTAGTCTTTGCCCCGCGTAAGTTGGTACTACATAGTTGTCATCGTATACTCATCGTCTTATTATGCAGCAACGGTCGTCAAACCGTTGGAGATGGGGCATTCTCTTCCGACATGACTCCCAGTGTACTTGCTGTGTGCCACATGCAGGGCACCGACGACATGTACTATTACTCTACTACGTTCTCTGGCGGACCCGGAGTGAGTTTCTCTCTCGTATATGCCCGCTGCTGTATCGCTTATTCCCTTTAATGTAGTGGCGGTTTTGACGCTCCCAAATCAAAATGCCCTCCGGATAGAGGGTCGTCGGACTGTGTGACAGGCAGTCTGGCGTCTATGATTTCCGCTTCTCCCGATTCTAACACATCTTCATCTTCTCTGGATTCGTTCTCTCCAAAATATCTTGTGCATCCGCCCGACTTTTCTAGTCATTCCATTGACATCACGCCGAGAGGCCACCATACGAATGTCGCTCCGCGAGCCATTCCCCGTCGTTCTTCTTCGCCTTACGATATTGCAACTCCTCCTTTGACACCCGACAGTGATGCGGAAGAAAGAAAGGGTGAATCTGGTATAACTACAAAGCATTCGAAAGATGCCTTGGATCTTCTTTTGAACATCTTTCCTCGTAACGGATTGAGCATTTTGCCCTTTGCTAAGAGCGTCACTGTGACCGCACCTAATATGGGAGCTGCTTTTGAAGGCGTCGTGGTTGAATTACCAGGCAAACCCAAGACGTTGTACGTTGACGGTAAGAATGCCGAGTCGGTTAGCTTGAGAGAAAGGTGTGTTACCTCGATCTATGTTTGCCTTGCCGTGCTCACTGCGTCATGTAGCATCGTTGCCCTACTCGACCTCGCCGATGAGCACCTTGAATGTTCGGCTTTGATAATCGCTTTAGACAAATCATCGCAGGCATTGGGGGAACTTCTTCATTCACTCATGTATGTTGGAGGAAATGTTGTTACTAAACCTCCCTTCCAGGTTGACCCGGCCTGCTTGCTCGTTGGTTTGGAGATTTAGTGTGCGAGTGGTTTGGGAATGTTGCTTGCAAATGTTGCCGCGGATGATGCTAAATTTATCTTGAACACATGTTTCTTATGATTTTTTTCTTCAATAAAGGATGCTTTTTGAGTGTCTTCCAAGTGTATCTCGACTCATCGGCGCGAGCTCCATGCTCTTGAGTGCTTCATGTCATAGTAATAGTCTTACTTGATTTGGTTAATGTCTTTTCCGTTTCCGAAGCTTTCAGGGCCACTTGTGCCACTGATTCAGTTCATAGTAGCGCTTCAGCGCCAGTTGAACGTTGAAGTTCGGTAAATCAGGATTGCCTTGTTCTTCAAGTTCATTAGTCTCCTTGGAAGTGAGAGTACTATCGTTGGTGAATCAGTGTTGGCACAGTGAGTGGTTGACTGCGAGCTTCCGATTCGACTTCGGTTGAACGCTTCGTACTTTCTAGCGTCGTCCACTCCTCGTTGGTCTTTTTTGAATTTTTTAGCTGAACGACCTGTTCTCTGTATCATCTCTTCCTACATCATGGATATTCTCAAAGGAATAATAGCTTTTTTCTGCGGGTCGTCCCCCACTAGTAAGCCTGAGCGACCCCAGGAACACAGGCATGAGCATCAGCAACCACACAAGCAGCATGTGGCACCGATTTCGGTCAGGCCTGAACCGAGCCACCCAGTGGTACGTTGTCACTCTCATCTACTATCCAGGACAATGAAAGATCACCCGGACCTGGTCACGTCTTATGCAATAGCGAGTGAAACCCGAGCCCCATCGCGTCCAAGTTCCGCATAAACCCCGTACTGAAGGCTTTGTGGTTCGTATTTCCTGTTTGCTATTGAGCGAACTATATCTTCTCCTTAAAACGCAGCCATTGAATAATCCATCATTAATAGGATCAGAATCAGATTAACCAGCAAAATGTGCACTATACCACCCTCCGCGCCCGGGCCAACGAAGAAGGAGATCAGATGGCGGAGTGTTTCCAAGAATCTCACGAGGCGTATGGCCGACGCGACGGAGCTTTGGCAAAGCAACTATCTGAGAAAGGGAAGGCCCACAAGCGGAATATGGAAAGATTAAATGGTGAAGCCAGCGAATGGATATTCAAGGGTGACTACTTTACCATACTCGCATTATTTGTCACTAAAGAGGGGGTGACTGTATCTTTGGCTTATCAGAGAACAACCTTGTGAGTACTTATTTCCCGTTTTCATTGATGACTTGTCTATATTGCCCAATAGGACAGCAAACCTGGAGAAGTTGACCTTCATGGGTTATATGTCAAGGAAGCTATTTCGTTTACCGACAGGACTATCCAACAAGCTCGCCGAGGCGGCGACTCACACATACGCCTTATTGTTGGTAAGTATACTCAGGCATTTATTGCGACAGAGCTGACGAGTACTCCTTTAGGGAAAGGTTTGCATTCCCCCCAACAAGTTGCTAAGATTAAACCTGCGATGGAGGAATTGATTCAGAAGTAGGTTCAGTTCATTCCTACAATTCAAAATTGTCATCGAATCGATTATGTTTGCAGGCATCATCTCCTCGCCGAAGTGGATCCGAATAATTCAGGAGTATTGATTGTGTATCTCGACACTCAACAACGTCGGGTCGAAACACATGGCACAATCATTGGGACAGACGACATCGCACGACGACTACAAGACAAAGACTCCGGATGTACTATCATGTAATTTTGACTTGTTATACCCTACTTTTGTGTACTGTAGTATACTGTGTATCAAAGTCCATCATGAACCCTGTACAAAAAACTTCTTGCTTTCTTGCGCATTCTTATCATTTTGACACGTTAGCAGTCTCTTTTACAAATGTCTACCAGATACGTCTCTGCGTGATGTCTAGTCTCTGGGAGTTCGTGTCAACTACTGTACCATTTTTTGCAACTCTATAACTATTTATACGGCGACAAAAAGGCTGACATGAATATTCCTACATCATAAACTATATTATTACACGAGCAGCAAAGATTCTGGCTCGTCTTTCCCGAGTAAATTTGCATTTCAGACGCGCTCAAGGATCCATCTCTGCTTCTCGTCACCTGTAACACCAGAGATAGTGATCTGTATAATGTGGCCCATTTATTATTGTTACTTCTAGGAAGAAATAAATCAGACATGCCTTCTTGCCATCAACTGCAGCATCAAGTCCACAATTGACGGTTACACCAGTGGCGAGTTTACGACCAGAGGCGTCGAGCACTCTGTGATAGATGACATAAGTACCGGCAGATGGCTTGGACATGGTGAACTGAATATGATCGAGGGATACTTGAGGAGAGGACTGGTGAAACGTCGGGGGATAATTCTAGGAGACATGAGGCAAGGGGAGCGGCTGCATGAACTATTGTAACTATTTTCATTCGAACTTGACATTCCGTTGGGTCCTGCCTAATCATCTTTGTTCGTCGTAGCAGAACGTAGGCACGTCCTGAATTCGACCCTGGTGGTTCATGTGGGCTGGTTCATGTTTCCAGCTCGAGCTGGAGTCACGATTGGCTTGGTAATCTGCTACTACATCAGCAAGGCCACTAAGATATACAGCACAAGCTATAGTGTACTCACCATTACTCGTCGATATTCATCGCAGCCACTGACAAAACTTGCCAGCAGTTGTGCCAATGTGAGTTCGGTGTTGGTGAAGCAGACTTAGACTGTACTCCTGCAGTCATTAAAGACTGTATAAACAGGATATAGTTGTGCGGAATACTATTGTTTGGCTTACAGATTAATATTGAGTTTGAAAGCCAAAAGCTTATGAAGCCACTAATTTACTAAACCAGTCGTTCAGTTGCAAGTGCATGATGGCGTGCTAGGCTGTAAAACTCGCTGCTAGTGTGAACTGGTCAGGACGGACGATCACTGATACACAAGCAGTCGTGCCCCCGAAGTATGGTAAACTCTAGACGATGCCATTGGTATGAGATGAAATATAGTATAATCATATCACTGACATGTAGGGAAAGTTGGTTTTGTCCAAAATTAACGTTTTAGGTTGCCACAACGGATATGCAGCTCACTTGAAACCCTTTCCATATTTTAAAAACTCTGGAGAGGGTTCAGGTTCAGACATTATGGGCTTTTACCTGGACATAAACTTGTGGATTGTGACTTGGGCCGAACAATACCCCTAGCTATTTTGCGGGATATATCTTGTATTGGCATGCGACCCGAGGAACAGACTGGAAACGCCAGTCGTGAAATAAGCACGCTATGCCATGACTCGTACGGTGGGGATTATTGCTGATTCAAGTTTGCTTGTGATGCCAGTGGCATGCATGATATTTCGTCACAGTAGTACTGCAGAAGAAGAAGCGACAGTGTACAAAGGCCGCTGCCGGGAGTCTGCCGGGAGTCTGTTGATCATGCATGGCTGTGTTCTGTGATTCTGATTATCGCCATCTTACCGCACGTAGCAGACCATTTTAGGGCTATTAGCAACCGTGGTCTTCTAGTGTGGGGTCACTGCGTTGTATCCAAAATGAAGTCTATCCTGGACAACAACGCCCCAGAGCTTTCTCTATCAAGTTAACACAAGATGCACCACTCAGAAGTCAGGGAAGGAGAACACTCATCACATTCCGGTAGACATGGTCACTCTTACGAAGCAGTATGTTTTCTTATCATACCTGACTGTTAACGAATGGGTTTGCGAACGTGTATAATCTGTTATAGAGGTCGGAATATGAGCATGAAGGTGCTCAGCATAAGTACCACCAGTGGCATGAGCACTTTGAGGTTCGTTCTTCTAAGTGAATTTTGGGCCTCAATATTGACATCGGGTGTAGGATTCCGACCAGATCAACATGCACAATGAGCACTATGTGGGGCTGCGTTCCCGGGCCAACGAAGAAGGAGATAAAATGGCGCAATGCTTTCAAGAATCTCACGAAGCATATTCTAACCATGACGGCGCCTTAGCAAAGGAATTATCAGAGAAAGGAAAAGAGCATGAACGCAACATGGAAAGGCTGAATGACGAAGCCAGTGAATGGATATTCAAAGGTATCTAATTAACCGCTCTCTATCGCAGATCTGACTGCATTGCTAATGATATTCTGGTTTCAAATAGAGAATAATTCAGTGGGAATGTCCCATCTTCTCGAGAGATTTGCATACTTACTTTGTTCATTAGGACAGGAAACCTGGCGAAATTGATTTGCACGGGCTATTTGTCAAGGAGGCTGTCGTTTATACCGACAGAGCCATCCAAGTAGCGCGACAGCGCGGGGACTCACAGATTCATCTCATCGTGGGTATGTATATGCGCCTCAAGGCGTGAACGACTCGGAGCTGACCTCTATTGCGCTGTCAGGGAAAGGCTTGCACTCTCCTCAGCACATTGCCAAGATCAAGCCCGCTATGGAGGAACTGATGCAAAAGTGGGTCCAAATTTCTGGATTAGTCTGTTAGCTAATCGTAATTCACTAACAGACATCAGTTGCTCGCCGAGGTGGATCCTCATAACGCAGGAGTGCTAATTGTACATCTTGATGGTCAACAGCGCGAAGTCGAAACACGGGGCGCTGTTGTTGGAACAGATGATATTGCGCGAAGACTCCAGGGAGAGGAAGACACCGGGTGTACCATCATGTAAGCTGAGGTCGGACCTGTGTCTGTGAACTGTGTACTGTCAATGTGTATATCCATATTTTGTATCATCTTGGTTTTTGTAGTTTTGTGCTGCAAAGGATTCAAGGACACGCATGTACGTGACTTTCAAGTTGACCATTACCGGAGTGACTTCCGAATCAAGTCGGCTCGGAAGAACTTGAACTGCATCCCAAAAACTGGGTTCCGTGAATACGCGTTCTACGACTTTGCAGAATTTCGCTAGTGTATCCAATCTTTGAGCTAACAAAGTACAGAGAGCGAAAGTGAGGAAAAGGCTATCCAAGTTTGGGCAGCTGTGCTAGTTGTGCTGAGTTTCATGGTCTATCAGTCTTGGTGCGTGTGGTCGAAGTTGCCAACCTTTCATTGCAATACAAGTCATTGAAATCCATACATGCATCCAAATAGTTGCCTTGTAAACCGTCCAGATGCTGTCATTACGCTCCAGAGGACATAGTATCCTTCGCCGATTCGTGTTCATCCAAACTTATCCCAGTCGTTTTCAAACCTCCGCAGCGTCTAAAGCTAGTGACAGGGAAAGCAACTCAAATCCATATCCATATCCAACACACACGAACCCTAGACCACACCAAATATTCCACCTACCGCACAATGCTTCTCAGAATGACGTGAAAAGGAGATGTTAGTAAACTTCCCCTTCGTATGTTGCTATAGCAGAACAACCTAAGAATGCTACTTGCGAGGGTTTCTTAGACTATGATCTCGTCAGGATATATCATCCAGACTCTCCCGTGGCACGCCACTATGCTCCAGAGGTCTCGCAAGCTCGCTTCCAGTCTATCACCCAAGCATATGACATGCTCCGCGGGAAAAGCGCCTTTTCTGAGGAGACGTTGGCCTCTAGGACTGCCAATATTAGGCATTCCGATATTTGGAGAGGTAGGTCATCCAGACGGCCCCATTTTGATGATACTTCAGGAGATGAACGATGGAAAGAGAGAACTATAGCCGCAGTGGTCATATTGGTAATACTTTCTTGTTATTTTCCCGAGCCTATTGGATTGAGTGAACTCTACTCTTCAATATAGACCCTCGTTGCTTTTGTGGTACAAACTATGACAACCCGACAACAGGCACTGGCAGAAATAGTGGCTCGGAGCCAACGCAAACCACATGATATTAAAGGGACTCAAGAGGACCATACACTGGGAGAAGATTCAAAGACCACATGACATAGATCGTAATCAAAATCTACCTACAGTATGTTCAGGTATTCCTTTCACATTCATGAACGGGAAATCGAATTACTCAAGCTGTACTCGGAAGATTAATGCATATACATTGGGTGCGAGATCACTCACCAATGATCATTCGATGCATCCCCGTCCCAATATCGGTGCCTTATAAAACGCCTTTGACTTGTGCGTGGGCTGTAGCGCCGATGAATGATGACACTTTAGTATGACAATCTGGCAGACTAACCTTCAACACCGCCCACTACATCCTGCTGGAGGAATGTATTGACATGTGTGGATGAAATACAATTCCTGAAGTTTGAATGAAGTCTGAGTAACACTACGTGGTGTACATGGTAACAGTATAGACTCCATCATAGCTTTCGAGGGCAAACGCCACCGTCAAGAGGAAGAAATCCACTGAAGCTGGAGTCATATTAAAAAATGAGAGCCCTGCGTATCCGAATCTCAAAATATCCAGTGCAGCCGACAGAGCGTGCAGATGGCTTCTGATAATACCAAAAACGACAAAGGGTCAAAGAAGACGTTTCAATAGTTGAACACTGCCGCGGTACTCGCGCTCAGCTGTCGAACTTAATTATCTTAATCCTCGACTAGAGTAACGGTGCGTCCACCAATCAAAAGATCCCCCCTCCTTTCCCCATCCCCTGCTTCCATCCTTGCAGAATGGCTTCCAAACTGCATCGCCCGCTTCTTCCTCTCGCTTGCTTCCAAGAGACCCACTTTTCGTGCCGCGGCTCTCAACAGCATTTTGTCTCCTGTGCCAATTTCTAGTCGTGGATCAAGCTTGAGATGTACTGGGAGTTGTGCAAGGAAGGCTACAAGACTAAGCGAGAGGAATGGATGTCGCGTTTCTTTCCCATTCGATGAAATGACACGATCATCTCTTCCTAGATTGCGGGTTGGTATACGGTCAAGTTCAAGCTGCAGCTAGAAAAAAACACAGGGCATCGAGTCCATGAAATGCACATGAACAAGCTTATACACGAATTACCTCGTCAATGACGCCTTGCCAGCCCCTAACACCAAAGGCAGTGCGATGCCTCCCATATCCACCCAAAAGTTCGTCTGAACCCAAACCATTTAACATCACTCGAGCAGGACTCTCGTATGGACGAAATCCGTCGGGGTCGACCTCACTGCGTATTTGACCTACACCGCGCGACGCAAAATAGAGCGCCATAGCTAGACTCTAAGATGGTTATTCAGCCAATGCACGTGATAAAAGGCAACTATATCATACAAGATCCATGACAGTTCGTCCTGGAAACATCGTTTCTTCAACACCCGTACGGGCAGCTCGACTCTCCTACATCGTACTGTGAGAACCAGTACATCAGGTGAAATATTGATATAGCTCACCTCGTACCTTACATTCACTTCAACCTGAACAAATGCAGAATCAATATAATCCCAATGAAAATGAACATGATGACGAACTCACAAAATTCCAGGTCCTTCCAGGGCACACTCTTCTCAGCTCTTCGACTTCTTTGAGGCCAGTTAACCTGTCTGGCACCATATACGATGTATTTTCCGTTCCCTTGTTGGCGCTGATTTTTAAGCGTTGTTGTTTTTTCTTCTTTGACATTGCGCCTATATTTCCCTCGGTTTGCACTTGGATCTTTCTAGGATTCTCGAATGCGACGTTAAGTAGGTCGATGGGTTCGTCTAAGGGTATATGGCTGATCGAAACGCCAGAGATGATTTACACGAAATGAATAAGTATTTGCACAACTTACCGATGAGCTAGGAATGCTATCATTGTTGAATCTATGCCACCACTAAATAAGACAGCTAAGCGAGCTTGCCCTGGTAGATCTCTTGCGTAGAAAGTGAAAGTGAGTCAGGTTGATTGCTCTGGTGTAAAATCATACTAACGATCCTCGTGGAATATCTCGCACACGAAGCATAACACTCCGGTCTAGATGAAACAACAGTTGGTCCATTGCTTCTACCATATTGTCAGGGAGCCTCTCCAATTCTAAGGATACAGGTTGAGGAATGTCCTCAGTAGGTAATGTAGTTTTGACTTTGCTGAGTTGCGCCTGTGCAAATCACAAGTGTCAGATAAGAATCATGCTTGTTAAAGAAACGTACAAATTGCTGTGTTTGGTGGCATCGAGGGAATGTCGTTAAGCAGCCATCAAAGCTACTAGCGAACTGTAGACCATTAAGCTCGAGATAGATTGAGGCAAGTAAAAACCCCACTTCAGGTGACTTATTCAAATTTGCGAGATCTAGGCAAAATATTCCGTCTGTAGATAATTCTTCCACCTCATATGCTGAGTGGACGCCCACTGAAACAGATGTTAGAAGTAGATATGGGTGTTTTTTTGTAGGTCTGTGGATTAGCAGAGATCGTCGACCGAGGGGATCACGAGCAAAATAGAGGCTTTGTGAAGTTGCCTGTGGTGTCATAGTTATGGTCACTTTATACGTGGACGTCATTAAACGCAAAATCAGTGACTCACATGATAAAAGACAAAGGCATAGCTGAATAAAATAATAAATACATGTGTCAAGGAATATATATTCGTAAGATGGCTTACGGTCCTTCGATCCTTCCGAGTAGAGATGGGATATCAGATGGTGCTTCGAGTAAGCACATGGCCTTGAAAAGCCGGACTCCATCATTTTCACGTGAGTGTATCTGTCTCGATGAATGAAGATTTCAACAGATCCAGAAGAGGATGCTTGTTCAATATGCTCACATCCATACCCTCGAATACCTAACGAATGGTACAGATACATTAGCCATTGTGAATACATACAAAGGGATGAGTACCAACTTCGCCGTTCCAACAAAGTATATTCCCATCCGCTTGATGGGGTTGTACGATTGGTACTTGTCCTCTCAGTCGCAGTTCAGATGCAAACATGTCCAGCACCAAATTAGAGCTACCGCTCGAGCTTGCATCTGGATCTAGAACTACTTCATAGCTATTTTGCGCATCGGGTCCTGAATTTGAAGAGTCAGGACATCATGACGACCTCCTAGGTTCGCGAAACAAACCACGAGCAGCGTTGGCAGCTTTGAGGCGGTTTATCAAGCTTTCATGAGGTTTGAGGGCGTTTCGACCTTCCTGGTTACTGATACAGAATATAGAGCAGAATATTCCGCACATGAAACACGATACGTTGCTCAAAAGAGGGCTGCCTTAGTGCTATAGCTGCCTTCCTTCCAAGAAAACGCGGAGGTGGTTTGTAGGTGGACAGATCTGATACCGTCGGTTAGATTATGTTCTACTATGGTGTACCTGTACAGCCACCAACAATCGAAAATTAAACCAGCACAATCGAGACCAGTTTGACTTCACCCCCACTACGTATACGAAGCACATAGAGCATATGTACAGTGGCAGACATAACTTTCTTTGGCATGGTAGTATAGTGAATATTGATTGAATCTGCAAACGCCCATAGACACCGATTGCCATTACCCGAAATGCTATTGAGTGAAGTGGCATGCATATGTTAAGACATGAAAAAATAGTTACAACCTTTATTTGACCCTCGTCTCCGGACCCTTCAGCTTCTCAGACACAAGCTCACTGAACTCCTCCCGCAAGATAGCTTCTCTCCGTTCTCTTTCTTCCCTCTGCAACTTCAGTATACCTCTTTTCTCCTCAGCGCTGATAACTTGATTCTCCTTCCTCATACGCACAGCATTCATTCGTCTGTGGCGGCTTCCACTCATAACATAACCGACCTGTTCGTACGACGCAATCTCATCTGATGTCAAACCAATTTCACCACGACGAGGAATACGCTGGTCCGTGCCGTCTTGCAAGAAAGCAGCCATAGCACTACCTTCTCCACGAAGGAGAGCACCACCATATGCGCGTTCATCCACTTTCTTAGATGCAAGAATTTTATATAGAGGCTGAGGGCCAAGTTCGTCATCAGAGTCTTCATTGTCGTGTTGTGTCGCCGATAACGTCGCAGCTGCCAATGGGGCCGCTCCGTTATTTTGAGATGTGAGAGAGGGAACAACAGCAGATGTCGAAGGTTTCTCTACCCATTGTTCATCATCCGACTCCTTTGGAGGTGAAGGCGTTCGGCTCCTGGCGGGACTTTGAACATCTCTACTTTTGCTCTTTGTCCTGCTCCTCCTGCTTGATCTCCGGTCTCTGCCATCCTCGCTATCATTATAACTGCGATGGCGACTTGACGACCGATGCCTCTTCCGCTCTTTCCTTTCCTGACGTTCTTCTCTTTCTTTTTCCTTTCGTGCTCGTTTTCTCTCCTTCCTTTCTCGATGACGCTTGGTCTCATCATCGTCCGAGGAGGCTGTGGAAAAGGTCTCTGAGCGCGTCCGTCGACTTGCTCTTTTGCGTGATTTATGATTGTTGCTCGGTGACCTGTTCGAACATTCAGTCTTACGTTGTTATGGAGCGCAAATAAGTGCACGTACAGTCCTCGGGCAGCAGCTTTGGGCGAAGAAGGCCAGATATAAGCCGTTGCAGCTTCTCTTGCTAGTCTGCGGCTGAAGAGAATTTAAATATGAGCATTTGCATATTTACTGAGCACATACCCCTCTATGAAATCGTTTCCCCCTCCCCCATAGGACCCACCATTATAATGGGGCGGTCTGTCTTTTTCACGCTTGTTTGGATACATATTATCCTGTTGGTGCCAAGGGGCAGCAGGGCCCACATCTGGAGTGGGTGGACGCTTGTAGTCCGAATAAACGGGACTCGCTCTTCGACGATCTGAACGGTCTCGACCTTTGCTTCGGTCTCGCTCCCTACTTCGGTCACGGCGGTCGCTGTCATACTTTCTGTTGCTTTCCTTGTGTGAACCTGCATGTCTCTCAACTTTGGTTTCGCGGTTGTAATCATCTGAATAATCTCTGCTGCGCTTGTCTGGACCACGAGCTCTTGGTGACGGAGAACGACCTCGACGACGTTCAGAGTGGGTGGTATTTGGCGGATGGGATATCAATGCCATGCGAGAGGGATGTATAGTGGCCATGATAGGTAGAGATATTCCAAAAGTACTGTAACCTGTGAAAGGACGTCACCGTTTATCTCAACTTCAAGTTTTTGTGCACTGCGATGCGAGCTTAGACTCGACGGCGTGAGAAATATTAGATAAGCAGTCCTCCTCTACTAGTAGGTGATCAGCTTAAACTTGCTACTGTACGAACTTCTTGCTTATAGGTATACCAAAAGGTTATAATCAAAATCTAACCCTTGGAAAGTATGCATAGTATGGAAAAGTGACCCAAAATACGGTCCTCAAGTAGAGTGTGTTATTACAGATGCGGCCCAACCGTAAACCAATACCAGAAACGTAGAATGAGATACGAAATCAAAAGGGCGAGTGCCAGTGGTGTAAGTCACCCGTAAGTAACGATATGGACTCCAAGAGAGACAAGACGTGCAAGATAACATGTGGGGATGAAAAGGGTTGTAGTACACTGTATGCTAGTGGATGAAACACGTGGAGAACGGAGTGGGGGAAATTTGTCGTGAAAGAGGTATGGTTTTTATCGTCCGTTAAGGTGGGTCATTACTGTAAAGAACGGACATTTGTCCTGTGTAAAAGCGCAAGTCTTATACCTGAACGACCAGTTTCGTTACACCGTCATCACGTCGGTTTTCTCCAGCCTCCTTCTCGTATCCCACTTGCGCAGATACTCCCTCGCACGCACTTCGAAGACCACGCACCCATCGAAGAGCCCCGTAGGTAGAAGATCCTTTCGCTGTTCCCATGGTTTTAGATCTATCAGCTCGCACCGGTCGATGCACACCAGAATCATGCCGAAACTATATGCATCTGCGAGAAGCGGGTCCCTACACTCACCGCGTAGGACCTCTGGAGCTGCAAATGGGCGCGTTCCTGGGTGTATTTGCTCCACCTTTTTCGTTGTTCCCTTTTGTGGTGGGCTAGGTTTTCGTATATGTGCAAATGGATCTTCTGGTTCATCTGAAGGTGAAGAGAATAGAGAATCCGCAGATACTGAGCGCCCAAAGTCGAGAAGCTTAATGGTATTTGCCGAGTTTGTGACTTGAATATTTAGCATTGATAAATCTCCGTGGCTTAAACCATAGGAGTGCATATGCGTGAGGCCTGCTAATAGTTGGTTGTGGTAATCGATCTTTTGTGCGATAGAAAGCTCAGGTCGTGCGCGAATAACGTCGTACAATGTACGGCCGTCTATGTATTCGAGTACCATACCGACATTCTCCAAACATCCGAGGAATGCGGCTATATTACGATGACGTGCGACAGTGGTGTACACGCGGAGCTCTGCCAGAAACTGGGTGGTGACGTCTGAGGCATTGGATTGCATCTCTCCATTGATTTCAAGCTGTACAACGTCGGGCTTCTTGACGATACATTTGAAGAGCTCCGATGCCGAGCCCTGGGCCACAGGCGCGAGATTGGCGGTAGGATTAGGGGGTGCACAGTATGCTGTTGGAGTGGGAAATGAAAATATGGACGTTGGATGTCGCGGTGGGTTATAAATGGGTGGTGAAGGGTTTGGCGAGGAGGATTTCTGGGTGTCGTTATTGTTGTGATGGTAGTGGCGGTGTAAGGGATCGGGTGCTACTGCCGTCTCCTCTGACGATGAGAATGATTTTGTTGACCCTTCAAGTTTGTTCTCTTTCTCATCAAGCTCCACTGTGGACAAAATATCATGAGTTGCAGAGAATAGGTGGGATACAATGCTACGTACCCATCCACCAGTTCTTCTTGGATGTCAGTGTCACCCTCTTTACATGCATTTTACGCGGTTGTTGAGCGCTGAACGAATACGATGGATGACTCGAGTATGATTTTTAGAAGTTTCAGAACCTCAACCAGGTCTGGGCAACAAACAATGATTTCGACAAGACGGGGTATAACAGTGTCGTTGAGTCTACACGTGCGTGGACGAGGGCTTTATACAGAAAGCAAAGAATGTGATCTAAGGATAGCCGGTCCATATTTCTTGGCACATGTTTATCTTATAATTAGAAGAGCGCTTATCTTTACCCCGCATTCTGAATCTTGCTGTCAAAGCTGGAATAATACCACAAGGATCCCATATTACTGGTATGTAAGATAGTCATCGACATACATATACAACACACTGGCCGTTGCATTGACGGGCACTTGCCACACAAAAGAGCCAAGGATCCAATTTACGTTGACCGCTGGGACTGTGACCCTTGTTCGGATTGCGATTCTCTAACGAGTCTTGGGATTACGTACATCCTGGGATTTCAAGTCTAGTGAAGCATCACGAAAATTGAATTTTTCTGCTGAGCTGATATCATGTCTAAACAGGAAACATCAGGCTCAGCAGGTCTCGCCATTATGATGAAACATATACCAGACCTTGTACTGAACGGGCTCTTTGGAATTCTTAAAATTTGCTTGTGATGCTGATTACTGCCCAGTTTGCCTTACATTGGTACCTCATAGATGCAAAGCCAGCTTGCTGACTGTGGTGTACACGGACCAACATTGTGAATACTGTACTACCTTACAGTGCATTGGAGATTTGTTTGGGATGCCAAATGATTAGGCACCATGCCATATTCTTGAGTAATGCCAACCAGTGTATTGAGGGGCAAGTTGTTAGAGATGCAGGATGATATATCCACACTGCTGAACAAGGCCAATTGTACCGCAACATGCCTTGCTGGGGAAATCATATACATTATGCAATATGTGCCAAGTGATTGCCGTGCCTCAATTTCTCACCAACCTTGTATTTGTGATATGGGGATAGCATATGTTTGACATACAGCAGAATCCTCTGCCTTTCGCACATATGTCAACTTTACATCACCAGCCAGGAAATAGCAGGCTGTTAGTATTGACAAATGCACAGCGGACCACATTACTGTACCTGGATGGTACATTGATGAAGCATACATGTACAATAATATCAAATATTCACCATTTATATACATTATTTTACATTCAAATTGGACTCATAGTTGTGCTACATTTGATGCAAGGGTGCCTTGCTTAATCACCGATCCACAGTTAATACACACCCTGTTCTGCTAGTTTACGCTGGGCAGCCAGTAGCTGTGCGCTTTGGGCACCAATGTAGGATGACTGTGGCGTCTGGGACCGTACATCTGTTAATCCAGAGGAACACTTAAAAACCTGTCTAAAAAGTCACATTAGCAACTGATGAAATCTAGTATAAGGAACAGAGTGTTGCTTACAGGTTCCACCATGCTAGTAAATCTGTGACATGCTGTTTGCTGCGAGGGCCAGGTGTATCTTCAAAAAAGGATAGAATGTTATTGTAAAATTCACAGTAGTTGAAGTCTCCATCCACTTCACGCCAAGACCCAAGGTCCGACAAACTGAAACAGACCTGATGATAAACTAAAATCAGTAAAGCGGAAATATATGATAGAGTATGTTACCTGTACTGCTGTAAAAGCAATTGAGCGAGCTGTTACAGATTTTAAGCCAATGATTGTAGCCACATTACGCCGAGTATTGGTTCTCTCACGCTGTATTGCTCTCTTTCTTCGTCGGTTGTCCACGTCTGGATTATCACTGGTACAGGCATTAGAGTGTAAGTCAACACTTTCTGCTGATGTTGGCGACGTGAACAAGAACATATATGCCTATAAAAACGGTGCATGATAGTAACATAACAGACAAGTTGATTTACATACTTTTACTAATAAACACCCTTTGAATAAACCCTTTTCGAGATCACTCATGTCAGCTCCACCAGTTTCATACAGGAAGTTTGGCCACGAATCAGCTGTGACCAGAAAGCTGGGACATCCGGTCTTTATGTTAGTCCAGACTCTGTGGCCAAAGTTAATTCATTTGAGCTCAAGAAAATAACAGCAGTGTACTCATTACTCCATTAAAACTCGGCAGGACAAAGTAATTCTGCCAGCACTTCATTCTCAAAACCACGAGTAAGCTTGTTAGTTGGGTGGAGAGCGCATACAGCTGGACACTGGTGAAACATATCCTTGGTCCAAATAATTATATCAGACTTTAGGTTAAAAGAGTCATCTGCTCGTGCATGATCACCACCCTGGCAAATCTATGGCAAACTTGAGATACCTCTGAATATAAAAAGAAATGAGGTACTAACATCTTTGTAAAACAACTCTATCTCCGTTACATCAGCTTCTAGATATTTTTTCATTAATGGTATATATTTTTTGAGGCTTTGATAGCCTAGCCACAGTCGTTCCTGGCTGTGAAATGAAGAAATATCAACTGAGTAGATAAGACACTGGAAGACTTACTCTGGTGTAGGCAACACACTAGATGAAGTATCATCAAGAGTCAGTGTTAAGCGACGGTCCCGCTCGTCAACTAATTCTCTTGGATGTTCAAAGGTTGAGACCAAACGGCGAAGACACCGGCCCATATAAACTTGTTCATAGTGGGCATCATCGTTTCTGTGTGAAGGCACTTGTAAAGTAAATGCGGAGAAAAAAGAATAAAATTTACTTTTGCTTGACAGGGCCACCATCTCGTAAGTTATCTACTTCATGCTGTAGTTCAGCAATGCGACATTTGAGTGCATTTTCAGTAGTAGGACTACACTCAGGCTGGTTGTCCTGGGGCAAGGAACTATGAGAGATAAATGAAGAGACCATCAGGGAAAATGTAGACGGAATTGTTTCATGTCCATACCATGAATCCTCCTTCAAATACCCTCTCTGGCCTGCAGTTTTTTGCTGTTTGGCATAGTAAGGAGATCCAGGGTGGACAGGGATCTGGAGATTGAAATGGAAGCAAAAAAGAGAAAGGATAAAAATGGTAGTGGAGACTGAAGCTCCGAGAATGGAGAGTTTGGCTTATGTCTGTAAAGCTATGCTAGCAGCAATATACTCCTGCCGTTAGACTGAACATATTAGGATATTGGATAAGGGAACATATAGAAAGATTATACCCACTGTCCTGCTCTTGTTAAACTCTTCGTACTCAAGTTCTACTTGTTTTGCACCAGTCAACAAATTTGCCCCACATTCAGCTTACTCAATTATGGAACACGCGGACCAGAGGACCGGGCCAGTAGTAGCCAAGAATAATGGCGAGTATGTGACAATTTCCGTACATAAAGAAGACCTAAGGGAAAGTATGTCGTGATCCTATATCTGCAACAAAAAAACTGATGTCGTCAAGTTTTACATGGAAATAGAAACCTGCCTCACATTATACACCACATCACTGACAAAGGGATTCAAACAGATGACAGTATGTATAACTGCTAATTGGTGGTGAAAAAATCTCATTGTTGCTGCTAGCACCAACATCAGATTTGTACCGCAAGATCAATTTGTTAGAGATTCAACTGAATACCTCCAAGAAACTATGCGACATGGAATCAGAACAAGCTCTAAAGGCACATCAGGAAGCAATGTCTTACTGCCTGGATATGATTGTAGACAGAGAAAGGCTCAGAGAGTTTGAGAATATGGCGGAATCAGAGAACTGGCCTGATTATCCTGCTCATCAACCTGACGTCTATCAATCTTCTCCTCTCCTGACACCTGTCTCAACTCCAGAATGACAAGGATGGGCTACTTCTAGTTGTAAACACAAAATTGATGCAATTGAAGAAGTTGAAGAGGTTGCAGGAACAATCACTTACAAGGATATTGACGATTTCATGATGATGTACAAAAAACTTGGTAGCAACTGGGGAGCTGTGTGGCAGAAGATGAAGAGGATGAGGTATGACGACAAAGCTGAATCTGTGATATATGTTCTACGTGCAGTCCGGAGGTAAAAATTGAGGATGAGATTGCTATGGTGGACAACAATGGCTTGGTGGTTGCTCCACCAGCAATTATGCTCGTCATGGGTATTTTGACTATGTGGAAACTGAAGTTGCTGAGGAAATGGTGAATATAGTTAGTGATACAGCTACAGTACTAATATATAACCGATATTGTCGAAGATGATGAGGTTGAGATAATGCTGATAGCATAGTATAGTAATGAATTATTTCCTTTCAGCTATATGACGGAGATAAGATGTCAGCCAGGGTTAAATCAAAAGCGTTGAATCCATAACTCACATGGGGAACCAACAAATCTGTGAGGACCTCGGAGGGATTGACAGTGTACTCTTGTGTCATATAAAACACAATTTTATGTCCTTGAGACATATTCAACACGAGGGTGAGAAAGTCGAGGAATTTTTCACTGGGAGTGATAAGGGGATCCATGGTAGGTCCAAATGTCTTCAAGTGCACCCATACGAGATGCCAATCCTACATCCCCTCTGCATAGGCTCTACCTCATATTCGCACTCTGCAAGAAACACAGTCCACTCCATATCCCCAGCCTTTCTGCCTCTTCCGTAGTATTTTTCCTTGCAACCTTTAGCATCACGGATGATAAGGCCACCACCCCGGAATTGCACTAGCAACGTAAGTTATATAGTTGCCACTCTGCCATCGTTATGTAGGCTCAAAGGCTGCGGAGATGTGCAACCACCGCATACGACAACCTTTAATTTATCTCTCATGGCAATCAAATAATGACCAATAGGTAGATTCTAAACTGTTTTAGTGAAACGAGAAAGCAACGGTGAAGATATATGTTATCAGACAGTGATTTGTCCGACAATGAGGTATGCATCTTTCTGCCCTGACCCAAGAGTCTTGTACACGCCTCGTAGCTCTTGCTCAGTCTGTAAACCGAGGCGATGGTAAAATTCCTGTCCTGCCGTATTACTTGTTGCAACCTGCGCAACTATGACGGTTGCTGCGGGGATTGAGCGGGGAAAGACGTTGGGGGGCGAGGAGTGAGCTGAGGATGAGCAGAGACGGGAGGTAACCAAGCGGACGAGGGCGCGCACGATACCCTGACACTGATAAGAAGGGGAGACTCCCAGTGTTAGGATAGTGACAAGAGGAGCGGGTGTTTCTTTGTCAGGAGAGACGGGACATTTGTACAAAGAGGGGAGTGGGAGGTCTTCTGTAGCGCGCTGAATGGCGACGGAGACGAATGCAATGGGCATGTTTGGAGAGGTCATAGAATGGGCGATGAGGCATAAGCGCTAAAACCTTGCAGTTTGATATCACACACTATCTGTGGTAACCAGCCTCTGGGACCAAGGACTTGAATGCACTGTCAGCATGTAGGACTCTTGCTAACTGCCTTTCTGACGTTGATGAGGTGCTGCCTCCAATGATCTTGGCAAAATGGAAAGCGGGACATGCAGCACCTTCTTGCCTTGGTTATGGATGAGCTACTGTCCCAGAGGGCACTAGATATAGATACTGCCTGTTATTGATACGGTGACATCTTCTAGCTTCTTACCTGGTTGTACCTATTACCAAGTAGTTTCTCTGACATCCATGTTTGCTCTTGCTTGAAATAAAAAAAAAACAACATCTTGATTTGTTTGGATCCTGAATTGTACGGATGCGGTAGGAGCAGAGAATGAGTTCGGGAGATCCTGGGAAAATGAGTGCGTGCATGATACACTTGGCCTTTGCTCACATTAAGACTTCCAAGTTTTTGCTTTCAACCTTCCCAGACGGCGACTTGCCAGCACAGCCTGCAGGCTGGTTGTGTGCCCAAACGCAAACTTGAGGCTGCCACTAGTCAACATGGGCTATGATATCCGATTATAGTCACTGATAGAATTGATGTTTGTGACGGGTCACACATCACCCCACCTGCTATTCTTGTCTGTCATCTCCACCTTGGCTTTATCAGCGCTTCCATTCAAGCCAAGGTAGAAGCATCTTCCTCCCTCATGTCTCCCCTCACAGCTTACTGTGCATATTTGTTTCTCAAAGACCAAGTTATTCATATCCCAGTACCAAATTATCATGCTAACCCTTGCACATGGACATGTTTACAGGTTTACTACCAGTGTGTACATGAACAGGGAAGACTCGGGATAAAATAGGTCATTTTGATAGGCCCCACAGCCGCTGACAGAATATGGACTTGACAGGTCGTCTATTTATTACTTAGTACTGTGGTGCATTGAAGACAGCCGTTGTTAGGATTCATATTGTAACTGTAAATGGTAAGTGCTTTACATGAAAAGCAACCTGTCAGAGCCATGCTTGAAAAATTCCAACAATGTCAGGCCCTATGCGTGTACCAGATCAAGATTGTTTCTTGCAAGGTGTGGAATATTTCGTAAATTTACATTGCAATATACTGAATCTAGCGGTATAACAGTCTTCCTCTTTTAAAATCTGTCTGACTGCGGTATAGAGTGGCCAAAATAGTCAAATTGATCTGTGTCTCTTACAGCTTTGAAGATCTGTCAGATAACTGTCAGTATCATGTGACCACATGACCCGCCCGTTGTGCAACTGATGGTACATTTCCCCTCTCTAGTAACCTGCATCTTGACCAATGACTTCACACAGGTGGCTCTCAACTTCAAGCAAAGAAATCCGCTATGCATAGAAGATTTATACTCGTCCTTATTATTTGCTGCCTAATAATGTTTAATTGTACAACACCATGCCAGAAATCATTTGGCAGTCGGAAGGGACTCTATGTGCATCAAAAAAATTGCAGGGCGCACAAGCATGTTCAAGTTGATGTTGCAAAAAGCCAACAGGCTATTGAGAAGAGCTTGCGGATACAAGAAGTTTCAGCAAAGGCTGCTGCAATGAAAGCGGTATGTAACAAATCTTACAGACTTGTGGCCGATTTTTATATATTCAATGTAGACAATTAACTCTGAAACAAATAGTGCTATGGGTAAGAGCAAAACAGATTCCTAATGTACATTCTAACCATTGTCACGGTACAGATTGTGTTGATATATCATCAATGCCTCAGCCGGTAGAAGGTTGCGCTGTAGAACAACTAGCACCCCATTTGACAAGAGCTGGTCAGCCCAAGCGTAACTACTGACTTCCAGGGAGGTTCTTGGATTTGTCCCCAGAAGGACCGGAAGCTATAACTGCAACCCAGCCATCTGTGCAAATAGCCAACAAAGAAGTTCATGTCCCACGCGTAATTCTTCATGTATGGGACACAATTTGCACAGCTGCAAATACCTTTGGGCTACTGCGTGAATATAAAAGCCGGCCCTCCTATGACCCCGACTGCACTGTAGATGCAGACGACCTTCTATCTCCATCCACATTCCAACGACCAGATGCTGACAAGAGCCATGAAGATGGTGTACGTCCACTTCCCCCTTGGCCTTATAAGAACATGTCAGTCTATCGTGTGATGGACTGGATGTTTACAGGTAAGCCGCAGAAGTCAAAAGAGGAAATCAATCGCCTGGCTCACAATGTTCTCTCTGCCGAAGATTTCAGAGTTGAAGATCTGGTTGACTTCAATACAAGACGAGAAGCAAAGCGTCTCAGTGAAGCTCAGCAGGGGAGTCTTCCATATAAGGCCAGGGGCTCTTGGCATGAAAAGTCTATCCCAATTAGTGTACTGACAGGATCAAAAGCAGCCAGCAAAATGGAGACATTCAATGTAACTGGAATGCACTATTGTCCACTCATCGAAGTGATAAAGGAAGCATTTAGCAGCCCACTGGCTAAGAAGTTTCACCTATTCCCATTCAAACAGTTTTTCCAGGCTAATAGCACAGCTCCTGTTGAACGTGTATTTGATGAGGTTTATACCTCTGACGCATGGCTACAAGCTCATGACAATCTCCAGAAACAACCACCTGAACCAGGGTGTAATCTTGAGAGAGTTATTTTAGGCCTAACATTCTGGTTGGACTCGACACACTTGGGAAGCTTTGGTACAGCCAAAGCCTGGCCAGTCTATCTGTATTTTGCCAATCTTTCAAAGTACATCTGTGCGTGCCCAAATTCAGGTGCATGCAATCATGTAGCTTATATTCCATTGGTAAGTCTGTTGAAACTTATGTGCTCACTCTACTAAATCTTTGTAATTAGGTTCCGGATCAAATTCAAGATTTTATCACCAAGAAAGGCACTCATCGTAAAAGCCATTATTCACCCCTTCTCACTCACTGTCGCCGAGAGCTTTTCCTTGCTGTGTGGCAATCATTCCTTGATGATGAGTTTTTACATGCTTATAAGCATGGTATAGTTCTCAAGTGTAGCAATGGGGTTGTTCATTGCATATACCCTTGTGTATTCACTTACTCGGCAGATTATCCTGAGAAGTAACCTTTATTATTTTACCTCATAGACATTGCTGATTAACAATTATCTCTGCTCCAGGGTCTTGATAGCAACTACCCGGGATATGGGACAATGTCCCTGCCCACGGTGTTTAGTGCTCAAGTCAGAAATACCCAAAATGGGACAAGTACGGGATTTACAAGCACAAATAACAAAAGCTCGAAGATACACTGCAGACAAGATTAAGACAGCTAGAGAGTTCATATACCGTCTTGGTTATTCAGTCACAAGTTCAGCTGTGGAAGGTGTTCTTAAAAATGATTGACTTGTCCCTACAGTTGTAAGTGATACCGACATCTATTATTTCCAAGTCCCTAAATTCTTGCTCATGTAATACCAGAACTCTTTTGCGGATAGACTCAATAACACATCAAATGTCTTCACAATGCTTGTTGTTGACATTATGCATGAGTTTGAACTAGGTGTATGGAAAGCTGTCTTTACACACCTAATCCATATACTGCATGCTTCAGTAGGGGGCAGTTACACTGTAGCCAAACTGGATGCTAGGTATGTTTATCTTCTCTGTTGTAATCTTTTACTGATATACCATTCTCACTAGATTCCGTCAAATTTCTCCATTTGGTCAATCAACAATTCGCTGCTTTTCTAATAATGCAAGTGAAATGAAAAAACTCGCAGCCCGAGACTTTGAGGACCTACTCCAGGTATGCACTGGCTATATGTATGTGCATCAAAATTGCTCACTTGTGGTTATACATCTGTTATGTAGTGCACTATTCCAGTATTTGAAGGGCTTCTGCCATTGCCCCACAACACAAATATAACAACATTATTATTCCGTCTAGCAGAATGGCACACATTAGCAATACTCCGGCTACATACAGAATCAACATTAGCAGCTCTTGAAAGTGCTACCGTTAATCTAGGAAAATAGTTGCACAAATTCCGAGATGTAACCTGTGCTGTATTCAGAACAAAAGAACTACCGAGGGAAGTCTCATCACGCACACGTCGGAAGAAACACAACAGCACTTCAAATCAACCTTGTGTTAATGATAATTCTGGAAGCTCTCAGGCAAGTAGGACAAACGAGATACCACGACAAAAAAAATTCAACTTATTGACATACAAGATTCATGCTTTAGGTGATTATGTTAAGACAATCCGCCTTTTTGGAACAACGGACTCTTACACTACTCAAATTGTGAGGATAACGATCTCTATCATTTGTTTCCGAGTTTTCTGATATACAGTTTCTCAAACAGGGAGAGTCGGCCCACCGGATTGTGAAGCAATTCTATAGGCGCATGAATAAGAAAGATCCAATCAAACAAATGACTCAGCTTGAGCGCCATGCAACACACTTCCACAATAATCATTCTCGCATCCCTAACAACTTTGGGGGCCACCCACACCAGACCGAGCATGATGAGAGTGATACATTAGTTTGCGCCGAGATCTTACCCAAGATGCACCACCGCATTGCAAGCCCAAGGAATATTTTTCTCAATATTTTTTTGTGGTCTCATTCATTCCCGAGTGATGACCCAGCATTTTTTGTAAATTTACAAATCTCAAACCAGCGAGTTTGCTCTGACTGTTATCACAGAATTTCATATCAAAGCTAAAGAACCACATCCTCAGTCGACTGCTTGGCCTGGAGCATAGCACTGATGGCTACCACTTCAATGAGACAGACCATGACACTATCAAGACCCTTGGAAATAAATTGTATCCGTCCAGCCTTCTTCACATCAACTATACAACCTACGATGTGCGTTGTGACCAAGACATTGTCAACACACGAATGGGTGGTAACATCATGGCCTTATCTTCAGGTGCGACACTTGGTAGTCATGCATTTTGGTATGCACATGTACTAGGGATATTTCAACTTCAAGTCCTTCACACAGGTCCATCGTCGGCAAACCTGTCAGTTCAGCACATCCAGGTCCTCTGGGTCCGTTGGTTTGAAATTGTGAAAGGGTATCACACCAACTTCTTGAAAACAGCTCGGCTACCAAAAGTCAAGTATATGCTGAGCAACAATGAGGCAGCCTTTGAATTTCTTGATCCATCCCTTGTCATTCGGGGATGTCACCTAATTCCATGTTTTGCTGATGGCCGAACATCATCATTGTTACCTTGCATTGGTAGTACTGGACTTGCAGTAGGGGAAAGCGATGAATGGGCTAGTTACTATGTTAATATGTGAGTTGTGACTGCTCTTTTAAATGGAGTGCATATTATAACTTCTGTATCATCAGCTTTGTCGACCGGGATATGTTCATGAGGTACAGGGGCAAAGGAATTGGTCATGCGGGTACAAGGATCCTTCAACAAGATTTTGATGGTGACAACTGTGAAACCAGTGACAACCACCATGATACTGCCGAGAAGGATGATGACTTGGACTCAGATGCAACAGAGAATGAAGCCACTTGCAGTCAAATCATGCTCAGCAACAACAATCTCAACAGTGACAACGACCTGGAAGATGACTCAGAGTTGGACCCAGAGGGATATGGCACAGAGGATGCCTCCAGCGGTTGGGGATCAGAGGAAGATGATCTAGATGGGTCATTCTAACAATTTCTATGGCCTTACAATCAGGTTCAAGAGTGTGCACTTGTTAATTCCAACAATAACTACTCCTAGAATATATTCTTACTGTTAGTGATCTACGGATTGCTTGAAGCCGCTTGATTTCATATCTACTATCTATTACTTAGTTGTACTTTACACAAATGCAATTTCTGACAACCTATAAGCACACTTGACAGCCTCGCTCAACTCCATACAAATGGCCATCAATGCCATCTTGTGCGACACTCTCATATCAGACAGCTAGGCCGATCCCCTACGATTTTACCAGAGAATATCATGCATCCAGAAATGACATGCTTTGGTTGTACTACACAACTTGCTTCTAAGCCTGCTATTTCATGCCCAACCTATCCAATACTAGTATCTGTGTGGTGATGTTTGCCAACTGCCATCACGCAAAAGCAGAGTTCACCTGTTTTTGTGATGAAGGCCTTGAGAATTTTATCAGTTTGGTTTGCGCTTTTGCTGAGCATATAAGTAATTGTAGCAGCACTTTGTACTAAGTTAGGTAAACCACACTTTTATATTTGATGGCATGCAAGAACACTAAGGTGCAAAAGGTCACATCATGCAAGATGTTTGTATCTACAAGTCATATTGTCCAAGAAAACTAAACATATCATCACTCCAGTAAACTCATCTTTATGATTATAAAGGGCTCATTGAGATCCAAGGTTGAGGTACTTGGAGATTTGGTAGTGTTTCCCTTTTTGGTGGGGGAAAATGGTCTTGTCACTCCACTGACTTTGCATTTTCCTTTTGAGGGTATAGTTATGGTGTTTTCATCAGAGCTGCTAAACTTGGTGATCACCTGTGGCACTCTGAACAGCAGTTTCTGAGCAGTGTTTGAGGTTGGAATGACCTTCATTGATCTTAATATCACTTGGTAAGTCCATTCATGAGCTTCTCCTTTAAGCTAAGCCTACAATAGTCCAGCCGTGAGTCATAGATAAGTCTGTCAGTGGCAAATCTTTTCAGAACATCACTCACAGTTTCAAGGACACTTTAATACAAACAAATCATTAAGACTGAATTTTTAGGGTGCACAAGGGTACCACCCTTGTATTCAGCACAAATATTCAATGTGGTGCTTAGGACAGATGAGGTCTGAATACCATCTTGATGTAGCATTACACCCTGTAAAAATAAACATTCAAACATGAACTCAGTAGACAGAATTGGGAATCAAACACTTCTCAATGATAAAAGGATCCAAGA